GCCAGAATTCCGGTCTCTTGAGAAATCCTTAATTAAGAAGGAAAATGAGGAAAACATTGTTTGCTCCAACAACGATTAGGCACTACAAATCTAAGCAGTTGCTGTCGTAAATTTCACGGGTAGGGNGGTACAGTTTTAAAATTAAACTTAGTATGAAAAGATCCGGCCCCTATTACGAAAATTGAGTTTCCCGTATTACGAAAAGTTCCGGGCCGAGGGTTCGAATGTTTTCTAAAAACACTGTAACAGGAAATTACAAGTTCTCACTCTACCAGACCTTATAGTAAGGTTCGTTCGCTACATGACTAGAAATGTTCTGGGTGCTCTTGGTGTCTTACAGAACCATTAAAACGAAACAAGATTGGAGCAATAGTGATTTCAGTGGGTAAAATGGCGGATTACCGCATGTAGAAACCGGCGATTTCGAGGCCATCTAAATTTTGCCGTACCTCCACTAGGCATAATTGGAGCCCCAATCGACGAGTATAAGTTAATTCATTCCGAAGTGGCTCAACTATGACAATGCAGTAGGATGCTGGCTGATAGCTTGAAGGTAGTTACCCGTTGGGCCCCAAACACCAATTTTTGGTTGCATTATGCTGCCATTCAATGAGCAGTCTAACAGTGTTGATTGAAATTCATTATCGAAAAATGAATGTTACACAAATAATTCAGGTTGGCTTGACATGTCGATAGAATATTTTCTGCATATGTGATTCATGAGATGCACAATATCGCAATGGAGCACCAAATATCAATCCTCTTACATTCCAGATAGCCGAATGAAATCCAATCGCCGAACTGAGGTAACTGGATTGCTCAGATATCAACCTAGTACACACCTCCAATTCAGGTGTCCACAAAGCCTACTTGATCTAACTAACTCAAATCTTGTCCCTGCTTTGTTACCTCTATTATACATCCTTCTGTCGAGAAAGCCCTCTTATCCTTCTTCCGCTAGTCTATCTAGTATACAATCAAGCAAATTGGTACATATTTCTATTAGTTATAACGGTACTAGCAGAATGCCGTTCTCAACATGCTTCTGAAGTCCTCTCAATACCAACCGAGTTACTATACTACACGAATTCTATGGCGGACCGCTTTAACAGCCATTGCTTTCACTGTTAATAATTCATTCCCAAGTTTTTGTTCTTTTGCTCTTGATTGAACCTGATCTTTTCATTGGACATCCTTCTGAATTCACTGTCTTTCTGGAAACCTTCGTAGTCCAAAAAGTCATTGAGCTTTTCTTCTTCCTCCTTCTTGAAGTCCCCATCAATATCACTCAATTCACTCTCGTTACCTTCTTTCCCATCGCCATTCTTGAGAACCTTTATACGTTTTACAGGACGTGGCGCTGTTGGTTTCTTAATGAATATTCCCGAAGGACCAGGTTTGGACAGTTTCACAACCGCTGGCTTTCTAGTTTCTCCAGGACTTCCTTTATGTGGTTGCTCCGTATGTGCTGGCTTTTCTGGATGAGATTTCTCGTTTTTTCCTTTTTCTTCAGAGTCCCAAGACACTGGCCTCTTCGGTAAACTTCCGGGTATTGGTGCTGCTTGGTTGGGCTCTGGAGACCTCCTCGAGTACCCCGAAATTGCCCTTTCTCTTGACCTTTCAGGGACTCGGGGACCATCGTCTCTGTGTGAACCACGACCAGGACTTTCCTTCGGCACATATGAGCTTCTGTTATTGTAGCTTTGCAGAGGCACATAGCTGGAGGATGAAAAGCTCAGACTGTAATGAGGTACATAGCTCAGGGAATCTCTTGAGTTATAATTCAGCGGACCTTTTGGTGGGCCCTTGGCACTCTGTTCGTATGACTGATATGATCTGGGGGGATGATTTGAGTAGCCTGGTCTGGTGTGTCCCTTATTTGGATAACCATGGGTTGGATGAGGTTGTTCGGAATAGCCCTGGTTGGATATATGGACAGGAGCTGGCTTTGATGGAGTTGGTTGTGGATATCCGTTTTGTCGTTCTCTCAATTTCTTGAACCGCTCTTTGTCGATTTCATGGCACTCCTCAAACTTTGGTAATTCGTGTGGCTTCACTCCAACAGGACTATTGGAGAAAAATTCATGCTTCAAAGCGTCCAACGCATTGAATCTCTTCAAGGGGTCCAAAGTGAGCAAGCCACTTAATAGAGAAATCCCGTCTTCCGGCATCAAATCCTTGAATCTGGCCTCCAACGTTCTCTTGCACGTGAGTCCGATGTTGAAGTCCGATTTGTTGGGTAACAATGCTGCCTGTGTCCAGTCTGTTGGTGGACCAACGAGCCCAAATACCAACTGTGCTTGGTGCACATCTGATTTTCCGACCAAAATTGGTTTATGTGTGAAAAGCTCCCCGAAAACACAGCCAATTCCCCACAAATCAACTGCCGTGGTATACTTGCGCTCTCCCAACAACAATTCCGGAGGTCTGTACCACCTGGTGACCACCAATCCGGTGTAGGAACGTTCACCTCCACCTGGTCCTTTTCCAAGCACTGGAACGTCACCATGGTACGTTCTGGCCAACCCGAAGTCGGCTATTTTCAACACTCCATTAAAGTCAATCAAAATATTTGCTGCCTTGATGTCTCTGTGCAAGAACTTGTTTTCGTGGATGAACTGGATCCCGTGCAAGAGTTGCGACATCAAGCACTTGATGTGCTCCAACTCGAGATGTATGGCTGGGTTTTCTAATAATCCAACGAGATCAGAACACATATATGGCGACACAGTGTAAAAACAGCCTCTATGCGTCACCAAATCGGCCAGATTCGAGACCCTAGGCTCCTCGAAAATCATCTCGGAGATCTTGAGGATGTTTTCGTGTCTTAACTGCTTCAAAATGGTGATTTCTCTCATGGCTGTGATGGGAAACCCTTCTTTGGCTGAGTGATTGATAAGCTGCTTAAGTGCAACCAACTTTCCCGACCGTTTGGACTTGGCCTTTTGCACCACCCCGAACGTTCCCTGCCCCAACTTCTCTATTATCTCGAAATCCCTTAATTTGCTCATTTCCAACGAGGCATGGGGCTCTTTTGAATGAAGAAGCCTTTTACGGGCCACCACACTGGTGGGGCGTGGCGAGAGTCCTGAGCTGACCAGACCGCTGTCACTCGGAGGAGGCACTTCGGCCTTTGCTGCCGAGTCTGATTGCGTCATTGCTGGAGCAAGAGGTAGTGTGTGAGGGTGTCTGTGGAAATGGCCTCTCTCGACCATACTGAAAGCTGATATCGATTTTTGAAATCACATGATTGAGGTCACGTGTACCTTATGATCAGGCAAGTTGGGGTTTTAATGTCCAGTCAAGCAATGTATTTGTCTTCTATAAGCCACTGGCCAAATATCACGATGCAGATGTAGTCGATATGTCTTTCCAATTTTTAATTGGCAAATTCACGATACTTTTTGGTCATTTTAATTTCAAGTACAAAGCTCAGATGGTTATAACAACTACATTGACTGTATAGTCAGGTTTCAACCTTATAACGGCTCCATTACTCCGAATTGTCATCTTTCAAGTTGAATATCTTCACTTGACTCTGAAGAGTCGGCGTACGGGATGAGCGAGGCACCCTAGAGAGTATGGTGGTAAGCTTTCAATGCTATTAAACTTCACTACTCCCAATTTCTTTCAACGAAAGAATGGATTTTTTCAATCCTCCCAGTACTAAAGCCGTCAAACAAATTATGACGCAAATGTCACTATTCCCATCAGTCAGCTGTTTCGACGTTATGAGCGTGGATTGGGTACCGTAGTTTCGAATACTAGTATCAATCCCTACAATATATTAATTTGATGCAATGCTGATATTATAACTGATTAATCTTGTCAAGTTCCGATGCTGACATATTATGCTATTAACGTGTAGAAGTGAAAATGAGACACCTTGGTCGACAGGTGCCAATTAGACAGGTTGGTTTTTGAGCTTAGCTTCACGCTTTCTTTGTTTGGACAATGCAGAGGCTTCTCTAACATTGAATCCACTAGACAAGAATTGGTTAGTCTCTTCCAAACGCAACCCAGCAACTTCAGGGAGAAGAAAGTAAACGAATAAAAATGAGATGAGACACAAGCCTCCGAAAAAGGCAAATGTTCCTGTAGGTGTAATGTTTTCTAACATGGTCAAGAAAGTAGATGCGATGACCAATGATCCAGCCCAGTTGGTAGCAGCAGCGTACATACCACCGATGGATCTGACGTTGACATCGGAGAACAACTCCACTCCGGTCCAGGCACTGTTACCAATACCAATGGCGTAACCAGCCACAAACAACACCATGGAGAGAATGACAAGAATACCCCAGCCGGAAATACCTTTAGTGGCAACAGTCACCTTGTTGCCATCACTGAAGGAAATACCCAAGTAGTGGAAGGCAATGGCACACAAGATCATGGCGACCACCATGACTGGAATGGCAAAGAGCAAGATTCTTCTTCTACCGACCTTGTCAATAATACACAAGGCAACTCCAGTGAACACGAAGTTGGTAGCAGCGATAATGATGGACACGGCAGTGGCGTTGTCGAAGCCGATAGTCAGGAAAATGGTGGCACTGAAGTACATCAACGAGTTGAACCCAGTGAACTGTTGGATACCTTGCAAGCCACAGGCCAAGATGAGGGCTCTGAAGTTGGCAGGGGTGGTGTGGATGATCTTGATGGAGTTCCAGGCCTGTTGCAAGGGTCCGTCACCTGGAACAACCGAGTTGGAGGCAATCATGTCAGCGATGGTGGCTTCAATGTAGGCTTCTGAGGGGCCAGAGTGGATGGTTCTCATCACCTCCTTGGCCTTTTCAGCCTGGCCGTTCATGATGTAGAATCTGGGGGTGTCTGGAAGGAACCAGAACAACACCACCTGGATCACTGGGGGGACCAAACACAACCCCACACTGACTCTCCAGCCATTGTGGACGTGGGTGAGACCCCAGTTGATAAAGTACGCCACCAACTGGCCTCCAGTGATGAACATACAGTTGGTAACGATCAATCTTCCTCTGTACTTGGAGGGAGCGAGCTCACTCAACATCAAGGGTGCGATCAACGAAGCGATACCCACACCCAATCCCAACACGAATCTGCCAGCAATCATGGTCCACACGGTGTGGGCGGCTAACTGAACGACGGTTCCCACGATGAAGAACGCGTTGGAGCCAAGCAACACGGTTTTTCTGCCGATCAAGTTGGCCAAAACACCTCCAAGCACGGCTCCAAGCAAGGCGCCTAGCGAGGTGGCGGAAGTGATGAACTCCTTGTCACCGGACGTAAGCACCTTGCCCAAGTCGGTTCCAACATTCACCAAAGCAGACGAGATGTAGCCAGTGTCGTACCCAAACATGAACCCTGAGATGGAAGATGCCAACGTAAGGATCACCACCATCTTGGTGGGACGCTGGTGCAGTTCCACGAACGTCTGGCCCAACAGCTCGTCGCTGGGCTTGCTGGTATTGCTGGTGTGGGCAAGGAGGACGTTAGACGACGACGACGACTCGATGGTCACCTGCTCGTGTTCTGTCTGATTTTTCACGGACATGTTGAAGTTGGAACACTGAGAAGGATATTTGTGGATGAGAGAGAAACGGCAGATCCGCGCTTTTATAAGAAAACTTCGGCGGTTTGCTCTCGCCGAAACAACACGCCTTCTCCGCACCGCGCGGGCGGGGCCAATCAGCACGCGCGCCTCCGCGAGGGCATCGAATTTCGGCGGATTTTCGGTGGGATGCAGATTTCGCCGAGGGAGGACGATCGGAGGTTTTAAGCAAGGGTGGGTCCATGGCATGTTTCTGGCGGATTACAGAGCCGCTGGTGTGTTAGCAGCCACTGGCTAGACCCTGATACGCTTTTCTGGCGTTGTCGTAGCTTTCTGGGAGTGGAAACCGTTCCAGAGCAGAGCAGTGAGTGAGGGCACTAAATGTGGTGATGCCAGATGAAGTTCCCGAGGCTTAGCAGCTAGCGAGCGGTTGGGGCAGTTGTAGTGCAGTACGGATCTGGAGAGGCACCACGAGACTGCATCAAAGAGAGTAGATGCCACACGAGACTGCGTCAAAAAGCGTAGAGCCTGCGCCAAAGTGATGCCGCAGCAGCCGTGCATGCACGGCTCGTAAGGCCGCTGTCTTGCCGTGCTGTCAAAGGCAGCGATGGCAGGGTGTCATGTGGTGGGTCGTGCGGTTGGATTGCATTAGTTAGACATCATTAGTTGAAGCAGTATTTGCAAACATCATTAGTTGTAGTTCATAATAAAGCAATGCCTCATTAATTAACATTATTACTAGAAAGTTCATTCCTTGAAATTCACTATCGTTGATATGCTACGCAGTGCATCCTTGCAATGTACCGACTGCCTACCATAGATTGAATAATTGACCATGATTCCAACAGTTGTGTCATTTATTCACCTTTGATCCTTATCACATGTGTCTACTGCATCATTTCGCATATTGTGACCTCTTGTACTACTTGTAGCAACAAATAGAAGTGTCCTATGACTCTTTGTCTTGCGGTGTTTATCTGCATCATCTGATCCTGTAACTGCAACTGCTCCAAAAAAATACTAATGAGCAGCAATAATTTATGGAGCCTCCACCTGATACTGCAGTGGTGGCCTCTATGCCTGGCACTGCCAGAGCATGGCCGCCTCTGCCTCCATAATCTAACACTGTAAATACACTCATTGTCATCTTGTCTATTGATCACGTGATATATACCATGTGATGCCATATATAGTGATTTTCCATTGCAGCCTTCAACAATACCATCCAGCACAACTGATCTTCACAACGAGCAGCCTGATCTACTTTTAGACCTCTACCTCACTCTCGGTTCCTATTCCTACTCTTCCCTCTACAAGCTCTCTTTCTAGTGATATCTATTGAACACTGACTATTAATGAATTTTATGTGAAGAAACAGAGAATACCCCATTCACTCCTACACATGAGTTACAAAGTTACACAGCATACTTTTGAGCCGCCTATGTACATTCAACTCGAAGTGGCTGACATGACTGTTACCGGGTGATGGAAGCGGACTCGTCAACCATTGACGGAATTTAAGGGATTTATTTCTTTGGAGGATCGAATCTGAACTTTCTGTTCTTGATTGGTTGCCACTTGAATCTCTTGACCCAGACAGAGAGCAAGTACAAAGAGGAGACAACGATCAATGCTTTCAAACCCATCTTCTTTCTGTCATCGTGCTCTGGTTCAGCAGCCCAGTTCAAGAAGGTGGAGACATCCTTGGCCATTTGGGAGGTGGTGGCTGGGGTACCATCTTCGTACTCGACGGCATCGTCGAACAAAACTCTAGCCATGGCAATCGAACCACCTGGGAAGTAAGGGTTGTAGTTGGAGCCTGGAGGCAAGACGACACCGGCAGGAGGTTCGTCGGGGTAACCAGTCAACAAGGCGAAGATGTAATCAGCACCACCGTGTCTGGCCTTGACGATCAAAGACAAGTCTGGAGGCAAGGCACCCTGGTTGGCGGCTCTAGCAGCTTGTTCGTTCTCGTAAGGAGCTTGCATGTAGTCAGCCAACTTACCAGGTCTCTTTCTGGGCTTACCCTCGTCATCTGGCTCGTCGTCGTACTCCAATTCTTCGGCAAAAGCCTTAGCCTCAGAGGTGGTGTGGGAAACACCAACCAAGTTTCTCCATGCGATTCTGTCCAATGAGTGACAGGCAGCACACACTTCACGGTAGACCTGGTACCCTCTTCTGATGGAAGCATGGTCGAAGGAATCGAACATACCGTTATGGGACCAGCCATAAGCTGGTGGATGCAATCCGTGTTCAGCGGCAGTCATGGCGTTGGCGCTCATTGAGTCTTGGTACAACATGTATGAGGCAGTCAAACCAGTGGCACCGACAGCTCCGGTGAGGAACCGTTGCAACACTGGGTTAGATGCAAGTCTAGCGGTTGATTTGAACATGCTGTGATGTAGACGTTGATTGATGTTGTGTGAATTTTCAGATAAAAGTTTGTTAATAAGTGTGTGATGTGATTGGCTGGCTCTGTGCAGGAGGGTGTGAGTGAGGGTGCGTGCGCGGGCCGGAACTTCCTGGTGGCCGGGGAATGGTGCTGGGGAGGCTCTTCAGTTCCGTAAGGGTGATTGTGTGTAGGGCAGGTGTAGTCGTAGGCTTCTAGCTGGTGGTGGCTTCTCGTTTGGCGTTTTGACTCTTTTGGCTGGGGTTAGCCGCAAAATCCTTCCCCATAAAATCCAAAATTTCACTTTCGCCTTTCCTGTGCTTGCTACATCCCTCCGAATGCTCCACCGTAGTGTAACTGGGGATCTCCGTCTCGTAGACCCTTCTGGCAGTTCTTGTAGGCAAAAATCTGGTGCCAGCCGTCCTTCCCTGTCGAATGCCTTGATTATATGCAGTCCTTTAATATCGTCCCACACTACATTGGATCTATACCCAATTTTGTGCTGCTCCTACATTCAGCCTTCACGAAGCTATCCACCTGTATTGCTTTGTACGCCTCCATGCACCCTGTCCAATTTTCGCCATATTTACTTTCAGCCAACCACAGCTATTCTAAATGGCCCACTCTCCATTGGTGCAAAAAATCACCTCATCTGTGGTGTCCAGCCCGATGCGTGAGTCGAACCCTCAACCAACTGACTTCAAAAAAGTTTGTGGAGCCAAACATGAATGTTACTTTATATACCCCTACTTTAAAGACGATTTGCTAATTATCGGACTCAAAATGTTCAAACTCCCATTAGTTGTAGCTTACATTAACAAGTAGAATAAGATCGAAGAACTCGTTAATGGTTTGAACAAGAACCTTTACATTCAATGCTTCAGTATGATAGTAGATGTTGTGAAAGAGAATACTTACTATGTGACTTAGAAAAAGGCATATTGCCGTGATACAGTTTAAAAATAACCCACTAGTTTTCAATACTGATTTAGATTTATTGTCTTTTATAATTTTCCCGTATCAGAAGGACTATTGGCGCATAGTATTTGTTTAATCTTTTATGTTTCACCGACCTCATACTTCTCCTTGGACCCAGCTTGACTTTCTTGATTTTTCAGGGCTAAGGTGTTCTATATTTACATCCAAGATGTGACTAACTCCTGGCTTCAAAGTGGTGGAAGGTTAATTTCAAAAATCACCTCGACTGTCCATCTTGAGTGAATTTACAATATGCTACCGTAATGATTGATCACCATCCTTTTCTAACGTTTTCAACAAATGAACCTGGCAATATCATGCACTAGCATGCGAGTAAACATCGTATACAATACACAGATATAGTTGATTTCTTAGTCTACAGCCGGCACAGTCATTTATTTATTAATGCAAATTTACCACTTCTCCTCGGGATTAGCCTTGAAAGCCACGTAGTCGTCCCATTTGAACAAGCTCAACTCGGTCTCATTCTCAACCCCCAATTCCTTCAAGCTCCTGTCGATCTCGAGTCCTGGACGTTGCAACACCCAGTCGTCGTCGTTTTCAAAGTTGATGATCAAGTTCATGGACTTGCTCCCGTGTGCCTTGGTGTAGATCTTGAGGGTGTCGTACTCGACATTGCGGTATGGTCTCAAACCACCAGTGGTATTAATGATTGTTCTGACTTGCTCCACGAGCTGCTTGGGGGTAGTCTCCTGTAAATTAACAGGGCTCAAAATGTGGTTTTTGACATTTCTGTAGGGAAACGACTTGATGATACGCACAGTGACAAGCGCACTGGTGGCGGGCCGCACGTTGGAGGTTAAGGGTTCGCCTGATTCGTCGGACATGATGGATTCTGACCCCAGCCGGATCATCGCAGATGATTTTTGTCACGCGATGGTTGGGTCACGTGCACGAATCCAATATTTTTAACCCAGTTCCAGTGCCCGAATCGGCATAATTCCACTTCGTCTGCCCGTAGTGCTGCTGGAGCTAACCGTGCCAAGCCAGGTCAGGCTGATCGAAGTGTACTTCCGCTAAGTGTGCGCTACTTCCGCTTATTGTCTTTAGGTCTGGCCACCGCGACCCGCTGACAGAGGACGGAGAACACGTAAATAGGCTGTAGACCAACGGAGCTTTGATGGCAGATTCGGCACAAAGTACGCGGTGCTGAACCACCACGGAGGCGCTACAATAAGCGGAATATCTTTACTATCATTCTTTGTGCAATACTCAGGGGGGACCTTCTGCTATTCCAGCCAGGTCTTCATAGCCACCTTCCTAGTGTTGGATCGCCTACACCGAGTGCGGATTATCCTCGACAGCTGTGGAAGCAACTGCCATGTGGAGCGTTTTGGCCAGTCCATCGTTGGCAGAAAAGATGCGTCGCGTCATTCCCAATTGGTATATAATCCGTCCGTGAATGACACAACAAACCCTAAATGCATGCACGGTGCTATAGGACACGCAGCATCGCCAACAACAGTCCATATTCGTCGAAGTCACATACAATTTAGTTAAATACGCGACATGAAAATACGAGCCATGAGTGAATTGCTGACACGCTCATGTAGGCAGACGCGACTGTGGGTTTTCACACACATTTGAAGCAGGAGCGAAACAGCGATAGACGCGGCTCCTGGGAGCGCTCTGGCGACACCATTGCCTTGTCACAGCCAGGCAGCACTCTCGGCACCAACTGGACACCCATCGCCTCTGGCCCAACCGTCGTCTCGCATGTTTATGTTTACTCGTCGTCCATTGTCTGTCACGGTCGTCTCACAATAAGCTTTTATGCAGCCAAACTTTGTTCTGCATCGCGCGGGCTCCTAACCTCTGGGGACATTATATATCGCCAACCCTGTCCCAGCGGATTAGCCCAATGAACCATGCCACTCACCAAAGAGCCACCCTCATGGGTCCAGTTGCAGAACAAGACCATGATCCGCTGGATCAACCTGAAAATCGCGCACCTGGCGCCTGAAACCCCCCAGCTTGCCTCTGCTCCCACCTCCATCACCTCGTGGTCTGACCTCCAGGACGGTCTCGTACTCATCCGCCTCGTTAACCAGATGATCTTCGAGGTGCTCGCCAGTCCCAGACACCCCATGCACCGCACCCAGCTCTACTACCTCAAGCCGTTATACCCCAAGCCGAAGTTCCGGCTCCACAAGCTTGAGAACCTCGTGGACGTGTTGCAGTTTGTCAAGATGATCCTTAACATCAACGTCAGTGGCATCAGCGCTGACAACATCTACGACGGCGACCACAAGCTCATTCTCGGCTTCGTGTGGTCGCTCTTCCTCTTCGACTCTGCTGGGTCTTTCGCGTCCTCCTCGTCGAGCTCCGCCAGCCCTCCGTCGTTGGTGGAGATCAAGGCCATTTTGCTCGCGTGGATCAATCGCGCAGTGGCGCGTCGCGGCTTGGAAATCTCCAACTTCAACAAGGACTGGTCGGTGGAAATCAACCGTCCCGACTTGGTGTTGGCAGCCGTGCTCCAGCACTACAACCTCGGCGTGGGCAACCTCGACCCCCACAAGAAGCTCCACAATTTGGCTGCCGTGTTGGCGTACGCTGAAGACGCATTGGCGGTGCCACACCTCATCGACATCGACGACTTCCAGATGTTGGTGCCGGACGAAAAGTGCATCGTGAGCTACCTCATCGAGTGGTTCAAGGTGTTGGAGCTCGGTGGAGTGCCGGAAGCCACTTCATCCTCCATTTCCACCGCTACCACCGCCACCTCCTTCGACGCGGTGGTCCTCTGCGTGGCTGATACCGTGCGGCGCAAGAACCGCTACGAGACCCTCGGGTTGCGGTTCAAGAACCGCGCCAACCGTGTGGTGGCCCAGGTGTCTGCCGACTTGGCAACACTTGCCTACCTCGCCGAGCTGGGCCTGCTTGAAGCTGAGATCCGCCAGGTGGTGCAGGCACCTGGCTACGCCAATTTCGCTGGCTTGAACGCCCGTCTCGACTCGCTACTCACCACGCTCGCGACCTACACCACCGCGCGCGCGGGCCTGGTACCGGAATTGGCGTACCACAACTACCCCGAGCTCCTCCACCACTACTGCGCCGTTAAGGCCAGTTTGGACGAAATGGGATTGGTGTACTGTCCCAGCATCAAGCAGCTCGGCGTGGACCTGCTCTCGCGCAAGCTCGACCAGCTTCTTGAGCTCGACTCGTCCATGGTGGCGGTCTCCTCCAAGTTGATTCTGGCAGTGGCTGCAACTGTCGCACTGGCACTTGCGACACCTCTAGCGGGAACTTCCGGCGCAGGCGCCTCCTCCTCGCACGAGCTCGCACAGCTCCAGTACGTTCGCAACCAGTTACTTGCCTACGGCGATGCCCTCGCTAGCGACATGCGGTGCGAGCCCACCGACGAGTCCTCCTCCATGCCATCGTCCTGGAACTTGACCCCAGCGGTGTTCGACCAGTTCGCAGCCCATCTCGCGGCAGTGCCAACCTCAGCCTCCCACCACGACGTGCTGAAGGTGCTCAGGGCCATGGTATCCAGTGAAGTGGCCCCAGCCACCATTGATGCATTCATGCGACTCATACCCACTAAGTCGCGCGCTCTGTTGTCTGCGTCCTCCAGCTCCAACTCCATCAGCGACTGCGACTTCACCCTCAACACATCCACGTCGTCCACCACCTCGTTGTCGGACGAGGACGACTTTCTCTTTGACGAGGTCCAGCAGAAGCTCGACTCTCAATTGTCTGGCACTGGCGACAGGGTCTACGACGTGCACGAGTTCATGGCCAAGCTCGAAAATGGCTTTAATATATAGAGTAGATCTCTTTCAATTCTTTGGGTATTTAATGAACGGTTATGGAACAGTAGCGAGTAGGGGTTAGAATCGATGTAGTGGGGTTATTACCGATAATAGGAAAGACCGATTTTTCAATGATGTTTATGAATATTCGGGCAACTAATTTTATTTTTATTCGAAGAATTGATGCCTCGATGATATTTAGGATACTGAAGGACTCTGCAATTCTGGATATTTACCAATATAATAAGCTGGTTGCGCTTCGTGCCTCAATGATTTTTTTAATCGGTTATTAAGGACCAGTACTCATATTCAATCTCGATTTTTATGAGCGATTTGTTAGAATCGACTAGCTTGGTAGAAATCCCCGGAAATTCACTAGTTTCGGCTGGGGCCACTGTTTTTATTTCCCTGTTTTCTCCCTGTCCTTCACAGCATGAACCTGTAAATTCCCGTAGTTCGTCCGAGAAATATAAATCTAGATGAACTCACTTCAGTACTACTCGAATAGAACGCTTTTCATTGCGTATTTAAGCTTTACTAGACCCCTACCAAAATGGAAGAGAATACCGAGCCGAAACAAATCTATCAGTAAAAAAAATAGTGCCTAACCCCTATCATCCAAAACTAGTAGCCTAATTGAAAAAATCTAACCACTAGTGACCGAATCCAGAAAGCTAATGGAAAATGCATAACCATTGGGAAAGGCAAAAAAATTAATGGAAACTAACCACAATCGGAAATTTTCGTTTCCGTAGTCACACCGAACAAGCATTCATTACAGTACTCCCTTCCAAAATGTATTGCTAGAAAAAATTTAGTAAGCCAGATTTCAGGGCTCCGTTTGTACTATCTTGTGTTCTGTTGCCAAAATACTCCTTTCAAAACGAACTGGATTCATTCCTTATTCCCGTTTATCAAGGAGCCTTTTAGTCTATTGATTATTACAATTTTTTTAGTAGAACTCTTGGTTGTACTTTCTGGTAGTCCATTGCCGCTACAACTCTGAATTCACAATAATAACCATATTGCTAATCCAAATTTTGGTTTTGTATCAGCTTTTGCCTTATATAAAAAAGTGAAGTCTTCACCTTCAAAGCAAAAGAATTAATTTCGTACTTCATCATCGGTCCGCTTCCATCGATATTAATTTCTTGTGTCTCTGAATGGTAAAATTTATCATCTCCAGGACATCCCCGTTCCAAGACTACATGTCAACTGAGCCATGAATCACACTCATGTTATTATACGAATATTATTAAGAGCTACTTATCGTATTGCTTCCATTAGATCAGTAACCATTACGTAGACCCAGAAATTTCCGGGTTTGAACTGCGAAAAGCTAGCTCTACTAGCACTTATGAACTCAACTTGAAGAACGGATGCTCGATGGCCTCCTTGGCAGTGGGCCTCAACTGGTGGTCAAAGGTCAACAACTTGTCGATCAAGTCGATGACTTCTTCGCTCACCATGTGTCTATTATCATTATTCACAAAACTTTCCCATGGCTTGGTAGAGTATTGGTGCAAGATATCATCGTACTCAGAGCTTAGTTTAATTCCATACTTTGCCACATACTTCATGAGTTTGTCTGTACCCAATACCTTTGCTATTTGGACCAACTGGTCATTATTGGAGTCACCTCTGAAGAACGGCTCCTTTTTGAAGATGATGGCCGCAAGCATACACCCAACAGACCACAAGTCAAGCGAGTAATCGTACTGCTGCAAGTTGATGAGCAATTCCGGGCCCTTGTGGTATCTGGAGGCCACTCTGACGTTGTAGTCCATTCCCATGTGATAGAACTCGGCGAGCCCCCAGTCAATCAAACGGAGCTTCTTGGTAAGCGGGTCGATCATGATGTTCTGGGGTTTAACGTCTCTATGGATGATTCCCATGGAGTGGGAGTAGTCCAATGCAATCAAGAGCTGGGTGAAGTAGTACTGGATGTCGGAGATGGAGAACTTGGGGTATAAAACTCGGAAATCCACGTTATTAACTTTCTCGAAAATGAGCGCAGGGATCTTGCTCTGTTCGTCCCGGACAATGTCCAACAAGCCGATAACGTTGGGTCCGCCAGTTAAGTTCTGTAAGATCTTTACTTCCCGGTAGATTTTCTTCAACTTGACCGGCTTCAACACCTTGATGACACAGGGCTCGTCGTTTAGCACGTTGACGCCCTGGAACACTTCCGAGTACTTGCCTCTGCCGATTTTGCTGATGATCTCGTAGTTCTTGATGTTGCCCCATCCGATCTTGTGGTGCTCGTAGTCCCAGTAGTCGGCCGAACGGACGCTGTTGGCGTCGGCGTACACGCGAGCCACCGAGTATACCCTGGTGCTGACACTCATGCTGGTTGGTGGACGATTGTTGTTGCTGGCTATGGACTAATGTGATGCGCTTGAGTCAAGCGCTGGTGAGGGTGGTTGGGGACGTGCTGGTGTGCAATCACTGGTGGTGGTCGCTGGAGGGTGGGGCCGTTACTGTGTGTTCGGTGATGGTTCCACGAGTGGTGACACTGGTGGATTGTCGTGAATGGATGAGATTAGCAGAAAGTGCTCGCGATATTGGTCGTTTTGCTGAAAAATGGCGGCGGCGAGCCCTAAATTAGGGAGAGCTAGTGGTGGGCCGGGTGCGGGACGGGTGCGAGACAGTAGCGGGAGCGAGCTCCGAGCGAGCTCCGAGTGTGCTCCTAAGGTGGCACTGGGGAGTTTGGGTGCTCCTGGAACAGTGCCAAAGTGGCGGGAGGAGGCTGCCAGGGTCTGGGGTCTGGGATAACGGCTCCAGATGGCCGTGGACTGGCGAAATGAGGCCCTGTGGCGGTCTGATGGGGCGTGCTGGTGCGCGGAGCCGATCTTTATCTCCCGCTAGCACCATCCCCAGCTTCGCACTACCGGCGAGGCTCCCGCTAACTATACACGCCAGTACCACGACCACGTACTTACCGCTACCACGCTGTCCACCAACAGTATCCATACTGTAGGTCTTGCTACTGCCTCTATCTTCACCATCTTCACCATCGTCACCGTCCCCCCCGTGCAATGGAGGACCCCACTACTGTATCGCTAACCTACCAGAACACTTCGCTACAAGACGTCCAGGTATGGTCTGCTGGCCCCGCCACTCCGTACTTTTCGCCCTACCACCATCTTGATGCAACCGTGCTGCCTACTGCCATCCCGCTCTACCTAATCCTGGCTCCTCCCGCTACCATCTACTCGAACGACGCCAGCACTGCTGAATTCTTCAAAACTCATCTCCTCCCAATATCGCTAGCAAACGGTCTAGGACTTCTATTCAAGAGCGACAGCGCCGACCAGTACCTTGTGTTTTACTACGATGACCATATCCGCATGCTCGTGATCGACTTTGACGGTTTGAATAACGCATTGGCCCTAATTGATGTAAATTCCTCCATTGCATCCAATACCTTCATCGACACCCGACGAGCTCCCGTGCAAGAGAACACTCTGGTGTTCGACAAGGTTTTGGAGCGAAAGAAGCAGCCCAATCCGTTCATTGAGTCGGCCAAACCCAGCACCAACTCGTTGCTGGTGCTCTCGAGCCAGGAACACATCAACCAGGCGGTCAACAAGGTGATCCTCTCGGGTTTGCGGATCAGAGGCCTCTCCACCAGCCTGGGGCACTCTTCCAATGACAAGTTGACCATCAAGGAAATATACCACATGACATATAAGGCTGCGCTTTTCGGTTTACGAAAGTACAACTACAGTTTCAATGGGAGTACTAAGAAAAAGATTACGATGGACGATATCCAGGACGTGGTGGAAAGACTATTGGAGGTTTTCGTGGATGTAGTATAACATACGGTCACTGGGGAATATCATTCATGGAGTTTTGGGAATTTATAGAACATTTAGTAACGGTTTTTAATAGTACGTTTAATTCGGACCCTAGTAGTTCTGTTAAATATTAAATTACCAGGGAAATAGCATCCTCTTGTCAAAGTATAACTATAGTATGCCAAATTATCGGCATGTCCAGCAGTTATTCTCCTACAAGCGTTCTTTCACATCCGTGTCATTACGCAATGTTATTCTATTATATACAAGTCGATAACCCTATTTAAAGATCGTTTACAGAAACAACTTTACCCTCGTGGAACTCGTTGAATCTGGCTGGAGATGCCACTTCTGCTTGTCTTTCCAAAGCAGACTTCTTTTCAGCCTTGGTGTAGGTGGCACTGACGTTCTTGAGATGGTCCAAAAGCAAGGATCTGTCCTTCAACAAGTATCCTCTCTTGGCTGGGTTGGAGTAATATTCGATGTCTCTTCTGTGGGAAGGTCTGGCAGGCAATGGCACGTAGCCCTTCTTCAACAAGAAACGTTCTGGATTGATGTGTGCATCCAATGACAATTTGGTGAAGTATACTGAGGTGTAGGACTTTTCCAACTTCTCGATGGCTTGGATGGCCTGGTCCGATGCTCTGGATGCCTCGATGTTCAATGGGACGCTGTAGTCCTCCTTTCCGTTGGCCAAAATCTTAACCCCATCCTTCATGGTGCCGGTGATCAAGCCACACTCCTTCATGGTCCTTATAGTCAAGGTCTCGCCAGCCTGTAAAGGAATTCTGCCAGTGTTCCAGAACTCTTGGATTCTCTCCAAGTTAAGATCGAAGTACACTCTTTTGTGAGGTCTCTTGAACCCTATGATAGGGAAAAGCTTGTAGTATGGGGTTTGACCACCTTCCAACCATCTAGGCACCTTACCTCTTGCTTTCTGACCCTTTTGACCTCTTCCAGAAGTCTTACCCTTTCCTGAAGCTGGACCTCTACCAAGTCTCTTGTAGCTGACGACGGCACCGTCGTTTGGCTTCAAGTTGCCCATGTACGACACATTACGTGTGAGGAAGGACACGCTTTGCGTGACCTTTGTCTTGATTTGACTGAACATTGAACCTGTCGCAATTAGATAGTAGTGATGGTTGATGTTGATCTTGGTGAAAAATTGTCGTGGGTCGTGCGCAGGAGAATATGGTTGAAGGTAGTGAAGCTAGTTGCAAAATCCACGGTGATATGGAGAGTGCTGGGTACATTCCAAGTAGTGGCTGAAAGCTGTGATTTTCAAGTAGTTGAAATCTTTAATTTAAGGTGGACTCCGAGAATTGTTATGGCTGTGAAGAATTTTCGAACCTTACAGACTACTAAATGAGTTACAATAGGGCCATTTATAGCTATACCGCAATACTATACACCATCAGGATCTTCCCAGATCGATTATATATGTGTCGGGAGAAAAGTTTTGTTTTTCTTTTTAAACTGTTTCCCAGAAAGACGAAAATCTTCGAATTCCTTTGTACTGCTATTGTCGATACTTGTCAAATCATTTGAGGATGGAAATATTAGTTAGGTTGTACATTTACACTAGCTAAATGCTACCTAATCTCCACTCAACCTTAAAGCAACTAAAGATAATTGAATAAAAATTCAAATTTCTTCAAAATAAACACAAATTTTGGATTTTTGATTCTGAGATTTCCAATCACCACAGTGAAACCTCCCGCAATTGTACAAAATAGCTACTAAATGCTTCCAGCATCGAAAACGCTTACCTAACGATCCAATATGCTCAAAATCACAAGGGCTCTTTCTCCATCAAACCTAGAGTATACTCAGAAAGTTCAAAGGTGCGAAGTGAAATCTATGCGTTACGATTAAACCAAATTTCATCGAACAGTAGTCAATTGTTAGAATGCTTATTGGCTCATAAATAAGGCCGCCATCTAACTAAACTTCTAGAAAGCGTTAATTCTATTCAATATGGATACCAACTCTCTTTTGTCCTGGAATTGGGATACTTTACGACTAGGCCAACTTTGATGGACACATAGAATTATAACGTAAATATTAGCATAGACATATAGCATATTCAAAATGGGTTAATATTGAGATCAGACTCCGACTAGTACAAAAATAAGCACAAATTAGAGTCGACTTATTAAGCACAGGCAAAAACTATTATTCGGTATCAGGGTTTAATTGGTAACGTGGAGCTTAGAAGCTCAAGATCCAGTTCCCGCAAACGATCCTGGAGACCACTAGTAGATAAATGGGAACGTGGTTCAGAGCTTCTGCGGCTTCTGCTATTGCCACCAGTTCTACGGAATCACTATCAGAAACCAGCCCGTGTGATCACTTTAACTTTTCAATCAAGTCCGTAACGGTCTCTTTCCATACGCCGAGATCTTCTGTTTCCGCCCACAACTCGTAAAGTTCTGAGTCTTCGGTGAGGGCCAAATTCAACGCAATCTGGGCCTTATTCACCAATTCCACTGAAGGCTTCTCTTGAACTCTCTTCACCCATTCATCAACATGGTTGGTGTAAGCATCTTCTGCAGTTGACTTTCCGGATGCTTTCACCAATGCATATGCTGCTGCGATAGCCTCGGTGCTGTAATCGGCATCTAAGTATTCTTCCGTGGCTTTTGCCTTAATAATTTGATCAAACGCTTCTTCGATTGTGGAATAATCCGACTTGTCTTTGAGTCCATATGCCCAATCGCAAGCATTATCGTTTCCAAAAGGTTCATGTGACCAAGCCCCCATCTTGACTGACTTTTTTCTGTTTCAATTGTGGTCCTTAGAGTAGTTTAGAATAATCTCTACATTTGCCAAGAGGAAAAAGGTGGGGGAGTGTTTTCCCTCGGAATAGCGAGTTTGGAAAAATGAACTTATCTAAATGATCCCAAGTGATTATGTAGAAAAATACATCCAATAAAGGATATAATACGATCGATGGTGCGGAGTACTATTGGTTGTGCTGTTGTCTGCGGTAGTGCAGAGTTACGTATATCTAATTTTATTTTCGACTTGAGTTATCCATAGTGTCCTGGGGTCCAATTGCTAGTACTTCATTTTCTTCTCCTAGATATTCCTAACACTCGGAGCCGAGATTGTGATTTCAATGTGATTACTCCCTTATTGACTAAACGAGAATCTTGATCGTTATTCGGATAAATGTTTGGAATATTGTTGCTTGTCTGATAGACCCTATCGTATTTTCGCTTTGGATTCTAAAAACTAACCACTTCATACTAGCAGCCTATTCCGGGAGTTTGTGAGATTCTGGGACTTTTAAGTCCATGCTGTAAGCTACTTCAACCTCAAGCAAGTTTTCACGAAGTGAAATCCATAAACTGAAAAGAGTACCTACGTCTGGAGTCCTTCTGAAGCGAGCCTCTTACAGAAAACTGCAACGAGTTGTTTCTAAGTCATCGTCTGCTTCCTACCCACCAGTAATGACCGTGACCACACATTCGACAACTTTGTAGACTCTTTTCAGCGCGGTGGTGTTGATTGTACATGGTTTCTTTGTAAACTAATTTTGCCTGGTCTACTGATGACACTATGTAATAGACTATCTATAGGACAGCTAAGAATAGAAAAATTGGGACAGCTAGATCCATCTCCAATTTTCCCACCCACTTACTTACCTTAGAACCTACTTTTGTTTCATAGGCTGGGCTTTGGAATTCAGTCCGTCAATTTGTTTTATTGAATGGGCTCCTAATAATAACATTAAAGGTAATAAATTTAATTTACATTTATCAGTGTGAGGTGAAATTAATTCTATAGTTTCAAAATACAGCAGAATATAGAATATATGATAACTGCAAAGATAGCTATAACTCCACCTAATTTATCAGGTGATTTCTCTGAGCAATGGGTTCAAAATACTCAAATGATTTCATTATACTACAGATATCAACAAGAAGTTGTCTTTGTATGAATTTTCAAACCCTATGATTACCCCTGAAATAATTATAGCCGCTCTCTGGAGCGCATTTCGAAACGATAGAGTTTCTGAAGCTTTTGATTTTAGAGCTAATCACTCCCAACCAAGCAGTTCATGCTTTTAGTTCTCATGTATCTAGACTTATGATCATTCAAGCAATTATCTGGTAGATTGGGGTGCACCAGTATTGAAAATCACCAGAGTCAGGATTATCCATCTCCAATGGGCTTTTATAGATATCAATGAATTGATTGAGTAAGCCAAAACAACTTCATAACCATATCAACCTATATTTCAATTCAGAATTCAACGGTTTCTTGGAAGTCCAACATACTACTGCTAACACACCAAAAATAATGTCATCTTGAGCAAACTTGTTGTCAGTTTAAACACCAAAAAATATTTATTTGGTTTTGAATTTACCTTTTTGTCAATGGGAAGTATTCATAAACTACTGACTATGTAACTATTTCAATGGATAACACACCATCAGGGTCAAACCTTTATAATTTAGTTAATTTTTAAATTCGTTTCTTGAGCATTCTTTTCAACTTGGTACGCAACAAAAGGCATCTTGCAGAAGCGGCTCATGTTAAATAAGGTTTTCATTAGGAGCTTTGGCTGGACAAGAAGTTTACATCTTAAATGAAGAGTTAGCTGCCGAGCAACTTGTCACATATATCCTATTATACTCTAAAACAATTGAAATAGGTAAGCCAATAGTATTTTTCTAATGGGCAATATTTTAGTCAAATATCTATATTTTTCGTTTGTAATTAAGGATTTTAAATTTTTATTCATAAGAAAAAATTAGAAAATTTAAATTTACCTGAGGCGCGCTAAAACAGCAAATTTCAAGAAAAGCCTTTATGGCCAAGTTGGTAAGGCACCTCACTAGTAATGAGGAGATCGTCAGTTCGAATCTGGCTGAAGGCATTTTTTAATTTTTCACTTCGAATCGAAACTTTCTTTTTGCTACTTAAAACCGTCCATACAACCCGACTTCAGACCATTCCTTCTCGATAGGTTACGTATCATACCACCCACAATGTCCCAGAAAGAAGAAGAAGAGTTGAACCAGCTCATGGACCTCTTCAAGGAGTCTCCAGAGGAGGCCAAAGTCCGCAAAGAAGAGTTCCAAAAGGCAGTGGTTCAGCAAGCAGACCTCCTTGACTTCCCAGCCAACATGTCAGTGGTGACTGCGTTGGACGACCTTTTCGGGTGCTTTGCACTTGGAGGCCAAGTCAAGCACTACTACCGATATGGAACCTATGCCTCGTGTCAGAAACAAAGGGAGAAGTTCTGGTTTGCCATAAAGCACGGAGAAATGTACGAAGGAAAGCAAAAGCCATTGGACGAACTCACTGCTAGAGAAATCAACAAGCGAGTCAAGATCCAGGACTTCTACAAGCAACGCTGGATAGAAGAAAAGGCCAAGGGCCTGTCGGAAGATGTGTGGAGTGTTAGGAAAGAGAAGTTGGAGAATCCATTCAAGGGAAGTTTCTCCAAGGATTAGTCGGTTGGACTACTTGAGGCGAATTCCTGGATGGTGTAAGTTGGAAGGGATTGCTATGAAATAGAAGCAGGAATTAAAGATGGTTTAATATGCTAAAATCGGCTGGTCAAAGACGGTTAGGATTTAAAGCACACAGAATAGAATAATGGTAGTATATACCAGCGGGAGTTTACGTATTAACGAATGAGTATATCAAATATATGTACGATTGGACGGATAATTTGTCGTATTGTTACTGATTGATAGAATACTGTAGTATTGCTACTGATTGGAAGGGTATTGTTGTCTTAAAACTGATTGGAAGGATTATGCACGTCTTGTCACTTCAACTACAATTACAGGCCAAATCCACGGTTATTAGATTCGATGTATTAATTAGTCAACTATGGCAGCGAATGGGCATCACATAATGACACAGCCCTTACTTTCAGGCTCGTTGTCATTGGCACCCTTAGGCTTGGCGTTCAATGCACACCTGGCAGCCTCCGAGAAAGCTTCATTGACACCTCTATTTTTCTTAGCCGAACATTCCAAGTATCTTAATGCACCCACCTTCTTGGCCACTGCCAACCCTTCATCGTAGCTGATCAACCTCTTTTGTTGCTGGTATGGATTGCCCTGCTGGGAGTATGGGTTAAACGACTCGTCTTCGTTGGCATTGACGTCTTCCGCGTCCTCGTTGCTTCTCAAGTCACACTTCAACGCAACCAATACAAGCTTGACACCTTCGCAGTGGTCAGTGATCTCGCCTACCCACTTGGACTGGACGTTTTCCAACGAATCCGGCGAGTCTATCGAGAAACACAACATGATGCAATGGGTATCCGAGTAGGAGAGAGATCTTAACCTGTCGAACTCTTCTTGTCCGGCAGTGTCCCACAACGATAACTGGACCGATTGGCCGTCGATAAAGATGTCATGCACGTAGTTCTCGAACACTGTTGGTTCGTAGACCTGGGGAAAATACCCTCTGGTAAACACGTTCAAGAGCGACGTTTTACCACAGGCACCATCGCCTAGGATGACGATCTTTCTTTGTACTAGATGTTAGTGTGTCCGTGGGTCTGCTGGTGTTGAATGTCACTCGTGTGGTGACTGAGTCGTCAGTATCAATACCTTGGATTAAGTTTAAAGAAGACTGGCTGTGCCTCTTCCAGGTCACCAAGGCCAGCACATACCATCCGCGGCCGATGCTTGGCGCCCTCAACACCGTTCTTCATACGTACTGGTCTTGATTCCGCCTCCGCAAAGTCCCATCGTGCTTATCTTATATCAAACGGTTGTCGGAGCTTATTTTTTTTGGGTGAAAAATGTCAACGGGGCTTCTTATCTTCGTCCTGGTGGAGTGGTGTCGGAGATTGAGTCGTTGTATGGGTGTGGATTGCGGTGCTCGCGTAGTGAGGTCAGATCGTGGTTAGTTACCAGATCTTGCGTCGTCTGTTTTTCGTGCTGGTAAACAAATGCGTGGCGGGAACTGATTTGGCCAGCGAGGCTGAGGGGCGGGCCCTAGGACCAGCGACAGTGCGTGGATGTGGGCCGCGCCGTGGTGGTGGAAGTTGTGGTGGGGGCTCGCGGGTGGGGCCTCGCGGGGAATTAGGGACACTAGGGACAAATTAGGGGGGCGTCGTTACGAGGCAACTGGTGCTAGTGAGAGGGGAGAAGGGGCAGTAGTGTTGGTCAGCACTTGGTGGCTAGTACCTGGTGGCTAGTACGAGAGTGTCAGTGTGAGTGGCCAGTCCCACGGTGGTGTCTGGTGCACCACCAACAGGTAGTCCGCCTGATGGCATTTTGTGTTTTTAGCTGTGGCCTTCTACGATATTATTTACAATGTTTTGATTCGGGTCTTTTAAGTCAGGCTGCAATGCATTCGAGTAGACCAATGAGGACTTCCCCGCCAGAAGTCCAGTCTTCTGGGACGATACTGCTCTGCTTTACTGTGCTTAGCGGTGCTCATCTGTGGCTAGCTGTAGTGGCAGGCCATATTGTGTCCACGTTGCGGTTTGGCACAAATACTCTGGCTGGTGTGATTGTCCCTATTACGTACTGCTCACTGCTTGTTCCTCTTCGTTTGTTGTTGGAAAGCATGGCCAGGAATGACGGTGGTCTACCAAACTAGCCATAAAATTCGCCTAATTATCCGGAACCTTAAAGACGCTAGCCGTATCCGATTGCAAAAGTTCTGGCCCGCTAATTTCTGCCTAACAAAACCAAAGAAATCAAAAATATGTACCATTGGAATGCTCAAGCACACCACACCGGAAAGGTTAGTGCTATCGTGGGCCCGTTTTGGCACCAGTCACAACATTGTAGATCAGAAGACTACTAGGCAAGTGTAGTAGGCAGCTACCCTCATGCAAGTGGTTTTCATAAGGGCTAAACGTTCTTACCTCTCCAATGGACTATTTAACTTAGTGGTTCCCGACTGGGCAAGTAGTATTCTGTTTTTTGTAAAATACCAGCTCCATTTGATGTTCAGTATTTTTGCAGGTAGTCGGGTGGTATCTCTGGCTTGGGGTGGCCTTAGCAATCGGGAGCAAGCTAATTACGAATAACAAGGGAATGAATGGATCATTTTAGTAGCAGAATATGCGATCTTTTCGAATCAAGACAATTCACTACCAATTCAAGAATTATGTCTTTGACTTATTCCGATCGATCGAGTCTGACTGGCAACAGATAGAACATGTGCAAGCGTATGCTTCTTTTCGAACATTGTCCAGCTTCGGCAGCATCTCTATTTCGCTTCCCTAAACAGACTCGCGTGCCTGCGTTATGGTTATCGTTTGGTTACAAAGAATGCTAAACTTACTATTTTCTAGAATTTTTGTTTGATCCTCTATAGTGGATAAAGGGAAGTATAGTCAAATATTTTTGTAATTCAAAATTACCTGATAATCCATTGACACATCTATAATACATATTGTGAGCAGAGAAGCCTGTAGGTTGATATGTATTTAATGCCGTTGAGATACGACTAAACCATTAGAAGAAATTGTTGTACCTACTGATAAGTTTTAACACTTGTCAGACAAACTGTGAATATATTTCTTAGAACTCCTACGTTTCTGGACCGGATTTCTCGTCGTTCTCGTTTAGTCCCATCGAATGCTCCTAATCCATTATTTTCTACTAAGGTGGTCTTCCTACTATCTATTTTCCGCTGCCATTTGAGTCTGCAATTGCCAGTAATCACCTACGCTAACTGTCTCCCAATTACACCCAGACGATTTTACTTCCCAGACAGTCTTCCTACCCAAGGCAGTCTTACTAAGAACCATTTTGCTTCACACACAGTCTTACTTTCCCAGAAAGTCTCTCTCTTACTTCCAGACAATCTGTACCCCAACATCCACCTCACCCTCACCATTCAGATCTCACGTGCGTCCAACACCACGTCCTCCTTACCACCATGTCAGTAATAGAACAGTTCAAGGCCATCACAGGCCTCGAGGGCGACGAGCATGACGAGCTGGCGTCACGTCTTCTCTCCATCCACAACAATGACCTCAACAACGCCCTTTCTCAATACTTCGATTCTGGCTTCGACGCCATAGACCTCCAGTCACCACCAGACAATTCAGGCGTGAACGAGGCGCCTACGGCTTTCACGTCAGGAGTCGAAGCCCACGAGACTGAAGATATCCACCGTCGTCACTCCGAAGTGGTCAACCTCCAGAGCCAGATGTTCATGGATGCATTAATGCCACGGTTGCCCAAGGCCCCCAGAATATCGTCCTCGTGGCACTTGGAGGTCGGCATCCATGCCTCGCTCAACGACAGGGAAAAGCTGGTGGAGCTGGCGCTGGTGGACGACGATAAGGGTGCCCAAAGACCCGTATGGAGACTCCTCTGGTTCCTCTTGATCGTGCCCAAGGCGTTGTTGCAGATCCTCTACTCGGCTGTCAAGCAGTTGTTGGGATTCAACGGGTTGCCTCGCATCACTGACCCCAATAGGTTCCCCAGGACGTTCGACTACGCCAAGTACGACCCTGTCTCGCCTCCTCCTGTCGCTTTGGATAGCTACAACGTGCTGTCCAACTTCAACGACAGCTACGACCAGGCACAGAAGACATACGTTTGGCTCTTGGTGGTCCTTTGCAACGACTCAGACGAAAGCCAGCAGTTCGTGGCTAACCTCGTGGAAAACCCCCAATTCCATAGTCTTTTCAACAAGACAGACGGCACATACAAGGAAACGCTCATCCACGTTGCCAACGCCTCCTACTCACGGGAAGCCCACGAAATTGGCCTCACATACAAGGCCAAAAAGCTTCCATACATCATGTTGGTTGGTAACGTGTCCAGCAACCCCCAGACCGTACTCAGTTCCATGTCAATTCTCTACAAGTCCAACTTGCCAGGCCACTTCATCACCCCCGAAAACTCAACAAGCACTGGAAACAAAATCTTGAGGAGTATCTCAGGGTTGCTCGAGTCGTACAACCCTCAGTTGGTCAGCTCCAGGTTCGACCAGCAGGAGATGGAATTTGCCAGGTTGATCAAGCAACAGCAGGATGATGCGTACGTGCAGTCACTCGAACGTGACAGGCTCAAGAAGATCCAAAAGCAACAGGAAGCAGACCAAACGTTAGCAGCTGAGAATGCCGTCAACATTAGAAGAGCATATTTGGACAAGTTGCGGGGCCACAACTTAACCAATCCAGAAAACGCTACGGTTACCTCTAGAATAGCCATCAAGCTTCCCAATGGAAAGAGGCTCGTAGAGATCGTGGACAAGTCTCTTACGGTGAACCAATTATACTTGCATGTCGAGTTACAATTGTTCTTGCTAGATGAAGACCCCGTTGACGATGTTTCGGAAGAATTGGTGGTTATTGCGGAGGAGCTCACAAGAGAGGAGTACTATAAAGCGTACCCGTTCAAATTTGAGCTAGTACAGCCTTTCCCAAAGAAAGTGATACCTTCAGGAAACTCTACTGTGGGCGAGAGCAAGGAGTTATCCTCAGGAGGAAACCTTCTTGTGGAGTTTTTGGACGAGGATGACGAAGACGACGAAGAGTAGGCTTACCATAGATAAATACAGGATTAAGCCGTGAGATAGGAACAGCTTCTGGTATATAAAAATGGCCAACCAGGAATAACAATCAACTGTATACTATTTGGATCACTAAGGCCATAATGTCACTATAGAAAATCAGTATCGTTCAGGTACGACCTGTTGACCCCGAGTCAGGGGTTCAGGGAGGGAGAGATGGTGAAAGTTTTAGGGATTCAAAATTTCAGAAATCCAGAAGAACCAGACTTCTATGTTATATAACACTCCCTCATTACCAAGATACATCTCATCAAAAGCACATATCCTTCAATTGAGACGATTCGGTTCCCCCATATTCCAACTTCAGGTATTTTTGGGGACCTGTTGGAGAATCACCCCATAGACATTTAGTAACCTTCTTCATCCATTGCTATTAAGTCACATTGCTTTAGTGACCGAATGGGCCACCCTAATAGACGCTTATATGCTGCGATACTTCTTATCGTAAAACTGTAGTACATAATAAGAACAATGCTGAATCATTACAATAATAGATGATATGCATAAAGTTTAAGTAAAGATTGTTTCGATGGCTTAAGCCACCCCCACGATTCAGCCTAGGGTTGGAATTTATATCGTTCTGCGTTGCGTGTAGAGAAATAATTCATATCCTTCTACGGTGTACTCTCGGGTTGGAATCGATGTTCGAGGAAGGTGAATAAACAGAAAATGTTAGAAATGTACCCAATAATTACGGTCAGAGAATTTAGATTCCTCGAGTGCAAACAGAAACAAATGGCGAGGTGGTCCCTTGTTTTCTTTCTTACTGACTCTGCCGAAGTTGAAGTAATGGTAGGAACTCAAACACTCATGGGATCTCTATTAAAGAGGCGGAATTCATACTAGAAGTGTATTTGAAAGGAGATTAATTTCTGGTCTTTAAGTGGGAGATATAATTGAAGCAAAGACAGAAATAATAGTTGGGCCGGAATATTTAATGGGCCATCCCTACTGACGAGCACCTACCTTGGGATAATTCAGTTCTTGCCACGAACATGCCAGGAACCTCGCAAGCTCTTGCTACACCTGTCAGACTGCCGAGATATCCGATCCCCACCAGTTGACGTGCGCCAAGATGAGTTTTTGAGGTGATAGCATGCGATAAAGGACATCAGTGCCAGAATCAGAAAGACGGTTTTCTGGCGAGGCGATTCGCACGAGGCCACGGAGTCATCCTGGGCATCATGCCATCCAGGTGTCCAAATGCTTACGTGTGCCTCCCTGAGATCTTCTAGCATCAAACATCCGTACTTCTCGTGGCTTGTGCTTCGAGCTGTTGCATCTGTAGCTTCTCGTGGCTTCGTGGCAGCTTCTCGCTGCTTCCAGACCGCCGTGCGACTCCGCGAGTCGGCCCACCGCGAGTCTCCCTGCGCCAGTACCACCACCAGCATACACCACCAGCATACACCGCCAACATACACCACCAGCATACCAGCTACGCTGCCAGTGTACACCAGACCACGCCTACTGTGCTATCTTCCTTACTACCATTCAATCCCTCCCTCTCGCCAGCTCCTTCGCCCCCGCCCAAACTGCCCCCGCCCCGTCCCTCTTGGCGTGGTACGGCCCTGTGGCCAGCCGTGTCATGCTACCCCACGGATCACGTGGCACCACTGTCCGCACCTAACATTTAAGGATCGTCCAGCCAGGGTTATCTACCCCGGCCATCTGTGACAATCAGCACATCAGACAGTCAGATAGTCAGCCAACACTCAACAGCCAACAGCCAATCACAGACTCAGATCGTCAGTACCATCCTACTGCCGTTACGAAGCCTCACCAGCCAATTGACAGAGCCTCTACCACTCCTCCAAGTTAACCGCCAGCCAGCCTATTCTCCCCAGCCGCAGAACATCCAACCTCCATGAGTCGCCAGTCCAGATTAGACGCAGAGAAGTTGTCGATCATCAACAGCTCTAAGTCTAGAGGCAGATCGGTGTCGCCTTCGCGGTCCACCAACAACTCGAGGTCGTCGTCAATTCTGAACGAGGAGTTCAGCAAGGACCTCAAGTGGTCCATCACAAACCACGACCCGCTGGAAAGACTCCGCACCATCACCAAGACCAAGCACAACGACGACGACGATGCCACTGAGTTGTGGGACAACGAAGTCAGCGAGGAAGAACACATCTCCGACGACGACACCAACGAGAAGTTCCAGTACGACGACACCGGCAACATCTTGCCCAACTACGCGTGCCGTGACGAGAAGATCAATGAGATCTCCACCATCTTGGAAAACTCCAACTTGACCGACCAGAGCACCATCAAGAAGTTGGAGGAGTTGACCGCTAACGAACGCGCTTTTGCCGCCGCCAAGAACATCGGCAGCGCCATCGACAAGGACTCCTTGGACAAGTTGGCCAACGACAAGCACAAGCTCACCGGCCAGGAGGGCTTGGACTTAAGCAAGTCCGACCAGGACGTTCTCGCCAGAAAACAGAAGTTGGAGAACTACCAAGCATACAGAAGATTGATCATCGAAAAGAACCAAAACGCATCTCATATCCCCTCCCCAGCAGACAAGTCCGACAAACCAGAAAAATCGGACAAAAACGGAGATGAAGTCGAGTCCGATCCCGACTTCATGATCCCATACACCTCCGCTGTGGAAGACAGATTGGACAGCGAGTTCGCCTCTATATTGAACGAAACCATCAGAGAAGGAGAAATCGACTCCAACAGAAGTCAATCCAGAGTCATACAAACCATCACTAGGGGTAACTTCTTTCAACTCATTAACCCAAAAGTAAAGCCTAAGATGTTCTTGGTTTGTATGGACTTTTCTCCTGAGTCTATTTTTGCATTAGAATGGTGTCTTGGTACGGTTTTGGTTGACGGCTCTGTGTTGTTCATCATTTATGTCATCGAGGAGAACGACAACCATCATTTGAAAACTCATTCCGTAAATGAATCTAGTGCCGAGGCTTATAGATTAAACATGCTTACTAAAGCCAAGCAACAGGTCCTCAATTTACTCAAGTTGACCAAGCTTCAAATCCATATTGTTATTGAAATTGTTCATCATCCTATTCCAAGACACTTGATCCTCGAATTGATTGACAACTTGAAGCCGACATTGGTGGTTGTTGGTTCAAAGGGTCAAAGTGCGCTTAAGGGGGTATTGTTGGGTTCTTTGTCCAATTACTTGGTTACAAAATCTTCAGTTCCCGTCATGGTGGTTCGTGAAAAGTTGAAGAAGATTAATAGATTCAAGTCTGGATCCTCGGTCTTCTCAAACAACATCAAACCTTTGACATTATCTGAGGCTAGAATTGATTAGATTCAATTACAAATTCGTCTCATTTACCCATTTCTATGTTCAATTCTCTCTATTAACATATCAAACTATGTAAAATACTCCGTTAATAGCCAATTCGAATAAACCGATCAAACCAACAATCCCAAAACTAAACCAAAATCTGAAGAAGTGAAACCTAATAGTACAATTCCAAAAAGTTTTTTGCTGTGAACTTTTTGTTGCAGTCTGGCCCCGGGCATTTTGGGGGCGACACCAAGGAAGGATTAGTTATGGAATAAACCAAGGGTGTATTCTTAGTCCTTCTGGGTCTGTTAGCTATATTCTTAACACATCTGCCGCAAAATACGTGTCCACACTTAGATGCAAAAATCCTTTTTGAGAGGTCAATATCAGCGGAGGTGCATTGTAATGCACAGAACCAGGGGGCTTGCACCCGATATTCTTTGATGTACTTCTCGAAGTTCTCATTGTATCTTGAGTCGGGTTTAAAATCCGAGGGGATACCTTCTCCCAATACAACACCACAGAGTTCACACCCAATAGTGAGTTGTGGAGAGATGTTGTTTGTGTACCCGTGCTTTTCATTCAGGGCTTGTTCTTTCTTTTCTTGCAAGACCTTTCTATTGAACATGTTTTCGTTTGCCAAACGTTGGTCCATGGCCGATTCATTTTCCCTTTCGATACGGTTCATGATCGAGCTTTCAATGGCATCGGGGTCTCCCAAGCCATAGTCATCGAAATGCGGGTGGTCTTGTTGCCTTTGCAACATGCTGTGGATATACTCTGCCAAATGGTTTTCGGTGATGCTGCTGACTCGCCTGCCACGGGCGTTTCTCCCCGTGGCAGAGAATGGTACCCATACCCGGGATCTGAACCCGTTTCGGGACCTGCTGAGACCTTCAGACTGGCCAAATTGGGAATGGACCATGGAGTTGATGCGGTTGAACAGGGGCAATACCGGTCTTCGCGAGCCGTTGTATGGAGCGGGGCCTGGCGGACGTGCTATGGGACGCTCGTTGATTATCTCGATTTCCCCGTCAAAGTCGTCGTCGTCGTAGTCTTGGTGATGGGACTGTTGGGGGGGTAACAGACTTGCCAAGGGAGCTGGGCTGGGGTTGGACCCTGTGATCTGGAGGTCATCATCGTCGTCTTCGTCGATGTGGACCACCCTCCGAGGACTTCTTCGTCTCCGTGTGGCGTCGCCAGTGGGTCGTACGTCGGTGACTTCGATTTCATCGTCGGATATCTCGATGACTTCCTCAACTTGAGGGTCTGTTTGGGGGGCGCTAGGCTCGTCCAGAGCGTGGACAGTGTCTTCCACCGAGTGGGGGTCGGAGCCTGTCTTTGGAGTGCCCAACTCCTCCCCTCTTCGTATGCTGCTCATGGCTCGAGGATGGTGTCAGGATGAGAAGGTTGCACAGTTTCACCTCGTGCCGCAGTAATCACGGTTGGAACACAGCAGATACTGGATGCCAGAGATGGTCACTTCGCAAGCAGGATTGTCGTCAAGGACCAGGTGGTGGATTCCGTCTTATCTGCGTTGCTTACAGATCTGATGGTAATAGTTGTGAGAATGAGATTGTTTTTTCCCCATAGTGAGGAGCAAAAATGAGTGACAGCTGCGAATGGCAACCACACCAGATCAAACGCCGCCGGAGCGCCACTGAAACGGTGTTGGAAAAGCGCTTAAAGCTCTTGACAAGTGCCCGGAACATACGAACGGATTACGCCAACTTGGAGAGCTTGGATGGAGTTGCTGAGGAAATGTAGCGGTGTTTGCTGGGCTGTTGCTTATTGTGTTGCGAAAAGGACCACTGGGGCTAGCAGAGCAACAACGCCGCTGTAGAATGCTGGACAGTATGGGTGATGTGTGGATAGAAGTGCGTGGAAGTGCGTGGAAGATAGTGAGTGCTGGTGGAGCTTATGGAGGTGTTGCCGCCCAGAAGAGATAGAAATGATGGCTGTAACTTCCATATGGTACCAGTGAGTAAAATGCAAAACTCACGTTGGGGTTCCGCCTGAAACGTGTAAAGTTTGCTTGTTAATGAGAACCTGACTCCAAGAGATCCTTCGTCTTGAGATAGGTGCTCTACAAGTATGGTCTGGGGTAGACAGACTGATGTAGGTAGAACGGGGGCCTCCAATGAGTATCATTTGGTCCAGCAGGATTAGTAATATTATCATTGGGTGGTATTACTACTTTGGAAATAGCTGTTAATACTGTCATTTGCTTGCAAGTTTCGCCATTCACGGTTGGCTATGTGACAATTTCTAATAGCCTTTTATGCATTTTGCTAATATTCCATGGCTGACACATTGGGGGACTTTCCACCAATTTAATACTGTGTAGCTGAACGATACTGGCAAACCATAAACCGAATTCTGGCAAAATAGATCAGTGTGAGTTAGCTAATAACGATACTGATACTCCTAATAACCCTGATAATAACTCTGAAGCCCAACCATTCGGGCCGAGTTACGCAATACCTGACTAGCATACTCCAGATCTCTATAAAGAAGTAAAATTGTCCACAATCACGGTATTTCAAATACCCACCTATGTAAATTATCCACCTGCCGATATTCAGCAGGAACACTTAGTGAAGCAAGATATTTGATCACCTATCCCATTGCAATTACTAATAATTTTATGGTATTTTCTCTCTAGATGACTGTACAAGAAATACTAAACCCATACTATGATACTAGTATAATATCTCACAGAATTGGTCTTCTAAACCTATTATCTGTTTCTTCAACGAATGATTTATTCTTTCTATTTATCACAAGTTGCTTTCCAACATTGACGATTGTTCTGCTCCATAGATTGAGCAGACTTCCATAAGTATCAACGATCCACAATCTACGATACTTAATGGTATACTTCATTGATTTGATATTAATATTCATTAAATCAAATAAATGGGACTCTGCCATGACTGTACCTGTTACATAACAACAGAATTGATCGTAATTTGAATGCACTCTTAGACTAGTTATCGACCTAACCGACACCAGAGGAGGATAGTTCTGTTGTACTTGGAGCTTCAAATGAGTTTCCGAGTATTTCCTATCAGCAATAGCTCATATCAAAGTGCCACAATATGCAATCCACAGCTCTAGCAGCGAACTATATTACCCACGGAGCCTGTTGAATAATTCCTCCTGAAGCTTCAATCACCTACACTCACTCCAATTACAATTCATTTATAGTTATTATACAATCTACCAGAAACCTGGCACAAGAACAGATATATGCATACAACAGTCCAGCACCTCGCTTACTTCTTCAAACCACTTCTGATGTAACGACCAACGACAACACAGTGATCTCTCTCATATGGTTCCAAGGTCAATTGTTCCAAAGGCTTGATTCTTTCTTCTCTCAACTTTTGCACTTCTCTGGCGAACACGGTTTCAGCGTCCACGGTGGAGTCAATACAGTTGGCCTTGATGGAGATAACAACGGTACCTTGGTCCTTCAAGAACAAGTGGGAGTTCAATGCAATAATACGGGCTTGATCCGGTTGGGCAACATCGGCAAACACAACGTCAACCATGCCAACCAACATACGGTACTTTTGTGGGTGACGAGCATCGTCAATGATTGGGATCACGTTAGGTCTCTTCTTGGCCATACCGATCAACTCTCTACCTGGTCTGTGAGAGAATTCAACGGCGTAGACGGCACCTTCTGGACCGACAACATCAGCAACGTAAGAGACGGAAGTACCAGAAGCAGCACCCAAGTACAAAACCTTCTTACCTGGAGCAATACCTAATTCATCGATACCACCCATAATACCAGCAGCCAACTTGGATCTGAAAGGGTTCCAGACACGGTATTCGACCTTGGTTGGGGCTTCACCTTCTTCCTTGGCTGGCTCTTCAACAGAGATTCTCTTTTCACCACAGACAGATTCACCTGGAGCAGAGTTCTTGGTGACCAACAAATCTTCCTTACCTCTGGCAATGAAGACACCGGCGTGTCTGTGAGGTTCGATGACGACCTTGGCACCGCCTCTGGCACCACCTCTGGCACCACCACGGCCACCTCTGGCACCGCCTCTAGCACCGCCTCTGGCACCACCTCTGGCACCACCACGGCCACCACCGAAACCACCTCTGGCACCACCACGGCCACCACCAAAGCCACCTCTGGCACCACCACGGCCACCACCGAAACCACCTCTGGCACCGCCACGGCCACCGCCAAATCCACCTCTGGATGGACCACCTCTACCTCTTGGAGCACCGAAAGCCATTATGTCTTGATATTCTTTCTATTTGCTCGATATGTTCGATTGGTTTTCAATTAAACCGTTATCCAACAATGATATAGAATCAAACTAAGTGTAGATTTGAAAAATTTTCCCTATAGACCGATGGCTCACAGCGAGATATCGCGGCCGGGTAACATGTGATTACATAAGAAATCTGGGATTTGTGAGTGTGGCTTAGTCAGCGAGCTCAGGGGGTCCGCTGGAGTGAAGGGAGGATTTGCAACTAGTGCTGGGGGAACAAAAGGGTTGGTTCGAGAGTTAGTTGGCATATATATTCAAAATAGGCTTGTGGATCGTCTGTGTGAGTTTTGGGCTGAAAGAGCTCTTTTTGGTGCTGTTACAAGGAATAATATTTCAAAATAAAAAGACATAGACCTCGTTTGTAGAATAACTCGGGAGAGAGGCGATTTATTGCTACAATATTAGGCATGAGTAATTTGATGTTTGTAGACTACCTACTGGTTCACTTACAGCACTAAAAACGGTCTCTAGGAGAAGTTATGGCCGACTTAATTTACAGGATGTTTCCTAACACGATGCCCATCATGCGGCGCAAATTAATCACGTGTGCACACCAATAACCACATCGAATTGTGGGGAAGTGTATTCGACGCCAAACAAGACGTACACGCAGCCAAATGATGAGAAAGAGTGTACACTGGATAGAACATCTAATAGGCCCCCTAGTCCCCTATACGCACCTATTATTTCCTCGGCTATCCCCGTAATCTCCCGTTCCTAAATGCAAATTCCCAGTTTCCAGCTGACTATCATATCGGCCGCCATCGCAGGCCCAAAGTACACCTGCCAGCACCCACTAATACCCACATCACTCTTGTTCTGTCCATCAGCTCCACACAATATCTCTGGCCAATTGCAGTCCAACGCGTCACGTGCGCACAGTCACCCGCTAATCTTCGGAATTTCCAAATTGAGCCAGCTAACGAACGGATAAAACTGTCAATGGTATATAAGCCCCATAAATTCTAACAACTCCTTGCCGACACACCAGCATTCCCTAGCCAAAATGGGATCTGCCAGCGTAATAGTCATCGTCGTGGGAACATTGATCACAGGCGCTGCCAACTCGCTCTTCACCAAGTACCAAGACAACCAGTGTGTGAGACATTGCAACAATCCCGATGTTACTAAGCATCGTAACTTCGAGCAGCCAGCACTCCAGTCGCTCCAGATGTTCGTGGGAGAGTTCTGCATCCTTTTGGTGTACTACTTGATGTACAGAACCAATCTCTTCAGAAGCAAGAAGGACTACACTCCCATTGGTGACGAGGACCAACTGGACGAAGACACCCTGATTTCGGTGTTCGAGAACGTGCAATTGGCCATTCCTGCCATCTGTGACTTGTGTGCCACCACCTTGTTCAATATCGGCTTGGTGTACGTGCCAGTGTCCATCTACCAGATGACTCGTGGAGCCGTGGTGTTGTTTGTGGCGATCATGTCGGTGCTTTTCTTGAAGAGACGGATCTCCAAGTTGGAGTGGATCGCATTGGCGTTTGTAACTATCGGTGTGGGAGTCGTTGGGGTCAGTGGCTCCAGTTCCCACTCTGACGAGTCCGCAGAGGCCACCAAGGAAAGTGCAGCCTTGGTGTGGTTTGGCATTGCCCTCATTCTGTTTGCCACCATCATCCAGGCGTTGCAGTTCGTGGTGGAGGAGCACATCTTGAGCAAGAAGGCCATCAGACCCATGAAGTTGGTGTACTGCGAGGGTTTCTATGGCATCGTGACCATTTCAGTGGTGCTGGTGATTCTCAACTACGTGCTTGGAGCTGTCCAGTCTCCAGACAAGTTCATCGACTCCCCATTTAACATTGGCGAAGCATACTCCCAATTTGTCCACAACAAAGAGATCTTTTCCACGTCCATATTGATCATGATCTCCATTGCTGGTTTCAACTTCTTTGGCATCACCATCACCCACCTTCTTTCTGCAACCTCCAGATCCACTGTTGATACCTGCAGAACCTTGATCGTGTGGGCACTTGCCATTTTCATGGGGTGGGAGAAGTTCAAGTTGCTCCAATTCGCCGGGTTTGTTATTCTTGTCTTTGGAACTCTCTGCTTCAATGGGGTCATAAAACCCGAAGAATGGCTGTGGATCCCCAAAAGCTTGAAGACTGAGGCGTCGCCCAGATTACTTGAAGAAATCGAGGAACCCATCGAGAGATTTTGAATGGTGGAAGAGACTATTGGTTCTAAAAAGAGGCAATTGATGGGCCATAGACATATGAAAAATAAATGATACAGTTGCCTTCAATTTAAGTCAGAGTACTCATAGTTGGATCATGGTATACTAGCTGAAGATAGTGATCATGTAGCGTAATCTCCGTTCTATTTAGCTATTTATCTAGTAGTTTCATCACCGCCAGAATCGCCTTAAAATATTGATTTTGAATAAATGAGTCCTAACTGGCGAGCCCTCAACTCCGAATAGGTCTATAACGGGAAGCACCCTTCACGTCGGAGGATTCCACTACTTACCAGCTGTCAGTGTACAACATTAGTATTACTGGTGGTGGTGCCTTATCCATACTGTGCACGTGACCGGCCATGCTCACTCGATCTTAAATGTTTGCCACTTCAGCCTAAGGCCAACTTTTCAACAACCACCACAATGGTATGTAAAGCAAGGCTACATTGGTTGAAACGGAGTCAAAACGTTTATGGTCGTGGCTCTTAGCTTCATGGCTAAATTTTTTGATGTAATTGAATGTCTTTTGATGCCACTACGAGGTGGTTTTCGTCATGAATTTGGAAAGCTCAATACAGATTTAACTGACGACGAAAGGCCTGTGAGGTGGCAGGTGGCAAGGTGGCAAGGTGGTAATGTGCAGAATTGACGTCTTCTAAGATCTTGCTCATGAGGTTGTCCTGGAGAGCTGGTTCTCAGAGACCTGAATACCACTACACTATCAGCGTGGCCATAACCGTGTTAAAAGACACTCTGCATTTGCCTTTGTCCCGGATTATCCTACGGTCCAGAACTAACATCTAGTCCTTGAAAATCATTCCAGAGAACAGCCAAAAATCGTCGATAAGCAGCACCTCCTACGGCGAGGCTGCTGCCCACGCTCCAGGCTTGCAAGACATATTAAGAAACCAGGAGGGACCCTTAAACTTGGCCTCCAAGTTGAACAACAGACATCCATTGGAGGCCCGTATTGGCAACTGGGAAGAAACCCAGTACGACACCCGTATGGAGACCTACAGAAGAGTGTTTGGGGCTGGAGAACCCATCAGAAGAGCTATGGAGTTGGAGATCGTTAGTTCTGACTTCAGGCCAAGCATATTGGGAGGCCCTGACTCCATGCACAGAGACATCTTGCTCAACAAGGATGCCTCGGTGGACTGGGAGGATGTGTACACTGGCGGTTTGGAGAGTGGGGCCAACGTGAAGGACTTCCACACCGATATGGAGAAGAGCGTGGGTATTTAGGAATTACGAGTTAGAAATGAATGAACCACAGTGAAACATCAAGATGAATTGTAGTTGACACGAATCGATTGAAGTACTAAAGTATGGCATAGACATGAATCGTCAGATTTCAAGGTATGGAATTAGACGTGTACCACATGGACTGTCACGATATGGGAATAGTACTAAAGAGATTGCATGAGTTACACCTACTTAAGATGAAGTCGAGTATGAGTTATCAATTAGGTATGATCATACCTGAATTGTACCGTATCAGATCTGGAAATGATAATAATTTGACATTTCCAACATTAAGGCTCCAGTGTGGCCTACTAGTTAACGCCTACTTTGGCATGATATGTAAGAGCAGCCCCAGTGTGAGGTTTCCTCTGTAGTTAGGCATATTCAGCTTGAGGATGTCATCCTATGGGTCTTCAGGCTCAATCACCGTATACTACACCCTGATTGACCTTTTTCATGGAATAGCTGGCTATTAGAGATTCCAGTTGCAATTTGTAGTACCATTGGCTGCTCTCCCAGTAATAGCACTGGCTGTAACATTAGTACCATCTATTGGCAGTATTGGCTATTCTTCCAGTAGCACTGTTGTGTGCACCACTATTAGTGCCATTGGTGGTATGGCTACTCTAGTACGAGTGGTGCTGGCTCTACGAGTACTCTCCTGTCAGTATCACCAGGACTTCCTATTTGCCAAAGGTCCATAGTAATCAGCACAACTGGAAGTAGTACCATTCGCTCTTATCTATCCTACCAGTAGTCGTTATATCTACCAGTGGTAGCTATTCTGCCAGGCCACTGACTATTCTTCAAGAGTGCCATTTCTACCATACCACTGGCTAGTCTACCAGTAGTCTTTGGCTCTTTCAGAAAATATTGGCTCTATCAGTAGACATTGGCTCTATCAGTACCATTGTCAGTAGTAGTACCATTGGCTATTTCACCTTACCACTGGCCATTCTGCCACTCCACTGGCCATTCAAGAGTACCATCAGCACCAGTAACTGACCTTTCTACCACACCACTACCTTCTACGTCCACCCCAGACCTTTCATTTCTTCCTCAACCGCTCACTAAATTCGAAAAAATTTTCAACACTACTCCAAGCTTCAGTACTAGCTCCAGCGATCTATAGCATTATACACATCGACAACCCACCAGCACATCCAGATCTGAACATCGTACATCATGTTTAAGACCAGAAAAGAAATGAATGGCGAAGACTACGGCGCCACCATTCCCTTGAATAGAGGAGGCCAGCGCTACACCATCAACGAGGTGTTCGACGTGTGGTACCAGAACCAAAGCCAGATCTTGGCTGCAGACGTCGAGCTTCCCGTCAAGAACGGCGAAAACTACAAATTGACCAGACCCAGAGAGATCTACCACTTAGAACTAGCCCCCAGAGGCTTGGACGAAAACGGGACGGCTGCCAACGAAATGGCGTCAGTTGAGGACTCTCTCGCGTCCACCGCGCTTGATGACTCCTCAATGGCGTCCCAGCAACCGGAATCGACTCCAGTGGCCCAGACACTGACGGCTGCCCCTCTTCCCACTTTGCCGCCAGGATTGGCACCTCCTACCATGGAGTCGCCCTCCAACGTTCCACTCTTGACCCCCGACAAGATCGAGTGGTACTACATAGATCCTTTGGGCACGGAACAGGGCCCATTCAACGGCGATTTGATGCAAGAGTGGTTAACGGGTGGCTACTTGGACCTCGAGCTCCGCATCAGAAGAAAGGAAGAACGCAACTACAAGCCGTTAAAACAGCTCTGTGAGGCAGTCCAGAACTACATCCAGCCATTCAAGGTGCCACTTCCCGACTTGAACCACCAGCCAGCACTTCCGCAGTTCATTAGCCACCACCCGCTTCCCCAACAGACCCAGTTGCACCAGATCTTGTCCCACGGTCCTGGCAACTTGGGGTCTGCCAGCATGAGGTTGAATCAGCTCGGGTCCCAGACCAACTTGTTTGGAAATGATTTCATCAATCCCGACCCATTTGCCGTCAGTGCTCCAGGTTCCAGTGCCTACCCTAATCCATCTGGCTTTGGCAACATGGACCCCATGCACCAAAACTTGGGCTTCCCGTTGAATATGCCGACATTGCTCCAGCAACAGATTCAGCACCAGCAGCACGCGCAGCCTGGCTTGTCCAGAAACAACAGCGGCTGGGGACTTGATGGTGCCAATGGGTTGATGGGAGGAAGTTCGCCTGGAACGCCAGTATCCGTTAACCCTGTGTTATCTGGACAAATCAACCAGCCTACACCAATTTCTCCGTGGTTGACGGGTGTGCAGTCGCTGTCCCGTGTCAACTCGCCATTTGTTCCATCCTCCACCATCACCAAGGAATCTTCGGAGCCACACACAGACGACCATGTCCTCGATGGCATCCACAGCTCCGTTGTCACCGATATTTTGGGCGACGTGGAAGAAGCCAAAATTCCTGTGGTTGCTGAGCAGGCTCCTGCTGTTCCCGAGCCTGTGGCCGAAACCGTTGAAGAATCTATCCCGGAACCAGCTACTGAGGCTCCAGCTCCAGCTCCGGCTCCTGTTGAAATTGAACAAGAACAACCAGTAGAGGTGGAAGAAGCAGAAAAAATTGAGATTGCCGAATCCTTGAAGCCGGCTGTTCCTAGCCAACAAGAATTGGCCCCATGGGCCTCGTCCGCAGCCACCAACTCGCCAGCATTGACATTGAAAGAAATTCAAGCTTTGGAAGCCGAAAAGATGGAAAAGCAAAGACAAATTCAACTCCAATTGAAGGAACAACAAATGCAACAAGCGGCTGTATTGAAGCAATTCGCGGTTGAAGATAAGCCTGTCGAAAAGCCATTCCTTCCAAAGAGCTCCAGCTGGGCCACCAATGCCCCTTCCACACCTACCAAGACATTGGCCGAAATTCAAAGAGAAGAAGCAGAGGCCGCAAAAGCAAAGTCCGTTAAGACCAAGGTCTCTGTTTCGTCTGCCAGACCATCCTCGTTCGCTAGTGCCTTGGCCAACTCTGTACCTGAAGAAAACTCTGCATGGACCACCGTCACTGCTAAGAAGCCGGTGGCCAAGAAGCCTACAGCTTCCCAAATCCTTACTCCCAGCGTTCCAACCAAGACCAACCCTCAATTATTGCGTTCAGTTTCGGCTCAAAGACCCGTTTCCAGTGTCAACAACAATGCAGTTAGGGAAGAGTTCTTGATTTGGGCCAGATCTTCCATGACCAACTTATATCCAACTGTCTCCAAGGACGATTTATTAGACATCTTCATCACCTTGCCAGCTTCAAGTGCTGACTCTTCATCGTTGATTGCCGAGACCATCTATAGCTCTTCGGCAACGATGGACGGAAGAAGATTTGCCCAAGAATTTTTGAAGAGAAGACAAAAGGTTGACCAGCAAATCGGCAAGAATGATGAAGGAGCATGGTCTGCTGCCATCGCTTCTTCTGCTGACAAGTCTGTTACTGTGGACGAAGACGGTTGGAGTACTACTGTCAAGTCCAAGAAAAAGGGCAAGAAGTTCTGAGTGTGTCTCAGAGCTTTGTAAATAGCACCAAAAAGAAAGTAGTACATATTTTTGAGTTCAGAATGGATTTGCTATTCTTGTATTGTAGTCACTTCTAAGAAGAGATACTTGGCAGTAAGTTGGAGATACACTTAACTGACTTTGTTCAATTACACCAAAGCAATCTTTAATACTTCGCGTGGTATAGGGGTCATCAAGTTTCGTTGCTTCTTATCTCAATTAGTTGTAGAAGAATTTATTAGCTTCGGAAGTGGTTGGGTGCAAAATTTTGTAAATTTTATAGACCCACATTTTATCTCCTGCTGTTCAATATTTACGATGCATAAGACTTTTGTGGAATTCAGAAGACAAGGCATCCTGATATTGAAGAGGACCACTACAAAGGTCATTGTTCGATTACTAGCAATTCCGTTATCAATTAGCCAACTATATACGGAATGGAAATATACATCACACGAGCATGGTCCAGCCTCACTTCAACATTGTTCCGATGATTTTTACATTCTCCTCGGGTATCATGATGATTCCCAGCTTGGCCATAGATAAATAATTCATCTCAAACACGTAGTCTTCATCCTTATACTGGGTAAAGCCGTTGATCAACCTGCTGGCCACACCCGCAACGATTCCCGTGGAATCTAGGGGGAGCTTTTGAAAATCAATGGTTATGGGTATTATTATATCTTGTGCAGATCCTATGATGCTTTTTGAGTCGAACCCCATGCGGGATCGCTTTTTGGATGATTTTGGGAGGATCAAAGACACTTCGTTGATTGATGTTCTGGTGATGGCGAAGTAGCTGGGAATGAACTCGGTCGATGTGAGCACCTTTGCTGCCTTCAAAATGGTGGCATTGACTTCTCCTGATCTGGCACCGGTGAGAAGCAATTTGACGTCTTGGTTGATGACCGGTTTAATGTTGGCATTTTCGAATAACCTGAAAGTGGCAGTCTCGAGGTCCGGCGACTCCACGACTTCCGGTTTGGGGGTGTCGTCGAAGCCGCCAACGAAGCTGTTGGCGTTAGTAAATGTGAAGTTGCTTTTGGTCAAGATATGGATGACTTTTTCTCGGAACGAGTAGGGGACAAGAACTATGTCGTTGAAGTGGCTCGACAAGAAGAATAGCGAGATCTGGTTTTCCGAAAGCGGCTTGGTGAGCTCCAAAATCAGGTCGGTATCGAAGCCACTATCTGTGTCCACCTGGAGGCTCAAGAAGTTTTCCTCGAGCAATTCGACACCAAGACCGAGTTGGTGGCAGAACAGGATTGGCTCGCTAAAAAGCGAGTCCATGAGGGAGCTGGAGCATATGACGGTGCATTCGGACGGGGTGAAGGCGATGTGGAAGAAGTAGTCATCGTTTTCGGTGTCTTCTGTGTCGGATAGCGAGGCACTGGCCTGGCTGTTGTGACGGCTGTGCGACAACACAGCAGCAGAGGACGAGGCATGGTCGTAGTCGTCATTGGAGAGCGTCTTGCTCGAGTTGTCCACGGCCTTTGCCATGCCGTTCTTGTCAGAAGTGGACGAGAAAGTGGGATGTGAGTTGGACGAGGAGTTTGTCGACGGACTCAACGTAGAAGAGCGGGACAAGGAATCGCTGGAGCTGGCAGCATCATCGTCGGAGTCGTCGGAGTCGTTGTCGGAGTCGTTGTGGTCTTCAGTCTTGGACAGCTCGTTATAGAGGAGCTGGAGAATGGGGCTGGTGAACACCCAGTAGCGGCTGCGAGGGATCAGGAGGATCGAGAGGCGGGTGGGGTTCAAGTGGACGTGGGTAGACATGGCAGGGATGCTAAAATGAGAGCCAAGCAGATATTGATGTGTGAAGCTTTCAATCTCGGCCAAATAGAGTGAAGGTTTCAAATAGCAGTCGAGAGGAGTGAACGAAATTAGCCAAATCGAATGGGTGTTTCAAGTAGCAGGTGGGGTTTCTTTGACTTTTTAAACGTCCAAAAAAATTGCCCAGTAGTATCGATGGTGACGGAATCAAATAGCAGCCAGAGAGGGTGAAGTTCAATCCAATGATATGTGCCTGAATCTTTCAATGTCCAAAGTCGATGAGTGATGGTCAATAGAATGGTCCAATGCCTGTTAAATCTCAACGTGGAGGTCACTGGAGCTCTGCAAAGGCCACTGGAGGTCTTTGAAGGTCGCTAGAAGTGTCCGTGGTGCTCCTGTTTGATATGCAATGACTCACTGGTATGCTCGCGCTGTGGATCAATCCAGAATGTCTCGTCTTCAAAGGGATGCTCTTCTGTGGCTTCCGTCGTTTCCGTGGCTTCCGTAGCTGTCCTTTTCTGTCTTCCGTAGCTTCTTCTGTGCCACTGCTGGTCCCGTATCCAAACTCAGATCGTGAATTAACGGATCTTCCTGGCCATATATTCTGATTCCCCATAGTGATGGAGGCGCACGCTCCTATGCGCGCCAGGGGCCCTGGCGATGGGGTTTGATTTAGTGAGGATCTGGAAATTAACGGCTGGGTGGGAGGTGAGCGGAGGCATTGCAAGGTATTGCAGTACGGATGTTGTGGCCCGGTTGTGGTGGGCTGGGATGTTGTCTGTAGGTGGTAGTGCCTTCTGTAGCGCCTATTTGGGAGGTTTGCTGGAGTCCCCAGCGATAGCGTTAAGCCACGGTGAACCCTCGCGATTGTAGCGAGGACACCGGAGATAGCGGGGCAGGTGGCAGGCAACCAGGTGAAATTTGGCGGGGCAGAACGCTAATGGGGAAACGGGGCCAGAAGTGGCGCCAGCGAATACGCCAGAAGCCAAAGCTTGTTTCTTGTTTGGGGTTGGCCCCTACTAGTTAATTTTTTGGGCATTTTTGGACACCTTTATCACCAAATTAGCCCGTTTTTTAACTCCAGGACGAGGCGTCCAGCGAATGGAGAAACTCCTTCAGAATGGGCGTTTGGCTGCCGACGGCTGGAAGGGCCCAGGCCGGACTTCTGGCCAACTTGGTGGAGGAGAAAATATCCGATCCTCCAGTACCAAAAAATTACGATTTAACTTTTCTTCGTGTATTGATCGACTGTCCGGTTAGTTGCGTAGTCTCTCAGCTATGGGCTTTGGGGGTGGTTGAATAGGAGTATTGGGTCATATCCCCATTTGGTACCCTCCCCTCCCTTGTCGCTTTGTCTGTAGCATAAGTAATTGCGGACGAGTCTGGACCATTTTCAGCCTTGGAAATCAATACCGAATCCGTTGCTTCTACATAGACTAGCCGGCCAATCCGTGGCGACCATAGCGTTCGTGGTGATTTGCCGTCCCATAGGATTACCAGTGAATGTTCAGAGCAGCACCAGAATTGCCCAGCCTGGAAATTAAAAGCTTCTGCGGTGCCTTTCTATGCCTAGTCATGATCATTTGATTACTCCGTATCTATTTACCCGTACAAGTGGAATACTGCCACCCGATGGTCTAATTGAACAACTCTCTCCTGGCTCGAATACCCCTATACACTAGCCAAATTCTGGCGCTCGTAGAAGGTCTCGTATAACTCAATGGCCTCCTTTTGCGATTCGATCGAGCTCTCAATGAAAATCTCCACGCTATTCCTAAAGTCCTCGATCTTGCCAAACTCAAAGTTGGCCACCTCCGACTTGATGGTGTCGCTGATGGTGTTGAACTGCTTCTCGTAGACTGCAGTCTTTTGCTTCAACTTGTCCACCTCGAACGCCAACAAATTGTTCTTGTCCACTTGCATCTTGTACTTTCTCGTTTGCTTGTCCAACTGGGCCTGCTTCTTGATTAAGTCCTGGTTGAACGTATGATATTGCTGGTACACCTTCGTCCGTGTTTCAAACACAAACTTGATGGACCCGATTATCCTCAAGTACTCCTCGATGGTGAAGCCCAACGTTAATTGGTCCTGGAGGTTAATTCTGTCAAGGTTTTCCTTGAGCTTCAATTGGACCTCGCTGAATGCACTCAACAACTCGCTGGTGGTCTTCAGTATCTCCAACTCTGCCAACTCATCCAATGCAAGTGAGATTTCATCCAAAATCCCAATCAAATCCATTCTCTGCGTACCAATCAATTCAATTGCCCGGTAGAAGTTCCTCAAGTTATGCTCCAACTCGTCGATGTACTGCTTCTTCTCGATGAAATAATCATCTGGCTCTGACACCTTAGTTGAAATGGAAAAAAGCGAGGTCATGAACCCGCCACCACTGATTATTGGTGCAGACATATTGCTACTTGTGCTTCCAGACAAGCTGGAATCGTCATCTTTGTCATTATCCAACGAGTCGTTGTTCTGCAACGACGCAGCAGAACCACTCTGCCTTTCTCTTTCTCTGGATTCGTTGGCAAAATCCTCACTGATCAAGAACATCACGAAGTCAGGATCATTGCTCAACACAGGAACATTGCTGATTTTGCTGAGCATCTTCTCAAGAGAAAGTCGCCTATTCTCAATGAAGTTTTCATTGAATCTTCCAATGTATGTTTGCTTGGTTGGAGGTGGTGGGATGATTCTTCCAGGATGGTTGTTTTGCAACTGATGGTATATCCACCTGAAATCCTTGTACCTTCTTGCCACTGTGATGGGTTCTGGTGTGACTGGTAAACTTTCTGGACTCGTATTTTTGTTCCTTGTCTTTATATTGTAGACTATGTGAGCGGTAGTAATATCACCTACCTTCATTGGATCACTAACAATAATATCCAAGCGGTTTGCTGCGTGGTTGGTTTCCTCTGGCTCGTTAGGCTTAGCTCTTTCAACTAGAACGGGGGGGTTGGTGAGCTCTGGTTGGTCGTTCTTGGGAAGCTCGTACAATGGGGCATTTGCTTCTTGCACAAGTTGTTCCGCTTTGTTGTTGGACTTGATGGAGCTAAGGTCGTTGGATCTTCCATCCTCCGAATCTAAGGGGCCCAAAGGATTGGAATTGGCCGGAACTATCTCTTCTTTGTTTAGTTTTCTGGCATCCAAGTGCTTTATAATGGACTTGGAACTGTGCTTTCTGGACCTTGGGTTGGCACGGTATGCTTGACTATTTTTGGTGTTCAAGGTTTTCTTGCCTTTGCCTTCGTTTGTTTTTGGAGTTGGTTCGAATTTTATGGGGCTATCCTTCACGTTGAACAACGACTCGGAAGGATTGACCTTCTTGGGCGTGACAATAGATGAAGAGGCTAACAACAGATCCTCTGCATCTGCGCCATTGGTTAATTCGGATAAAAGACTGTTCTTATGTTCATTACGTTCTTCCTTCTTCAATTCATTCAATTGTTCTAACTCAGCTTGTTTGATATGATCCACCGATTGATCATTAACTGGATGGTCTTCGTCATCATAACGAGATGCCTGGACTTCTTCTTCTTCGTCCTCGTCTTCTTCTTCGGCATCTCTGCCTATATGTAAATCATTGAACTCGTTATTAAGATTGTTGGGAGTATGAATGGTGCTTGAATTCAAATTGCCAAATATGGACACAGAGCCTGGCGTTATTACGTCATCCCAGTGAGAGGCTGTGAGGTCGTCTTGCTCCATTGTCGTACGTGTTTGATGGTGCTGCTTATCTTCAGTATACTTCGGTGGTTATAATCGTGGCCATTCGGCCCGCACTTGACGGAGTGCTGACTAAGCAATTATGTAAGCCTTGCTACAACCGTTCCTGTCCTGATTAGCGGGCAGCTTCGAGTAGGCTATGCCAGCACAATGTGGAGTCAGTCTACATATAGACTTTCAGAGACTTCGGTATTTCACAGGTGTAAAAATCTAAAAAGAAAGGGGCGAGCTGGGAATTGAACCCAGGGCCTCTCGCATATTTGATGTCCAACTCAGTAAACTGAATTTTCGCCCAAAGCGAGAATCATACCACTAGACCACACGCCCTAATTTTTGATTATGAAATTATCTGTATCAATAAGTGTATACTGGCAAAAGCTTTTTCTGTTATAGACCTTCTTCCGCCCCTAACAAACAATCAAATACCTTGAAGCATTTCTGCTATTCAAAATATATATGTTGGAGCAAAAAGGTGGAGTATGTTGAGCACCAAGTTGCAAAACGTTAGCAAAAAGCAAATTTTAATTATTTTTAGTTTATAGACCGTAATGGTGTGTTATGCATTGCAATAAATATATAGTCAGTAGATTATAATATTCTTCCTATTAGCATAAAAATAATCTTATAGTTCCTGTTTCTCAACACTAGTTTATTCTCGGAAGTTATCACAGATATTAACCCAAAATGAATAAGTTTAACCCTATCAGGCACATGTAACATCTATCAAGCATACGTAAGTTTTAGCGGACATGGGTAAAATACACCAAGAATACTTAAGATTTAACAAGCATATGAAAGTTTTGCGTGGCATTTTTAAGTTTTGCCTCGCAGACGAAGGTTTTACAAAGCACATTTAAGTTTTACCCGACAGACAAAGGTTTTACTTCACATAGAAAGGTTTCACCTGGTAAAATTAAGTTTTATCATGGATCAAACATTTGTACGTCACAACCGACATGTAGCATGGCTTTACCAAACCCTTTCTACCACTTACCACTCGCGCTTGTCTGAAAAATTGCTAAAACAGTATTCCAGCCTAGGCATTAGCTAAAAGGTATAATTCAAAAGGATTGCTTGTGTAGTATTTATTTAATGTGTGAATGGTCGATGTTGGTTTTTGAATACAAATCAGGAAACTGTCGTAGTTGATTTATAATGTAGCTCAAACGCGAAATTTGAGTTGGTTACATTTTTTAAAGAATCTTAAATTTTGACATAATTATGAAGATATCGTAGAGAACTCCAATTGTGAAATAACTTAAATCACTACTTGTCTATGTAACTATCGCCAAACAAGTTTGAGGGATATCGGCTCTCTAGAGGAAAGAGATCATGACATCTGAAAAATGGAGATTCAGAGCTAGTGGTTTAGTCCGTGTAGTTAATATATTGTACCATTTCCTAAACTAAGGATTTACTAAGTAGTCAAAACTACAGAAATTTAGTCAAAGTAGAACTCCCGGTTCCTGAGGTATGTATTTCGTACTATTTTCATCAGCTGTAAACACCATAACTAGAATAAACTAGTGGCTGCCTTAACATCATCCACGTTCAAGAAATCCGACTTCAACTGGAATAAATCCTTCAAATGTGAGTTCAACAAGTCGTTTGGCCAGGTGACGTCGCCCCAGATTCTCGTTTTAAGACCGTGCTTATGGGCCAATTGGAAGTAGGATCCAATTCTATTTTTCTGGTCCTCGGTGAACCCGTTGTATTTTGCTTGCTGGTAAGCCTCCTTTCCCAACAAATCTTCCAAGGAGCCACTGGCAACTTTCGCCAACTTGCTGTATTCAACAAGGGTGTTTTCGTCGCTGTCGGAAGAGAATTGCAGCAAGGGTCCGTCAAGGAAGGTGTAGCGAATTTTTTCTTTTTTCACAAGCTCAGTGGGCAAGTTTCCGGTGATGGTAATCACCACAGGGCCAGGATGGAAGGTGTCGGTGGACGCATCGTAGTAAGCGAGGTATCCCTTGTCGATGAAGGGTTGCAAAAGAGGTCTGATAGCATTGTAGGTGGCTTCAGGGTCGGTTTTGAAGTCCATCCAGAAGTACAACGGAGTCTCTGGAGAATTGTAGAAAACTCCGTGCTTGGACTCGAAGTTCTCCAAGAGTGGACTGTGCTGGTCCAGGCTCGCTTCTGTGTATGTGAATGTGGGGTTGGAGTATTCCAAGAACTGGAACAATGGGTTGAGATAGAGGTTGAACAAGGTGTCAATTGGCTTCAAATACACCTGGTTGTGACCTACGTAGACCTCGGAGCTGCTATAGTACTCAGTGCGGGTCTTGGAGGTCTGGGACCCTCCAGTGGTCTCGGTGACGGTTCTATCCACTTTGTAGCCTTTGGGGAAATACCACACATCGCTCTCTATGGACTGGCATCCCGCACCCAAGGCATCGAAAAATGGGTCCCAACGCCAGTAGTCGTTGTGGGAATGTAACGGTTTGACGTATACGTCTCGAGTCAAGCTCTCGACGGTGTGGTTGAAGGGAAGAATAGGCGTGGAGGCGCCGGATCCGTCGTAGGCAGAGACAGGAGGGCTCGAACGGGCCACAGGCTTGAATATGCTGATCATGGCGGGTCTGTGTAGAGCTCTGGTGGGGTGGTGTGTGGAGTGTGGAGTGTAGGTGAGTTGTGGTTTGTGATTGTGCCTCGTGGGCCGAGTTGCTGGCGTGCGCACACCAGTACCACGTCACATGCAGACCGACGCACGAGCCGGCGAAGTTTCGGCGAGCAGGGCCACTGTTCCACGCAGAGCCCGCCACCGGCCCGGAGCCGTTGGGAGTTCACCAGGAGGCCAGGGGCTAACGTCCTCCAGATCGCACAGCAGGCGACGCGAGGCTACGTAATCCTGACACAATCGATCGGAAAAGCCATCCTGCATACGGCCAGAAGCCAAAAAAAGAAACGGTTCCTGAGAACACAGAAGGCCAGGCTGTACAATTTGGAGCTGTCACCATCAGTGCGATTACACCGGCCCAAGTGCAGGCAACAAACCAACGTTGGGTAAAATTGGTCCTGCACACACTTGAGATGAGCTACAGATGGCCAAAAATAGACAAATCGGCAGGATGGCCACGCTTCAAGCAGGTGGTCGGTAGAACTGCGAGACCAGCTGTAGAGAGATTGCGATAAATTAAAGTAGTAAGGGATTAGCAGAGGGTGGAGTGAAAAATACAAGAATAGCCGCAGCTGGAAGTCCATGGCAGCGTCAATAACTGTAGTGCCCAGATTGGACCCAGTTTGATAGTACTGAAAAGGATTTCTAGTATTGAACAGGTTTATTTCAGTTCTCTCCGGAAAACTGTAGCCAACACCAGACTTCTCCTCTGCTAGCATCTCCCCGCTTCCGTGGAACCCCAGCGAATCCCCAGACTACAACCCCAGATTCCGGGATTATTCCGAGCAGTTCCCCCTGTGGCCCTCACACTGTTTCTCCGTGACTCTCGACCAGCGCCCAGCACATTCTTCCGGCAGAGTGGGGGCGCGTTGGAGACGAATCCCCGCCCAGGGTCTCTAGTCGTATCTCCCCGACGCAGGTGCAGGCGGCCACCCCACTTGGGCGTGTTCTGCCGATGGCATGGATTGATACTATGTGCCAGATTCTCGGAGGAATAGCTGGCGCCCTCCGCAGAGACTGTGACGCATGGCGCGCACAACACGTGAGTGCGACCACCCTCGTCACCGCGCTTTGGGAACGGAAAAATCGGACTCGTTTCTTTTTCCTGCGATCAGCACCGTTTCTTTTAAGGTTCACCGTGTACAGGCGGGCATCACTTTTGTGGGGGACTGGGATGACACTGACATAACAACCTGCAATATATAAGGCCCCAGTATTCCCATCCACTTTCTTCTCTCCACACATCTTCACACAACAGCAATGACCGTCGAATCCTCCCAAGCCCCAGTCTCCATCGTCAACAAGGACATCGGATCCCTTCCAGCTGCTTTCCCAAACTTGTCCCCTTCCATCTTGGACCTCTTCTCGTTGTCTGGTAAGAGTGCCATCATCACCGGTGGTGCCAGAGGTATTGGTTTCGTCATCTCCGAGGCCTACTTGCAAGCCGGCTGCTCCAAGTTGGCCATCATCGACTACGCCGACAACGACGTGGTGTTGCAAAACTTGAGAGAAACCTTCCCTAAGGCTCACATCACCTATCACCACTGTGACGTCAGAAAGGCCGAACAGGTCGAGGAGGTCATCTCCACCATCCACGCCGACTTTGGTGTCATCGACATCTTCGTTGCCAACGCCGGTATCGCCTGGACTGCTGGTCCATTGATCGACCAAGAAACCGACTTCGACTGGCACAACGTCATGAACGTCGACTTGAACGGTGTCTACTACTGTGCCAAGAACATCGGAAGAATCTTCCGTGAACAAGGCAAGGGTTCGTTGATCATGACTGCCTCTATGTCTGCCCACATTGTTAATGTTCCACAATTGCAAGCTGCCTACAACGTCGCCAAGGCTGGTGTGCTTCACTTGGGTAAGTCTTTGGCCATCGAATGGGCTCCATTCGCCAGAGTCAACACCGTTTCTCCTGGTTACATTGCTACCGAATTGTCTGACTTCGTTCCAGACGAGCTCAAGAACAGCTGGTACGCTGTCACTCCAAAGGGTAGACAAGGTTTGCCAAGAGAGTTGTGCGGTGCCTACTTGTACTTGGCCTCTGACGCTGCCACCTACACCACTGGTTCCGACATGAGAGTCGACGGTGGTTACACTGCTGTTTAATTGTACATTAGCTTATAGATATGAAAATAATAATGATAATAGAAATGGTGTAGATGAAATGGAATTTCTGGCTTCCAAATGATTAGCCATCAGTCTAAAGTACCGGTGTTGCTAGCGGTTTCGGAGCTACAAATGGAACTAGTGAGCTTGTCGTGAGGGATGCACGATGAGATCGCGGAATTTCGCCGTTCCTGGACCGTAAGCGGACCAGGACAGTGCCCCTGGACAGTATCCCTGGTGTGCAGATCTGCATCCTTCGATCCAGATGGTCATATTTGGCAATCGCTGACTTGAGACTACAATGCTCTATGGATGAAAACAACTTGTAAAACACACAATGCAAATCAACTGTGCCCACCAGATATTTTCTAGGTGCGTTCACAAAATAAAACGCACCCCAAACAACCAGTAGAAGTAAGGAATACCTTGCAGGAATAAGGAGGACATTGCTTGAGCCAATGGTATACCTTTATAGTTCAGGTAATAATAAGTGCCAGAGCCCAGGCAATTGATAACGTGCCCGATCTCAGTGGGCTGGGCTAAATGGTGCTTTAATTGGAATCCATGCGTTCCCCACATGTGTTTAATATTATTCTATCTTATTAATTCTGGTGGGAGCAGCCCCCAGAAACTGCTCGTGGGACTTCTAAAGGTCCTGCCAGTGTTTTGGGTCATCTGCAAAGTGTAGAGCCGGCAAATCGGGGATTCCGGGAAAATAATGCTGATAACTAATATACACTGTAGAGCTGATCCAAATCGAGGAAACCCTTTAGAAGTAAGTTTTCTGGTTGGCTAATGTTCACAGAAAACTACTCTAGTTTCCAGTGGATAATTGAATTGTCTTGAGCTGTGCAGAGAATATTAGAGAACGAATCTGGCCCTTCCGTCCAGAATTGCATGCAATTTTACCTGCTGCATTGGTAGAAATATCCTCGAGGCCAACACAGTGTGCTGCTGCCACTGCATTGCCACCGCATTGCCACTGCGTTGCCACGAGTGACAGGTCACTGGCTGTTCGATTGCTGATGACATCACCTCCAGAGACGATCTTGGTAGGACAGCTCGTATAGTTCCTGGAATCTCCGGGAGTCACGTGACATGATGGTTTCGAAGGGAGCAGGAAACGGCCAAAACGCCACCAGCGGCGTGGAGTGCAAGCTGTCCAGTGCACCAGCGTCGACTGTCCGTCACAGCTCGCCCCGCCGCCGCTTCCACCCTCTGTTAGACATCCACACCGCATTCTGGCTACCCGGCCCCGGATTCTGGGGTCGCGCGTCACGTGACCGGCTTTCTAATCCCAGCAAACCGATTGGCCAATAGGCAGTGGCCAAATACCGTCCACCACCTCTGCCACCAGCACCGCTATTGGCTTCCAGCGGCCGTAGCCCCCTCGCACACCCTCGGTAGCCTCTCTGACCTCTCTTAAAACCTCTCTTACCCCCCCAAAAACCCCAAAATCCGCCTTCCCCGTACTCGCTTTTGTGTCACCTCCACCAATAGCCTTCACCAAATTTCCAAAAAACGATTTCTGCTCACTTTCCACTTCTTCCAAGAAACAAATTACTATCATGCTTTCGTTACGTGCCAAATGGAACGTCGGACGCCGTGCCTTGTCGTCCAGTGCCGTCTCCCGCCAGGTGATCGGCTCCAACGTCAAAGGAACTGACTTTAACGCCGCCAAATACATGAGCCAGAAGTACCACGTTATAGATCACGAGTACGACTGTGTGGTTGTTGGTGCTGGTGGTGCTGGTTTGAGAGCAGCATTTGGGCTTGCTGAGGCAGGCTTCAAGACTGCCTGTATCTCCAAGTTGTTTCCTACCCGTTCGCACACCGTTGCCGCCCAGGGTGGTATCAATGCTGCCTTGGGAAACATGCACAAGGACGACTGGCACTGGCACATGTACGACACCGTCAAGGGTTCTGATTGGTTGGGAGACCAGGACGCCATCCACTACATGACCAAGGAAGCGCCCCAGTCCATCTACGAGTTGGAGAACTACGGTGTGCCTTTCTCCAGAAACGAGGAGGGCCGTATTTACCAAAGAGCTTTTGGAGGTCAGTCCAAGGAGTACGGAAAGGGAGGTCAGGCCTACAGAACTTGTGCTGTTGCCGACAGAACCGGTCACGCATTGTTGCACTCGCTCTACGGTCAGTCTTTGAGACACGACACCCACTTCTTCATTGAGTTCTTTGCCATGGACTTGTTGATGGAAGACGGTGCCTGTGTGGGTGTGGTTGCCTACAACCAGGAAGACGGAACCTTGCACAGATTCAGAGCCCACAAGACCGTCATGGCCACTGGTGGGTACGGAAGAGCCTACTTCTCGTGTACCTCTGCCCACACCTGTACTGGTGACGGGTACGCCATGGTCTCCAGAGCTGGCTTGCCATTGGAGGACTTGGAGTTCGTCCAATTCCATCCTTCTGGTATCTACGGTTCCGGTTGTTTGATCACTGAAGGTGCCAGAGGTGAAGGTGGTTTCTTGGTCAACTCCGAGGGTGAAAGATTCATGGAGCGTTACGCTCCATCCGCCAAGGATTTGGCCTCCAGAGACGTTGTCTCCAGAGCCATCACCATGGAAATCAACGAAGGAAGAGGTGTTGGTCCAAAGAAGGACCACATGCACTTGCAATTGAGCCATATTCCTGCTTCTGTCTTGAAGGAAAGATTGCCAGGTATTTCTGAGACCGCCCACATTTTCGCTGGTGTCGATGTCACCAAGGAGCCTATCCCAATCTTGCCTACCGTCCACTACAACATGGGTGGTATTCCAACCAAGTGGAACGGTGAAGTGGTCAAGAAGAACGAAAAGGGTGAGGACGAGGTTGTTCCAGGTTTGTTGGCCTGTGGTGAGGTTGCCTGTGCTTCCGTCCACGGTGCCAACAGATTGGGTGCTAACTCGCTTTTGGATTTGGTTGTTTTCGGTAGAGCTGTCAGTCACACCATCAGAGACTCCTTGACCCCAGGTACCCCTCACAAGCCAGTTTCCAAGGACTTGGGTTACGAGTCCATTGCCAACTTGGACAAGTTGAGAAACGCCAACGGTACCAAGTCCACTGCTGAAATTAGAGATGACATGCAACACACCATGCAAAGAGGTTGTGCTGTCTTCAGAACCCAAGAAACTTTGGACAAGTGTGTCGAGCACATCAATGTAGTCGACAAGTCGTTTGCCAACGTCAAGACCACCGACAGATCGATGATCTGGAACTCGGACTTGGTTGAGACCTTGGAATTGCAAAACTTGTTGACCTGTGCCACCCAAACTGCCCACTCTGCTGCTGCCAGAACTGAGTCCAGAGGTGCCCACGCCAGAGACGACTACCCTGACCGTGACGATGAGCACTGGAGAAAGCACACCTTGTCATACCAAACCAACTTCGGTGACAAGGTCAAGTTGGACTACAGAGATGTCATTGCCACCACCTTGGACGAAAACGACTGTAAGCCAGTTCCTCCAGCCGTTCGTGTCTACTAGACAGCGGGCATTTCCTGTATATTTCCATGCATGAACATACGGATTCCGATTATTTAGTTATTTATTCAATGTTTCGACAGCGACGTGTAGGCTAGAGAATGAGTGGTATAGGGTGATTTCTTACAGGTACTGAATGAGAGTAAGAAGCAGAACCAGAGATAGAATTGAACTGTTGAAGTTATATATTGAGATGTCTTGAAGGAATGAGGATTGAAGAAAGCCTGAAAACACATTATTGAACAAAAAGAAGAAAGCATGGACAATATTATTGAAGACGACTAAGAATGAGTACAGAAAAGAGCATTGAAGAAGTATTGAAACGCAGTCAAGAAACAGGGTTGAAACAAATAATGAAGAAGAATGTCCTAGAGAATTTGAATGTTTATGAAAGTAGTATCGAGGGAGCGTTTGAATTTTGAGCAACGTTGGAGATATTGAAAACGAGTATGAAGTAATTAGCAGAAGAAATAAATATTGATGGAACGACGATCGTATTCAATTTAATTTTAAACGAGTATGAAGAAACAAATTCGAAAGAGATTTAATAAACGGTGTTCAAGAAGTATTCTGGAAATTTTTAGAAAACATTGAACAAGTACTGGAACGTATTGAAGAAAAAGAAAAACACGGGTAGTGAAGTGCTAGATTGGGTAGCATTCCCCGTGTGAGTAAGGATCTCCCCAATCTTCTCCAAAAATAGCTTACAGAAAACTCTTGTACTTTTCGGTCGGTTGGTTATACAATAAAATTCACTACTATAATATGATACCATCAGATGGCAGTAATAGTTACTACTCTAAGAACAGATCTATGAGTGGGTAATACAATAATATTCATTACTCTAAAAATGGATTGAATCAATTACATCCTCAGGTCAAGAAATGATGACGAATTGAAGAAAAGCTGAAGGAAGAATTGGAGCTTGCTTTACAAGCTTGAAGAGGCAATGAAGAAGAAATCTACCTCTGCTTAGTAGGTATCCATTTTAAGGTAGAAAACGTATTGAATATACGTACTCTACCACTTAGAGGTGCCATTTTGCTGCTCCGAGTGTTTAAATTCGAAGAAGTAGTGAAAATGTTCAGACGTATGGAACATCCATATTTCACTATTCTGCTACTAGGAGTCTAGCTGAAAGTATTGAAGGCCCTCCACGATCCCCACCAAGAATCTGATGACTATTGTACCCCATTAACACATTAAAGAACCTTGTAGAAACTCCACTCTCGTACCCCCGCTACTGGGACCACTCCGTCACATCAGTAATCCCGCAGATGCTGGGCATGCATATTTCTGCACCACTCCTGCAGTCTCAGACATCCTGGCCATGGCTCGTATTAAACCGTTGTGGCAGGGACTATTGCCACGAAGGCGGTCCTCTGCAGCTGCCAGCTTCCCCTCCTCCAGCCACCATGCCACCACGGCCTCCAGGGTGCCTGGCGTGGGCTGCGCCAAATCCGCGTCTGGAACGGCTTGTGGCCACCTCCGACTCCACCCTCACCCCGGGTCCGGTTATCACAGGTGCAGACACCAACGCTAAGCTTACGTCACATCCGGCCCCGTTTTAGCAATTGTTGCTAGCTCGGACACCCCATATACTATATAAGGACCTCGATTTCTCCCACAATTCTCCTCCATTCCTCTCCATTCCTCCCACAATGTCCATCAAATCACACATCAACGAAGCCGTCGGGCCCTTGCCCACCAAGGCTCCTGCCTTGTCCTCCAACGTCATGGACTTGTTCTCACTCAAAGGCAAGGTGGCGTCTGTCACAGGGTCCTCCAACGGAATTGGCTATGCTGTGGCAGAAGCCTACGCACAAGCTGGTGCAGACGTGGCTATCTGGTACAACTCGACTCCCTCCGATGACAAGGCCGAATATCTCGCCAAAACGTACGGAGTCCGGGCTAAAGCCTACAAGTGCAATGTGGGGTCTTCTGACGACGTGGAAGCAGTGATAGCCCAAATCGAGCAGGATTTCGGCACCATCGACATCTTCGTGGCCAACGCAGGCATCGCGTGGTCCGAGGGCAGAAGTCTCGAGGCCCAGGGCTTCGAGGGGTTCCGCAAGATCATCGAGTTGGACTTGAACAGCGTGTACTACTGTGCCAAAACCGTGGGAAAGATCTTTGAAAAGAAGCGCAAGGGCTCGTTGATCATCACTGCGTCGATGTCGGGTCACATCGTCAACGTGCCCAACTTGCAGGCCCCCTACAACGCAGCCAAGGCCGGGTGTTTGCACTTGAGCAAGTCATTGGCAGTCGAATGGGCTCCTTTTGCCAGAGTTAACACGGTGTCGCCAGGCTACATCCAGACAGACATCTCCGAGTTTGCGGAGGACACGGTCAAGCAGCAATGGTGGCTGTTGATTCCGTTGGGCAGAGAGGGTATTACCCAAGAGTTAGTTGGTGCCTACTTGTACTTGGCCTCTGACGCCTCCACTTACACCACCGGTACTGATATCATCGTGGACGGTGGATACTGTGCCCCATAGAAATAAAGGACCAGCTGATAGATTATATAGACTAATACAGGCCCAGAAATGTCGCAACGTAGGGGTAGTGTCCAGATAAGAGGGGCACCACCCGTGGATGCAAAGCGCTGAGTACAATAGGGGATGCAATGCACTCGGCACAACTGTGGAATGCACTTGGACACTCAGTCCGACAGACCACCTCCAGTACCAGGATTCTACACCAGAAGACTCTAATTCTCGAGCTTTAATCCAGGTTTCTTCGTTTGAGCCGTACTTCTCCTAAGCCTGGAAGTTTATTTGGTTACGGCATCAGCGAAGTTTTCAGATAACAAATTGAGCAAGTTTATAAATGGTATTAATTCGATTATTTATCAATGTCAAAACGGCCTAACCAGTGTGGGCAGATATAGCGCTGATAATAAATTGATGAATATTTTAAGATTATTTGAAGATGGTAAAGTAACAACAGCTTAATGAACTGTGGATTTAATGCATATTTTGTCTATCTAGTTTTAAAGAGCCTAAATTAATTTCACAATAATAATGGCACATATATAATTATTCTGCAATGGACTGTATGCTTGAAACTATGCTTTTGAATTGTAACTTCTTAATTAAACTACAAATGCTTTATTGGATTCACCATAATAAAAACTTCATACTGGTATCCAAGAATGCTACACCAAAAGATTTATTAGATAAAACAACTTCAGTAAATTCTTATAATTCCTGGAAGGAAGTTCTATGGATTACTCTGTTATTTCATCGGTAAAAGTAATCTTCATGAAAGTTTCTTCTTAACATTAAAAGGTTCGTGATATCCTTTTCTCGGGTTGATTATCTTGCGACAAAAGGAACAACACTTCAGTGGGATTGTGAATATTAATGTCTTCAATAGGCTGAAGGTGTAAGTCAAGGCTAACTTAATTTGGTGTTATAGTTCCACTGAATAATCGCCAGAATAAACTAATGGTTCATGGGCCCCAACGCCAGTTTCCCAGGAGTTTTACCAAAAGACCCGACACTCTTCTAATTGCAGCTAATCTCTAAATAATATTATTAAACCGTCGAATCAACCTAGTTCAGTATTTGGCAATCTCCACGATCAGAAATGTTCAAGTTGATATGAAATTATTTCGGAATGTTGAGGTTTTCGATACCAAACTCTATCATATGTTATATGTGCCAATATGACCAACTAGGAGCAACAGACTATTACAGGAAAGTCTACAACGCAGATTTCTGGTCAAGTAATAGAATTGTGGCCACCAGAGAGACACCAAATAGATTCGTTATGCCTCCCAGACGAAAGAGCTAAAAAAGAGCTAGCAATATGTCAATCCTTATTGTTTCTGATTTACCCCGTGTAAATTAATACTTTGGTCAAGAAACTCTATGCTTATCCAGGCGTGATACATTAGTATCACTTGAATGGACATGAGTGGAAACAGATTTCTTTAATCCCATACTAGGACCTACACATTATTCAACTCTGGTTTATAAAGAACTAAATAGGAAGTGAATACTGATGCTTCTAGAAAATGACGTCGTCCTCGTTTTCCTGGAGAACGTCGCCGGACTCGTCGTCCTGGTCCAAGGCCGACTTGGGCTCTTTTTGGGCAGGTTCCTCGACAGTCTCTTCGACAGTCTCTGCTTGAGCGTCCAACACTTTAGCAGCGGCAGCGTCTCCGTCCTGCAATTCCTGCTGAGCCTGGGCAAGCTTCTTCTGCAATTCCTCAGCATCGGCTTCGGCTGCAGCCTCCTGCTTCTTTTCCTGGACCTTCTTCAACCGGTAGAACTCTTCTCTGTCCAATTCGTCCAACTCAGAGTTAATGTAACCAATGGTGTTTTCGGTTCTAGGGATGATAACGTGCTCAATGGCGTTGACTCTTCTGTTGGTGACCTTGATGACCTCGTCCAAGATGATGAACGCGGTCTGCAACGATGCCAACTCTACCAATGTCTCAACAGCCTTGGTGTACACCGTCTTGGCCTTCTGGACCTGTTGACCACCACGACCTAACCCAGTCAACTTGAAGTCATTAATCTCCTCGTTGACATGAGAGTCGAACGTGGGCAAGTAGACTCCCGACACGTTTTCCTGCTTGGCCTTGACCTGGAAACGAGCCTTCTGGACCAGCTCCTGGACCTGGTAGCCGATGTTGTCACCAGTGGCGTACTGGACCTCAGCCAACGAGAACGCAGCAGTCTGCATCACACGTCCCATCTTTCTCTTGGACTCGTCGATACGCTGGGTGATGTCTCTGAACCGTTTGGTCAACGCCTCCGACTTTCTCTTCAACAACGAGTGGCCCTGCTGGGCGCCTTTCAACTTTCCCTTCATGACACCCAAGGTCATTCTGGTGGGGAACACCTGTTCTCTGTTTCCTGCTCCGGACATGGTCGATTAGGGGGATAAGAGGAAGGTGTTATAAAATAGTCTTCCTGGACTGGTGATGTGGTTTCTGGAGGGTTAACGTCTTTCGTAGGTAGAATCCTGTTTCTGATGCAATCTTTCAGGAAATCCTTCTTGTGGAAACAGCTAGACTTCGCGAAACTGCTAACTTAGGGTTCGGGGATCCTTTAGGACTGGACTTTCACGAATCCTTCTTCTAGTGGATTCTTGTTGAAGAAAGTACGTGGATGTTTCTTGCAGTCTTCCGTGGCTCTTTCACTGAATCCTTTGAGCGTCACTTAATCTGTTCGACGATCGAAGTGCTGGCTAATCGTATCTCTTTGTCTCGCTCCGATCAATTGCTGATTGGCGTGGATTACTGATACTATCACTGGTGTGTCTTTTGAGCCCATTTAATTATTCGTCGGTGAGCGTGCGGCGGCTTTGTGTCACCTCCATACCATCCCAGATGATAGCGGCTAATATTTGCCAGTCTCCATCACCACCTGTCACCACATGAACTACGACGACTGGACCCTCGACCGCTTGGTGGCGCCTGCTGACATGGCGCTCGAGCACGAGTTGGCCAAAAACCCCCACGATCTCGCGTCCTGGCAGGCGTACTATCGCCTGGTAGAAGCAGCAGAAACATCACCAGAATCAGTGCAAAAGAAGCTCTTCGTGTTGGAACGAGCTGTCCAGGCAGTACCACGCTCTGCTGAGATGTGGCTCCTCTACACAGACGTGGCAGAGTCGCTCGTGGAGCACGCATCCTACTACCACCATCGCAGCGACTTTGGCGTGGTCAACTCGGTCTACGAGAGAGCCTTGCTGCTTTTGGCAGACAACCACCAGCTCTGGCAGCGGTACTTGCGGTTTCTCACCTCCCGCCAGCAGTGCGAGGTGACGTTCATCCGCAGACGCTTCAACAGGGCCTTGCTGTGCTTGAAGGGCAGCGTGGCAGCCATCTGGCAGTTGTACCTCGCGTTTGGCGAAGCCGTGGGCGGCTTGACGGCGTGCCACGTCTGGAGCAAGTACTTGCAGTACTTGGGAGGCGTGGAGCACGCCGACGGGGGCCACATCGTGCTGGTTTTGGCTCAGTACGTTCAAAACGACCAGTACTTGAATGCTATCGCCCTCTACCGGGCAGTTCTTGCGTCCTCCAGAGACCTCCCCGTGTCACGTTTGCAGTTGCTCAACGAGTATCTCGAGGTGCTCGTGGACTTGTCGAAGACGTCGCCGTCTGCCAGTCTTACTAACCACTTTGAGTTGGCAGTGAAAGATGCCATTGCCCTGTATCCCGACCAGCTAGGACCACTCTACCTACAATTAACCCAGTTCATGACCGAGCAAGGCCACCATGCCAAGTCCCGCCACTACTACAACCAGGCCATTCTCCACTGTGACAGTGTCAGGGACTTTGTCATGATCTTCGACGCCTGGACCCAGTTTGAAGAATCCAGACTCACAGAATTATCTGAAGCTGTGGAAAACAACAATACCGACGAGGCGGCTATCCTGGACGCATTAGCTTCGTTGGACTTCAGAATGAACTACCTAGACAACTTGATTTCCAATAGGCCCTTCCTCTTAAACGATATGATGATTCGAAAGGACCCCAATAACTTGGACCATTGGTTCCAAAGGATCGACCTCCACAAGGACAATCTCGACAAGGTTCTCCCTACGTATGCACAAGCATTGACTCAGATAAACCCCCTCAAGGCCCATTCTGGCACTTCCAACACCCTCCCCAAGCTCTGGATAAATTACGCCCGAGTATACTCATCTAGAGACGACTGGAAGACCGCAAATTTGATTTTCTCGAAGTCGGTGACATCGACGTTCCGCTCGGTAGACGAGCTAGTGGATTTATATATCGAATGGACGGAATCCAACTTGTCTGCTCCCTTTAAAGATGCAGATACAAAAGCTCTCTATATTGTTCAGCAGGTATTGTTCGAGAACAAATCCAAAGACGAATTACACGCAAGTGTCTCGAAGAACTTGAGATTATGGTCGTTTTACATCGATCTCTTACAATCGTTTATCGAGGATGATGAAAAACAAGCTGAAAACATCGACAGGGTTTGCGATGCATACACTAAAATGATAGACATCAAAATTGCCAGCCCCAAAACTATCTTGTCGTTCGCAAGTTTTCTTCAACTGGTGAACTACAACGAGCGTTCCTTGGCAGTTTACGAATCAGGACTTCGTTTATTCACAGACAGCGAGCTCAGATTCGAGATCTGGAACGTATACTTGTCCAAGGCAATTAGTTTCGGACTTGATATCGAAAGAACACGAGACTTGTTTGATACCTGTTTGTTCGAGAATAACGGGTGCCCCGCATCTTTGGCCAAGCCCTTCATTTTGCTTTACTCCAATTTCGAAAGAGACCATGGGTTTGTTTTGAAATCCCTCAAAGTTATCAAACAAGGTATTAAGAAATTATCAGATGGATGGGAGCTTGCAATTTCGAAAGAGCAACGGTCGAAGATTCTGAATGATAAATTTGATCTCTATACCATCTTATTTATCTCAGTCGAAGACATTGAGACAAAGAGGGGCCTGTATGAAGAGGCGGTAGAGGATAGTCAATTGTCTTTAGATCAACTCATAAGGCTTAGCGACGAATTTATTGACTTCGAAGTTCAACAAAAGCAGATATCCCGTGCCAGGGGTCTATTCAAGTTTATTTGCAAGCTATGCAACCCAAAAAATAACTCGCTTATAAGAATCAGCCAAATCTGGGCCAAATGGGAGACTTTCGAAGTGGATCACGGTGATGAAATTACTTACAAAGAAATGTTGAGATTCAAGAGAACTGTGGTAGACGAGTTTGAGAAAGTGAGTAAGTTCAATGAGCAATTGAACCCCATGGGCTTCGTCAAGGGGGAGACTGTTGGTGGGGCAAAAGATGAGGAAGAAGTGAGAAATCCCGAAGAAATTGACATGGACATGTGAGCAGACATTTAAACACATAATTAATTAGCATAGGAAGCATTCTTGCGAATGCGACCAAGATTCAGGTGAAAACTACGAATATTCTACCTAGTTTTTGCCATGTATACTAATAAACATACCACCAACTCAGGTGATCAACGAAATACGGAGAATTGTACACCCACATGTAGTAGAGGGACTCGTGTTTAGATTCCTTCCAAGAATAGGTAACTAGGGCCTTTGGGGTAGTTGATTATGTTGAGAAAGTCTAGATGATCAATCAGCAATAAATTAGACGAAAAATAACATTTTGGCTATTCCTGGTCATTGTGGGTAAATTTCCACCCTAGTTAGATAGTTCATTTGACAAAAAATGACTAAATGGATTTTTCCAATGATAAACATATTAGATGCTGAAAGTCACAACGACTCTAAAAAGTGAGACATGCCAGCTCTAAGTCATTATTGAGGAGCTTCAGATCAACTTGATATACCAACACCTAATGGCAAAATTACAGTAACTTCACCTTACCTAAAACCGTATGAATTTTGCTTGGATTAAACTCATCCCAGCCCAGAACTGCCTACATTATTTGATGTTTTGAACTAGAAAGAATTATAGCTCTAGCTTCGTGTGTTTATTCTATCATATTGAAACCAGTCAACGAATTTTGGACGAGAGAAATGAACTATTTTAAAATTTCTTGAATGCTTCAGTCCACTTATCAACGAAACAATTCAAATTGGTGACCTGATCGGTAGAGTGATTGAGTTTAATAGACCTATTGTGTTTGACTAATTCCTGGAAATTGTTCCAGTTGATATGATAGTACTGGAAAATAACCATTAAAAACGTCTGCAACACTTTTTTCCCGTTCTTGTTTCTTGTTTTCACTGAATTGGAATATATAATAAGCATTTGCAAAAGCTTGATCATGAGTTGTAAAGCGGAAGAATTGACTTCGGTGTGTTGTTCATCACCAGTGCTAGTACTGGTCCTTGGAGTCAAGTTCTCTGGGCTGTTGGAGAATTCTGTGGAGTGGCTCACACTGGAATTTGGGCTATTCCACAGCACGGGGATTCCAAAACTCTGCTGTGCAAGAATAGGTGTGGATGGCGCAGACAAACTCAATGGTAACCTATCATTAATCTGAGATAAGATGTCAAAAAAGGAATTGGATTTGAGGTTTTCAAACTCTCCCAAGCTGGCTTGGAACCCTCCAAGATATTTGGAAAGGTACGAGGACTGATAAGAGGCTTGCTTTGGATTGGTCCATGTGTCCAATGCGGAATTGAAGTCTGAGAGTAATTCTCTGTTGAATACCTCTTTGTTGATCAATTCCACCATGCAATATATTTCTTGTATCGATTGAGTGGTCTGGAATAATACCAACAATAAGGGTATTAAGAACATCTCATCATGCTTGAGCAAACCGTACTCAGACAACGATTTAATATAAAGAAGGTATCTGAAGCTCTCTTTAAATTTGACGAGGCTGAAATTTGGTACTGTGACTTCAATTTCTTTTAAAATGCACTCGAACAACGGCCTTTGCAAAACCCTTTCTATGATTTTGTTGAATTCCAAGTCTTTATTATTCTTGATTGATGCAGACAATTCTTGGTACTTTTTGTCAAACAAATTGAATGAATTATTGATAGTATTGACCGAGTCCTGACTGCCATTATTACTTGATAGTATTTTCAAGAAGAATTGGTAACGCAAGGATGTTGGTACATTAGACTCCCACGCCAACTTTCTAATGGTGTTCTTGTCATAGCTGAATTTCTTGTTGAACAGTTTAGCGTTAGGCTCTTCAATCAAGGCAATTACCATTTTGATCCATTGTTGTTGGTTCTGCGCTAATATCTGGTTTGATTTTCTTCTAGCGTCGTTTAGGCTCTTGTTGTTGAGTTCGAAGTTACTTAAAACCTTCTGGAACTCTCTATTATGTTTGGTTTTGTCACCGTCTGGCTTAGGGGGCAAATGAACTGGTCTTGTTTGATCAATTACATTGAGCTTTTCCTGGGAAATAAGATGCAAGTCATCCATTGATGATTGGTGCTTGACAAAGTTAGGAAGTTTATGCATCATGGTCTGTTCTCTCGAGGACTTTACTAACTTTGCAAATGAGGCTGATCTTTGATCATAAAATGAAGAAATATTCCTGGTGAGCTCGCTGTCGTCTATCGAGCTATGACCAGGAAACGAGTCTTCGTCTTCTTCAACGATGCTGTCTTCAGTAGCACTGAATCTGGTATTTTTCAAGTCGGTTTGGACCATTAATTTGCCATTAGTTGAGCTCTTGGGCGACGACAGTGCTCTAGGCTTCGCGTGGGCCTTAGAGTTGATGTTGTACTTATTGTCGTTGTCGACCATGAGGTCGCTGCGGGTGAATAAGTCGACAGATGACGAGGATGCTGATTTGATGGTGGTGGGAGTATGGATGGAGCTCTGGCTCTTCAGGTTCAACAGATACAACTCCGAGTGGTTCTTGATCACAGGCACGTTGAACACGAGGTTGTCCAAGTCGTTGACCAAGATCTCGTCGTCGTCGTCGTTTTCTTCGTATTTTTTCTTGCGTAGCTGTTGTCTTTCCTTAGTTTCTTTGGAGCTCAAGAACTTGGTTTTGGACCGTGAGAGGCCCGGAGCGCTGGGCAACGAGAAGGTGGCAGCTTTGGGCTGGCTGGCGATCCTGGAGCCCTTGGAGAAATGGGGAGACGAAAACGAACGTCCAGCTAGCTTTTTTGGCGGAGACGAATGGGTCAAACTGGACGTAGAGTGGCCAGAAGACTGGGAGGCGGATCTGGGAAGATGTGGCGAGGTTTTGGATGCCTTGGGGAGGTATGCCGGGCCCTTGGCCAACACCAGCGAGCTGTTCTTGGAGGTGATGGTGGAAAGCGAGGTGTTGTGGTGGGTGTTTTCGTCGTTGGCGTAGTGGTAGTTGAAGAGGTCGTCGTCGTCGTCGTCGCCCGCCTCGAAGCTGTGGGCATCGCCAGCACCCTTGTAGTACTGGAACGAAGGAGAGTCGAGAGGAGAGGCATTGATGATGGAGTTGCTGGTCATGGAACTGAGTCTGGACTCAAGCATGGGGTTTCCCAGCTCCTTGGGGGTGTCGAACTGGGACGATGCCACCAGGGATGCTTCGTCAGAGAAGTTGGAGTGTAGCGACACGATGGAATCGCCAGAAATGGGTCTGTGGATGTCGACGTGTCTGGAGTCGCCAGTTCTGGTCTCCTTGGAGAGTTTTTGCACGAAGTAGTCGCCTGGACGCTTAATCGAGGAGTGGGCCATAGGGACAGACGCTTCGCTGAGCGTCGACAACGAGTTCAACGAGCCTATCCTTTTGGGGCCAAACTTCTTCTTGATGGCGGGGACTGCCGAGGAAGGCGGTCCCAATGACGAAGACGAGCCGTTGTGGTGGATGGATAGACTGGACGACAGGTGCATGTGGTGGAGACTGATGGACGAGGCGCTGTAGGGCTTTTTGGAGGAGATGGAGATGTCGTAGTAGTTGTCGTCCATGGTGGGAGTGGGGAAGTGTCTGTAGTGGATTAAATGATGGTGTCTTGGGGATGTGTCTTGGGGATGTGTCTTGAGTTGTGTCTTCAGTTGTGTCTTGAGTTGTGTCTCGAGGTGGTGTCTGTCTTACTCGTGATGCTGTGTCTTGGTGACTGCAGGCAAATCTTGGTGTCTGTCTTACTGTGATGTCTGCTTGATGTGTGTGTCAAACTTAATGTCTGCTTGAGGTCTGTCTTGATGTATGCTTGATGTGTGTCAACCTTAATGTCTGCTTGATGTCTGGCTTGAGGTCTCGTCTTATGAATCCGTGTGTCTTGTCTCTTGTCCTCTTGACGAGTCTTCCTCCTCTTCCGTGTAGTAGACTGGAATGGCTCGAGTCCACGGTAAACACTGAAAACTTTGGGACCACAAAACCGACAAAAATAGATGAAGGCGGGAGTCTAGGAGCACCAAACGGCGTGCACGTGACCACCGCAACCGTGTCTGGTTGCTTGCCAAGGGGCGATTGTCCCGAAACAGCAGGGCCACCCACCCTTTTGGACGCGATAGCGTTTTGTGTCGCGGACCCCATCGGATTGATCCAGACACACGATTGTGTCTGCGATAGCGCTGCGGTTTGTCGGGGCTGGCCACCGTCGTCAGCCTCGGTGGGCCAGGCTGAAGGCTCACCGGTTGGCCTGGAGACCCCAACGGGGTTGCTGGCTTACGACTATTCTTAGCATGGGGAACAGGGCTGAAGGCTCTGGCCCAATCGCTGACAGGTGAGGCGCATTCGCAACCCTCGTGCGTCACGTGCGCCAGAGCTTATTTCAGGTGTCATGACCAGGCGGAGCAGACACAAGCAAGGAAGAATAGCATCGAAGAATAGCATTGAAGAATGACTTCGAAGAATGTGTGTTTGGGGGGTCGGCAGATTTGTGAATGTATTCCGCGTTACATGCACGGTTTTAGCGTTCCGTGCATAATGACAGCGCTGTCTCGGCGAACGCGGGACTATGCACAGAAGAAGCAGACCTCCAGCTTGGCGGTTTCTACGAGCGTCTAGTGAATGTGTAATCTAGTATGTAGATCTATCGTACATAATAACTTAATGTCTCGCGCTGAGACTGGGATATGGTCCATGGGGTTTGGAGGGTTGATGATGGAGATTGCCACAATGGGTCGCAGGTCGAAATGGCACGGGTATGGGAAAACGTAGTCGAGACTGCCTGAAACAGCTTCGTGGAAAGGCACTTCAGCACTTGTGGGTGTGGCACTAGCAACTTGGCGTCTCCTGCCTCGTATTGTTTCGATTCGCAGCCACTTTCTGACATTCGCAGCCACCATTTGTGTCTGATTCGCAGCCACTCGAAGCAACACCACTACTGCTAGTTGCCGAACCACACCTTACTGCTGAATCCGCAGACTCTTCCTACTGTCTGGCCCCCGCAGGTGCCACATCCTCGTGCACGGGCCGCACGGTGTCGATCCAGTCGGTGGTGCTCATCTGCGACAACCGTGACAACGCACGCGCAAACGCAAACTTCTCCTCGTCGTTGGCAAACATCGATGCCTTCTTGGCCACCAGCTTGTCGAAGCCGTGCTTGACCACCAACTCGTCGTCCTCGAACGTCTCCACGCTACCCTTGTCTTGCTGGCGTTTGTACAACTGGTAGTTGCCTCGTTGCAAGTCTTCAGGCTCCACGAACAAGTCGTTGAACAGGGCTGCTGCCGTCACTGCCAACCGTCCGTGGTCGTCGTACACAGCATCTAAGAACGTGATGAACCGCCTCACCTTGTCACGGACCTCGATGCTGAGATATGGAATGTCAGTAATGATGAACGACTGGAAAGAGTTGGCCAACGTGAGGTAGTCTCCGGCTGCCAAGGGACTGCCACACAATTCTTCAAAGTTGAACTGGGCAACGTAGGGAGGAGCACACCGTGGCACCTTCAACTGACGACCCCAAACCTGGAGAGTGTGGTCAGTAAGCACGTTTTCCAGCGGGTTCGCTGCGTTGAAGTAGCCAAACCACGCCTCGACATGGTCCCTGCACTTGGTCTGGTTGGTCTTGGAGGTCCACTTGACCCCGGGCTTGGGGTAGTGATACACGTTGCTCATGGGCTTGGGGATCTTACGGTAGTCTGTTGGTGAATTCAAATAAATCACTCGTGTCTGTCGTTTGATCTGCTGGATGCACGGAATGAATGACACCCGCTGGATTCCGTTCAAGTACAAGTCGTCAGGTGCCCTGTTTGAGGTGGCGAAGAGAATGACCCCGTATTCAGGCGACAAGAGCATGGTCAAGAGCCGACGCAACAACATAGCATCGGCCACGTCTGTGACCTGGAATTCGTCGAAACACAAGATGGTGGAATCTTGGGCGATTTCTGCGGCCAAGAACGGAATCACGTCGAGATCGTAGTGGTTGTGCTCCATTTTGAGCTGGTGGGACCGCTTGTGGAGATGCTGCATGAATTGGTGGAAATGGACCCTTTTTTTGGGCAAGTGCAGGGGAATGGTAGCGTAGAACAAGTCCATCAACATGGTTTTGCCACAGCCCACATCCCCGTAGAGGTAGATGCCCTGAGGCGTGGATTCAGGCTCGGCAACGGTCTCAGTCTTGGGACGAAAGAGCGACTGGAAAAGCAGAGAAATCCCAGTCTTGGGCACCAACTCCTCGATCGACGGCACCCGCACGCTGGGAGGGGTATACTGGACCAACTTCTCGTGCAACGACAGGAGGTTGCCTATGATACGACGCTGGTACGGGTCGTCACGCAACCGGCCCGAGGCCACACGAGAATTGTAGGCTTCCAACGGAGTCATGGCCGTTTTGGGGGCTGCTGGCAGCGTCTCCACCGCGTCAGCAACTGAGACACTCCCGCTGGTGCTCACAGCCGAAACATAGCGTCTGGCGAGCTGCCATCGGCTGGCGGAGCCTGCTCTTAATGTGATCAACTTTGGAACCACCATAGGACCCTGGGTGTGCATATGGGAGATACCGACAAGAAATGCAGGTTGGAGGGCACGTGAGGGTGGAGGACGGTGGTAAAGCTCGGGAGAAATCACCACAGGTCGCTGGGGTCGCTGAAGGTGTGGAGATGTATTTTGGATGGAATGGTTTGAATGGGATCCACTCGGACGATGGCTGGGCCGCGCACGACTACCCCGGACTTTCTCGAGGCATCCGCGGCACGACATAAGTGGGCCATGCCACAGCGGTCAGGCAGCGGGTTTTGGGACACCAAAGTGGGTGCTGTTCAGGGGAGGGCTTCCATGGCTTAGTGGGCATTCATAGCAGCATTTTGCAGCTAAAACGGGCCCAAACGGCCGAGAAACGGTGGAAAAAGACCATCCCAAGTAGGTTCCCGCTAAGCACCACAGTCGATCCGCGCGATAATACCGATGCCCCGCATATGAAAGGGGAACAGACCCTGAGATATCCAATAGAGCGTGGGGCAATGCGAAGCATAGCGAGGGAAGCTGGTGACGAAGGGTCAGTGTGTAGAGAAATGGTTAAGCTGAGAAATGGTGAAGCTGGGAAATGACGAAGCCGAGAAATGACGAAGCTGAGAAATGACGAGGCTGAGAAGTTAGCCTGTTGAAAGGAGCATGTTGAGAGAAATACCAGTGGTAAAGAGATTCATGAAGGTAGAGCCAGTGTACTGTAGAGTCAGCGCAGCAGTAGTGAAGCTTGAAGTCTGACAATGCCTGGAGAAATGGCGATGGCTAAATAGAATAGCGAAGCTTGTGGAAGGCCAAATCCACTTCCATACTACTCTTGTATGGTGAATCAGACAAGTTTAAACCAGCTATCAAAGAAAAGAACAATTAGCTTAAATGATCTTCTTTCGGTCAAGATCCTGAGTCCCTCGCCAATTCCCTCTCGGGATTTCTAGAGCCAATACTTCTGTTAAAATATGATTGTCAATCCCAATGGTGCTTCTTTGATCCAGTTTATGTAGCATAGCTACCCCTAGAGTGTAGAATCAATAACACCTTAATATCTTCAGTTTACACGGTAGTCAATTCTGAAAAGTATCCAAGATGGCCAAAGTGCTGGTGATGAATAGGCAAATGTAATATGAAATTACCCCAATGGATATTTCGGTACCAACCGAGTCAAGTAATTCGGATTGATCTGATACTAGTTTCACTGACTATGGCTTCGAGCACTACATCCTCTAATTCTTTGAGGAAGTAGAACCATTGACGAGTTCGGCAACAATTAGTTCTGACATCACCACCAATGATTGCAAACCTTGGAATATTTACGATTTATTTGTTTGAAAACAACTTGAGCATTCAAGCGAAACAGTAAATACGAAGACCAAAATTATAATATCCAGAAAGGTGAAGCAAGGGACGAATTTGCCACGTATATCTAGAGTTTCCTGGTAACACTACGGTTTTGTATGCTCTCAAAACATCACCCATAATCTACCATAGTATTCTACCCAATCTGTCAAGAAACACCTGGGCTGGTGTTTTCCATAATTTTAGTTGCGACAAGTCACCAATAGTAAATAACCTAAAAGTAAAAAATGTGAAATATTTCTAAAACTACAACTCCTCTGTGCAACAAAAACTTTTAAATTCTTCCAGAAGTATCTCCGGTTCCGATCCAACTAAACCCTGTCAATACTCATAGGCTCCTCTTTCTTGGTACTTTCTCTCCAATACAATAATCCTCCCAGCAAGCTGTAAGCCCCAAAGCTTCTCCAATACAAAAATTGAATACGTATCCTACTACTAACTGCTATTGCCCAACACAATGTTCGCATTCTATCCTCTATACTTTCATACACCATATTGTATATTTTATAGACCAGCACAATTCCCATGCTTATACAAGCAAATTGCAATTTTAATAAGCCAACTCTACTCCAACTTGCACCTTCACGTGGAACTCGTTCCAATAGCTCCACTACTCACCATCTCTCCTAATTTCAAGCACTAAACTGGTCCTCTGCCACTCCTAGTATCGCGACCTGCACACAAACAATTCTTAGTTGACAGGATTTACCACCAGACATCTACAGCATTCTATACCACACCAACATGTCCCAGACGCCAGAAACACAATCCATAGACTTACAGGATCTTTCAGTCATCACAACACGTCCACACACCTTCAAGCAAAACCTGCACCGCGTGCCGCCTCCCAGAAGGTACAAGACTAGCAAGCAGCTTTTCACCGACGAACAGAAGTACTTGCAGACCAAAGACATCAAATTCGACACTCCTACTTGGCAGTCGATAGGAGCGCCTCCTAGCTTGAAACCCAACAAGCACTACTGTGATATTACGGGGTTGGAGGGCAGATACAAGAACCCATCCAATGGGCTCAGGTTCCATAACGTGGAGATCTACCAGGAGGTGATACGGAACATGCCCCCAGGAGTGGACCAGGAGTACTTGAAGTTGCGTGGAGCCAACGTAGTGTTGAAGTAGATGAGAGGAATTGGTTATTGGGCACGATTCGTTCTACCAAATTCAATTGAGATACTTGCGTTGATTTTGCTTGGTCCAGCGAGAAGCAAGAAGCTGGGATATCATCACTGGATGGCTGGTTGTCTTAGGGGCCAGAAAAGTGCCATGTTGTGTGATTTTTTGAAATTGTTTGAATTGATTTGATAATTCAAAATTGATGGTTGAGACACTTGCTGCCTAAGGGTGGTGTCGGTACTATTGTGCACACTTATTGGATATTGGTACAATCAAGCTATCCTTGCTTCGAAATACAGATTTTCGGGAAATACCTTAAAGGCTGGGTTTCACAGGTAGATACGCTGTTTCAATGTGGAAGGCTACACAATTTGTAGATATGGATGTATACAATTTTTAGGCATAGATGCTGTCTATAATTCAAAGTGAAATACTGAAATAACTGAAAAGGAACATCTAATCATTAGCTAGTCATATCATAGTAAAAATTACAATTCTTATAATAATCAGAACCAGTGCCGAAGAAACGCTTTCCCTCGGCTCCATTTCGTAGAAACCTATATTAAAACCACTCCTGCATTGGTGATACACCAGAATTAGCGATCCCTTGGTTTCTATAGATGCACATTAATAGGAATAACAATCCTAGTAGGATCGTCTAAGGCCAGTAAGTTTCACCACGCGACAATCAGACCATGTCCCCTGACATAGTTCTGGCAGAAGCTGTAGGTCAATATCTCAAAAAGAGTAGAGATCCACCTTAAAAATATCATACGACACCAAAAGTAGCATTGAAACGACCACAAAAAGCCCGTATTGTGCATAGTACCTTAGTCAAAAAGACTTAACTATAGCAGCATGAGTTTTCCACGTTACTCCAGCCAGAAAGGCCCCTGGAAAAACTGAACGATAATGAAACCTCCAAGCACAAACTTGCCATCACAGAATGAACCTATAGTCGCTAACTTAGCCCTAAAAATCTAATCGTTCCACTGGCTGACAATTTTTCCTACGTTTCTCTCGAAGGTCTTGCTCTGTATGGTTTCTTCGGACTCAACTCCTTCCTTCAACAACCCATCAAAAGGGTTAAAAATGGTCCGCAAGTAGCACTTGTGGAGCAGGTGGAACAATTCCTTCAAGTCACGATTCACACCACTTTCGCTGGCTACTCTTTCCCCGCTTTCGAGGCCCACGATGATCTTGAGGCCGTTGTTGGTCTCATATCCATACACAGTGACGTCGTCCTGGATGAACAACAAGACGACTCCATCGGAGCTTTCTCCCTGCTGTTGCTGCTGCTGCTCTCTGAGGCTTAGAGATGCTGGTGACGAGAAGATATCGAGAGCCATGTGGGAAAGGAAGTTGTACTTGAGGAATCGGTTGGCAGACTCGCTGTCAGGTGAGTCTATGGAAGGAAGATCGAAAGCCTGGATGTAAAGAGGCTTGTCATTGGGGGAGATGAGGGACACAAACTGGACCCGCTGGGGGGTCGACGAATTGACAGACATGCGGAATGGACGGGAAGTGGATGGGGAAGTGAGCTCGAAAGAACAGCTTAAACGGCTGGAAACTGGAATTCAGGCCGTGGCACTTGACTAAACACACGTGACTGATCTATGACGGGACTACTCCAGATCTACCAGATAAACATTCCGTCAAATCGCAGATATCACTGTATAACTCCTAGACACGCTCAAGGGATCCCTACTTGGAGTGGTTCTACGCAAACTCGACGTGTTGGAAGTCAAAGCTAGTCTTTCTGCTCTGCCATCATCCTTATTATCCAACTATCGTATTGATCCAGTTACATTCATACCTTCCTTTTCAGCCACATCACTGTGTAATAACCAGGCCGTATCACCGACTTCTGATCAATACCACAGTTTACCAATTGAGTCCACGAAAATCAGCCCGCAACCCTAGTTGTTCAAGTACTACCCTTTTAATTACTGGTCCATTATACCCCCTAATAAGTTCAACCATGGTCCACTATCCCGAAGTCTCGAAACTCAAGGACAAGTACTCGCCCCAGAAACGAATCCCACCATTGAATGCCACCAAGCTTTCTGCCACCGGCAACTCCCACGACAAGAAAAGAGGAGGCTTCTCTCCTATACGAAGAAGCGGTTCCCCAGTCAGACGATTGAATATCACCCAACTAGAGCAGGGAACGGTAGCAGAGGCTACCAAAAGCACCGTGGAACCGAATTCGGGTCGTCTCAAGCGGGGCAGGGATGAAACAGAGCCAGATCTGATATCGCTCCCCTCCAATCTAGGAGCAATCGAAGCAAGAAAACCCAATCTTGAAGGTCCATCGACCAAAAGGTCTAGAGCAGTGACATTCAGCCCAGAGGTCGAGTGTAGAGTGGTTGAAAATACTTCGTACATGGAAGAAGATTCCATCGAACAAGAACAGCAAATAGCTGCCCTCAAACAACCGAATAATTCTAATGGGGAACAGAAAACGGCCAGATCCCCTCAATTGGGATCCAACACAGACGAGATGTACCAGGAAATGGTCTATAAACTTGACAATTTCGTCACCACCGTCAACCAGAGGCTCGATTCCCTTCAGGCCAACCAGAGCTTGATCTTGAAACAGCTAGCAACGCACAGAAACGACGAACTACACCAAAAATGCGAGTCTCTCCAGAATTCAATGAATGAGCTTATTGATGCTATCAAGAAGCCAAGTTAATCAAGTGGACATCGTATGCATTACCCGGGAACAAAGAAATCAGTGATATACTCAAAAAGGTCATTCAATGGATGAATATAGAGGAATAGGAAGTGGTGAATAAGCATTAACTCGATTAATGGCCCAGTTAATAGTCTCTTTTACGGACCAGTATTAATATACCGTGGAGTCACAGGAATGGAATCCCCATTGTTGTGTCAATTAATATACAGTGATGGGAAGGTATTCAACCCGTGGTCTGAATTTTCGTGGTCTTTTTATTTAATTCGTTCCACGGTTGAAATGCAGACCATACTAGAACTCGATATCCTTCGTGGTGGACTTTTCTTCGCCCTCGTCCTCAACTGGAATACCCCATTCTTCAATTTCGAACTTCTTTCTTCCGTTCTTGAAGGCGTACTCGCCGTCACGAATCATCATGAGTCCCTTTTCTGACAAGACGGGCAATTTGATGATGTTCACCAACCCCTGTTGGATCTTTGAGGGCTCGTTCTTGTATGCTTTTTCAATAAGTTGAGACATTTCTTGGTTGAAAGGTTGCAAGTAAAGCACCCCATCGAAAAGGGACTCCAACACCCCAGTGACAGTGGAGTCTCGAGGGTACAAGTCCAATGGTAAAGAAGATATCAATGCAGTGTTGGGATGCTGTCTCAAAACGGCCCTCAAGGAATGCACAAACGGAATGATAAAATTAGGAGATGAACATTGTGGTGGGTAGAGCGATGGGTTCAAAAGGCCAGGAATCACAATTCTGCACACCTTTGACTCGTACTTCTGGACGATGGCCTCCAAGCGTTCTATGATGGTATGGTAGTCGGGAGTCAATTGAATATACGAGATGTCTGTGGCTGCTGGGCCAGGAACCAACTTCTGGGTGATGTCGAACTGATGGGTGTAGTCTGTATCGTTGGCAGCGTCTGCCTCGACCTTTTGCTTGAGACCATACCTCCAGGCAATCTTCATATCGTTTTCACGGGTCGACTGGTTGGCAAGGTTGGACACACTGATCTTGGACTCGTTGGCTGCGATCTTTGCCTTCTTCTGCTCCTTAGAAGAGCCTTTGTAGAGCCCTGGAAGGTCGTTAGACCACTGGGGATTGACGCCAATCACCACCACATGAGCATGGAGCTGATCCTTGTCGATTCTGTTGTGAATAATAGCCTGAGACGCAAACGCCCGCAAGATCACCGATGCAAAGTCGGTGCTGCCGCTTTCTTCGATAAGCAACGAGTGGCCTAGCGGCAAGCCTTGATGGAGTAAGATCTTGTCTAGATCTGCACCACCAGTGGAGATTGTTGGCTGTGAGGTGATGAGCGACGGCCTGATGGCGGGATTCTTGATCTCAGGAGGCTGTGCACGTCTAGCAGAGGGTGGTTGTGGAGGAACATGGCCCGCTGGACTGGCGGGTGCTCTTGAAGGGACGGTTCCAGGTGCAATGGGCCCTCTTCCGGGCACAGCAGGACGGAGGGGCCTGGAGACGCCAGCTGGAGTTCTGGGACTGACCCCAGGAGGACCACCAATGACTTCACTTCTCTTTCTGAACGACATGAATAGGTTGGACTGAGATGAGATTGATGAGTGAAAAGTGAAGGATAGCGAGAAATAGCGATGGAGGGTGAGAGATAGGGAGAAAATAGTGAAGGAACGCCCGACTAGCGAGAAGTCGTGAGAATAATAGCGAGAAGTGCGAGAAGAATAGCGAGAACTGGTGAGGGCAATGCCAGGCCACAGGAATACACAGTAGGAGATAGAGAGGCACAAGAACGACAAGAGCCATGGGAATCTCTCCAACGTCTCCAATACACTGTACTGCGTCGCTATGATACCAACACATCTACCTCCTCTCTCTCACTTCCCCCAGTGCCTCCTCCATTCCTCCATTCTCCCCCTAAACCATCCTCGCTAGCGCCCCCGTGACCGCGCAGACGATCATCACTACAACCCCATCAGAATCTCCATACCACCACTATCACCACCACCATCACCACCACCAATCCGCCATGGGAGCTGCCTTGTCTATCCCGCTTCTTCCCATAACCACAATAGTCACCCCGCTTCTAAGCTGCTGCGGTGCTGCCACCATGTCTGGGCTCTGCTCAGCCATGGGCGGGACCTTCCAGTCGTCAATCATGACCAGAATCACCTACGCTTTCATCCTCTTGTTCAACTGCTTGTTGTCGTGGATAGCGCTATCACCATTCATCGTACACAAGCTCGAGAAAGCCACGTTTGGTTTCATCAACAACAAGTGTGGTCCTGATGGCAGCGAGTGTATCAGCTTCACCTCGGTGTACCGGATTAACTTCGCCCTTGGAGTACTCCACTTGATATTGGCGTCGCTCCTTATCAACGTCAAGTCGACAGCTAACCCCAGAGCGGTCATTCAAAACGGATGCTGGAGAATCAAGATCTTTGCCTGGTTCACGTTGATCGCCATCAACTTCTTGTTGATTCCCGACAACTTCTTCATTTTCTACGGCAACCACATTGCCATCGTCTTCTCGACAATTTTCATTGGAATCGGACTCGTCTTACTTGTGGATTTTGCCCACGCCTGGGCAGAAACCTGCTTGGAGAAGATCGAGTTGGAGGAATTGACTGGCGAAGGTGACTCGTCGGTATGGAAGAAGTTACTTGTGGGTGGCACGTTGTCGATGTACTCGGGAAGCATCATATTGACAGCAGTCATGTACTGGTTCTTTGCAGGAAGTGGCTGCAGCATGAACAAAACGGCAATCAGCTTGAACTTGGTGTTTGGAATCTTGATATCGATCATGTCGGTGAACCAAACCATCCAGGAGTACAATCCACAGGCTGGATTGGCTCAGTCATCCATGGTGGTATTTTACTGTACCTACTTGGTCATGAGTGCGGTTTCTTCCGAGCCAGACGACAAGTTCTGCAACCCCTTGATTAGATCAAGAGGCACAAGGACTGCCAGTGTCGTGTTGGGTGCTGTATTCACGTTTATTGCAGTCGCCTACACCACCACCAGAGCTGCAGCAAACTCGGCGTTCTCGTCCGATTCGACCGATGTCATTGACACCCAGCCCCAGGCACGTAACGAGATGAGATACCAAGCCATCAAGCAAGCCGTGGACGAAGGATCTTTGCCAGAAAGCGCCTTGACCCAGATGGATTACTACGACGACGACGTGGAAGGCAATGGCGACGAAGAAAAACAGTCTGTCAAATACGACTACGCATTGTTCCATGTCATTTTCTTCTTGGCTACCCAGTATGTGGCCACCTTATTGACTATCAACGTCGAGCAAGACGACTTGGGTGATTTTGTGCCCGTGGGAAGAACTTACTTTTCGAGCTGGGTAAAGATAATCAGCTCGTGGGTGTGCTTCGTGTTGTACGGGTGGAGCTTGGCTGCGCCTGTTCTCATGCCCGACAGATTCGGGGTCCAAATATAGCGTGTGGCTAGCTAGTAGAGAAATAATTAGTAATATATTACGTAAGCACAATCACGCCACGAACTTCCGCCAGGTGGAAGTGCCCATTTTGCACCGCCACTGGCACTGTCCGTTCGTAGAGCTTCCATCGGTACCACTGCGCTAGCTCCATGCCTCCCGCTCCTGCCTCTTCCTCTCCCAGCCTCTCCACAGCTAACCTCTCCGCTCGCACTTCATACACGCGCTGATTGGCCAAAGCGCTTTGTGCACCACCAAAATTTTCAGTAACCCGAACCTCAAAATCAACTGTCCTAACATCCATACTTCTACAGGAAAATGTCAGCTATCATCTCCAAGGCCACCAACGTCGTCAACGGCTTAGTCACCAAGTCTACCCAAGTTGCCAACTCCGCCCTTTACTGGACCAAGGTCGGTGCCGAAGTCGGCAAAGTCGTCTACAAGAAGGAAGGGTTGGCTCCACCATCAGGACAACAATTCCAACAATTGTACCAAAACGCCTTGAAGTTCGTCCAATCTCCAGCACAACAAAAGGAGTTCCTCTCCAAGGCTGCCCAAATTCAGCCAAACAAAGAGACTGCTGTTAAGGCTGCCGTTTACGGTACCCAATTATTGGCTTTCTTCTCTATTGGTGAAATAATCGGTAGAAGAAGCATTTTCGGCTACCCATCTTCCGGAAGCCACCACTAGATGTATCATATTGGCTCGAGCCCCGAGGCTAGATAACTCGAGGGTGCTCGGGCAGCCGAGCTGTGGTTTGGCAGGGGCGAACGTCCGCCAGATGCGTTTGGTAGAGACGACACACAGCGTCCAACAGTCTATTCCTGTCTATATTGGTTTATTTATTTAGTCATAAATTTTTTCAGTGAAATGTGTAGGTGATTTTTCACTGGCTGGCGATTAATAGTAATCTATCAGTGTCAGCTAGCAATATTCAAGTGGCTACAGGGTGGTCAGGATAACTTTGGTGTTCACTGTGGCTGCTGCGTTCATTAATGTTTTCCGTCTTTGGTGTTAGCTAAAGGCGTTCTGTTATTCAGGCTCCCAGGAATTACATACCATACTCTCTATCAGCTTCAGCAACTGGAATGCAGCAATTATCTTCCACTTTTCAGTGTAGAGGCAATGCCAGTCACTAACTATTTAATACTCTCTTTTCATGCTATTGGCATTCAGAATTATCGGTCTTCGGTGTGTTAGCTAGGCAGAAATTATTTATTATACTCTATTTGCAATGTCTCGGGCCACTGTGTGGTGTGGCTCATGGTTTTTATTCTTGTTATTGGTGTGACAGGGCAATTCTGTTGCAGCGTAATTCGTGGTATTGGATCAGCTTCACTGTATTTATGCTCACGCCTGTTCACCATGAAACTTTCTCTTGCTGTCCTCGATCATTCTCTCCTTCTTTCTCTTCTTATCCTTGATCACCTTTGGAACAGTACTGATTTGCTTTCTCTTCAATTGACCTCTCTTGGCCTCCTTCTTCTCGTTCTTGGTTAACTTGCCCAAGTTCTCCATCCAGCCACTGTATCCATCCTTGCACCCAGATTGCTTCATCACGTTGATGATAGGCTTGACCAACTTGTCGTCTTCTTTGGTGAAAAATGTCACTGCATTACCTTCTCTGCCTCCTCTACCGGTTCTACCGATTCTATGGACATATGCCTGAGCACTCTGGGGAACATCGTAGTTGATGACCAAATTCACCCCCTTGAAATCCACACCTCTGGATATAACATCAGTGGTAATCAACACCCAGATATCTCCGTTCTTGAAACGTTTTATCACCTCTTCTCTTTGTTTGGGGGTTCTTTCGGCGTGGATCACGTCCACGTTAAGCTTATCATAAATCAACTCGTGGAATAACGCCTTGGCTCTGTGGATGGATTGCAAAAAGATGATGACGGGAGGTTTGAATTCACTTTGCTGGATCATTTGTCTGATTGCCAACAATTTTCCTTCTTCATTTCCAGTATACACCAACTTCTGGTCGATGGTATTGCTGGCGGCTTCCTTGTGGCCAATGATAATTCTGATGGGATCCTTCATGATGGAGTGGGCCATTTCTTCCACTCCGGAAGGAATGGTGGCAGAAAACATCGATTTACGAATGGTCGACAAAGTACAGTTGGATAGTATATCGTCAGTTTGCTCCACAAAACCCTTGTCGAACAACTTGTCTGCTTCATCAATGATCAACTGTTCAACCTTGGACAAGTCCACAGTTTCGTTCTTGACCAACTCGATTAATCTCAACGGAGTCGACACCAAAATGTCAAATTTGCTGGCTGTAACGATCTTGTTGGATAACTTGGATGCCAATTGCTTCAGCAAGATTCCAACTGTGAGTTTCTTACCCTTGGTAAGGTTCTGTAATTGTTGGAAAATCTGGATGGTCAATTCATTGGTGGGAGATATAATCAATCCTCTGATCCCGTGGTTCTTGGTATCGTCCGAGCCCTTGGACTCCAAGATTTGCTGGATCAAAGGGATCAAAAATGCTAATGTTTTACCGGAACCAGTTGGTGCACAAGAAATAAGATCACGGTCATGCAAAGTAATAGGGATGGATTCACACTGGATGGGAGTTGGCTCGACAAATTCATTCTCAATAAGGTTGCTAAGAAGTTTGGGGTCGAGGTTGAATCTACCGGTCAAATCATGGAACGATCCAATAGGCAATGGAATGTCTTCACCCGTGACTTTAGAGGAGTTGGCAGTTCTCAACGCTAAGGCATCTTCTGCGTTCTTGATCTTTTGGGGTGCTTGGACAACGGGTTTCTCTTCTGAGCCCTCTGTGATGACTTCTGGCTCTTCGAGCTCCTTTAATTCCACCTTGTGTGATTTGGTGTGGAAAAAGTCCACTTCCTTTTCGACTTGATGCTGTAAGGACTCCGCTTTTTGCTTTTCGTTCACTTTAGGCTTGGCGTATCCACCGCTGGGCTGCTTGTCCTTGCGGATGGAAGCACCTCTGGTCAATATTCTGAAGATATCCATGGGATGAGATGTATGCTGGGGACATCTTTTGATGGTCTTCTCGTTTTTCTAGGAGATGGATTAGGTAAGCGCTGACGTAATCGCGCTCCACCATTTTTCAATGAAAAGATTTTTGACCGACACCAAATCACCAAACCAGCCATGACCATCATACGAATTGGATCCCCCCAGGCTAGTCGCTTTTTGGCCAGAAGCATCTACCTACACAAGGGTCCCAGAGTTACCGGGCTTAAAAAGGACCCCCAAGAAGCATTCACCACCAACACTGGGTACAAATATGAGAAGTCTGAAAACAACTTGAAATACATCAAAGGATTCTTGCAAGACAAATACGCCATATCTGACGATTTGGCATTGCAGGTGTTGACCCACAAGTCCTTCAACAACGGAGTGATGCCATATAACGAGAAATTAAGTGCCATGGGCTCCAAGTTGGCCAACCTCTTCTTTGCCAAATACGTCACCGAAGGGTCCACTAACAACGAGAACAACGTCAACGGCAAGAACTTGGATGTGTTAGGTTCACCTATTGCTAAGGAGCTTTCGGGAAGAATGACCATGGGGCTTTTTGCTAGATCAAACGAATTGAACAAGGTGATGTTCTGGAACTCATACGGCCACGGTCTTGGATTCGAGACCAGTGGAGAAATGAAGGTCAGTGCCCAGATGATGTATGCTTTGATAGGTGCTGTGGCCTTTTCTCATGGTAAGGAAGTGGGAGAACAGTTCATCAGAGAAAAGTTATTGGGAGGTAGGGCTTCCGTGGAAGACATAACCGTCAGATTAGTGAGTGGAGAGACTAGTTCAAACTAGGAGTATAAAGAATAGAGGCCTCGAGGTCCTATCTGCGCAGCAGGTATGTATATAATAAACAGGAATTTGCATGTATATGCGTAGGACACAGAGGTAGTAAACAATGAGAACGAAGAAAGTAACGGATGAGGAGCAGATGATAGAACTACTAGAGGGAGCAAAATTCGTATCAACCTTGGTTAGTGGAGGTATTAACCTTGGAGATAATTTTTTGAAGTGAATACTGGTGATTAGTTTCGAAGTCTTACACATCCAAAGAGCCCTAGCTTTGCGGGTTTTAATTCACCACAAGGCCATTTCCAATCGATTATATCTCAGCCGGAGAATACGAACTAATGTTTAAGCCCGTTAGCTCAGCCGGAGAATACGACCTAACATGTAAGCCCGTTAGCTCAAGTGATTATATCTCAGCCGGAGAATACAATTTTAGTCGGGTAATTCAACTGTATCTTGCTAGAAAATACGGAATTTAGTCGGGTGGCTTAAGTGAGAGTATCTTGCTGGAGAACGCTGAATCAAGCCGGGTAGTTCCGCTAGTGAATTCCGAGGAAATCGACAGATGAATAATATTATTAATTTAGTGAACGAAGGCTAGTCAGACGCAAATCTGACCGAATGTACAGACCGCAAATCGGCACCCGAAACGTCCTTATCTCGATCGGAATGGGAAAATACCACTCAGATATACGAGTAACACCTAGGCCCTTAACAGACGAGCACGAAGGGTGGAGCACTGAGGACTCACTACTGACGGAGTACTGTGCACACGTCACCACTGCATTCTACTGCAAGCGTATGAAACCGTTTCTATTGCAATTGCCTGAAACATCTCACTCTACTGCTGAAACCCTCGTTGTTTGACACATACAGCTTGTAAATAATATTATTAAACTAAGACACTGTGTTCTGATCTCAAAATTAACAACACTAAAAAACGTGTTAATACTACTGATTTCTCAAGCTTTACTTCTGTAGGCCATTTGAAATGGCTGGTGCATGTCTCTTGACCCCGACTGGTGGCTGACGCGTCCATTTCCGCCTTATCCGTCGTCGCTGCCATCATCTCGCCTCGATATCACCGTGTAATTACGGCTGGTGGTGAGGCGCTCCCGCGCGTGCCAGCTCGATTGTGCCCCGGTGCCTGGCATTCCCCACCACCGTCTCAGACACTGGAAAATACTGGCAAAAGCCGGCTCTATCTGGTTGACCATGACAATGCTAGCACCCATCTGGCGTCTGGCAGGTGCAGGGCTTCCAGTACTGCGCCAGGAACCTCCCTAGCGCCTCGTCCTGCGTGCGGCGGCTCCCGCGACTCTGTCCCTGGCAACTGCCTACCGCCGTGCTGGCTGTCGTAAACTCCAGCGGGACCGTCGCCAAGCCCGTGCCACATTCCTCCCCACGACAGACGATGCCAGGCGAGGGAGCAGAAAGAGAAAGAGAGACGTATCGACGGGGTTTCCCCACAAGTAGTGCGGTACGGATGTTCGACCAGCCCCCTCCAGCACCCTTCTGCCCGTTCCAGCCCTCGTTGGCCCTGTGCACCTCCTCTGCTCCTCTGCTCCTCCCAGCCCTCTCTGCCCTCCCCCGCCACTGCCCCTAACCTGCGCGATCCTCACAATCAGACGCGTACAAAAAAAATTGAAAATCTCTGGCGTCAGAAAAACGAATCAACCACTCTTATCAACTCCCTGAACCAGTTGGTAATCCCCACCACAAGTGCCCAGCTCCGCGTGTCCCCGTCGAATACCATCGTCAGGTCTCTCGGTATCTCCAGCGCGAACCACAATGAGTGAAATCGACTTGGTGCATCACTACCGAGTGTTGAAGCAGTTTCTAGATATCTCCGATGACCTGAGTTCCCGCAACAAGTCCAACTCCACCCGTGCAGCAAGAGCTCGCGAGAAGCTCCTCAAGCTCTCAGGAGCTCAATTCCGCGAGTTGAGCACCGATGTCTACGACGAGCTCAAGAGACGTATCGACGAGTCCCGAGGCGAACCCGACTACTTGTTGCCCAAGTCCTCGTTCCACCCCAAGAGAAACCAGGCAAGACAAAAGTTATCGTCCTTGCCGCAGACCCGTTTCAAGGACTTGGTTTCGGACATTCTGTTTGAGATCGAGAGAAGAGATCTCCACATCGAAAAGGCTTCTGTGCCTGAGTCCTCGCCCACAAAGTCCGTCAGTGACCACCACGACCCCATTGCCCACGAATCCAACGAACGCCAGTCGATTGCCGAGGTCATCAAATCGGCCAGTCACACCTCGTCTCCTGCCAGAGATTTGGATTTGGATTCCAAGAAAGACTCGATTTCGGACGCCCAGAACCAGACCATGGGTATCCAGTCTAAAACAGTCATCCCCACCAAGGCCAATTTGACCTGGTCCAGCGACGAAGAAGAGGAGGAAGAGGAAATCAGCAATCACAACAATAAAGAGATTGGCAACTCAAGCCTTTTGGAACAAGAAATAGCGAAGAAGGACCAGTTGATCTCTCAGTTGAATGATAAAATTGCTGAAATCGAGCATGAGAAAGATTCCATCAACCAAAAGTACCACTTACTTCAAGATGACTACGAATACTCGGTGTCTCAGAATAAATCGCTCAGCAATGAACTCGATGCCTTAAGTGAGGAAAAGAAATCATGGATTTCAACTCAAAGATCTATCTCTCAGTCTGATGATTTAAACAAAGAAGTAGACACGTTGAGATCCAGCATTGCCGCTTTGAGGTTGGAAAACCAATCCTTGAAGAACAGCAGCCCACAACGCCAACTCACTAAAGAACACAACGGTTCAGTCATCACTTCGCCAACCTCAGCCAAGAATCAAAGAGACCAAAGTTTGAAGAAAGATATGGAATCATTCTTCGAGAGATTGTCGAACTTGGAAGCCTTGCCTGCAAAGCAAGGAAACTTGCACACTGAACTCAAGAATGATATCATCAAATGGCAAAAGAAGTATGAGCAAGCCCGTTCCAACTCTTTATCTTCCGATATTACCAATGCTGTATTGAGCCAGGATGAATTGAAATCATTTGTTGCCCCATACGGATTGATTTCCATCAGGTTGGTCGCAGATTTGCAGGCTTTGGTCGAAACATTCTTGATCTACTTGAATGGTAAGCGCTCTGATTCAGACATTCTTTTCGAAAAGATCTCGAAGATTTCAATCTTGGCCAATGAAATTGCTGCCCAAGGCGACAATCAACATTTCAATAGTAATGAGCATTCTATCTGTCTTAGAGAAGCTGTGAGTTATGCACTCAGTGCAACCAGATATTACGCAGTCTACTCATCTATCTTACCTAAGATTGTTGTTGAGCGCTCTGTGGGAGAAATTTGCTTCACATTGTGTGATCTTATCACAGTAACAAAGCTCAATGAAGGCTCGGCCAATTCTAGATCTGTTGATGCTGCTGCCACTAATGCTGTGCAAACTAGCAAAGCTAAAGTTGATGAGGATTTCGGTGCAAGACCTTTAAGAATGGCCAATAGATTGCGTGAAGCCCAATCCAGCTCTGGTTCCCCTAGCGAGGAACAAAGCTCCCCTTTCAATCCACAAGAGAACGAGAATTCAAACACCTCCAGAAGTATTTTTGGCGGAGTGACTCTGGCAACTGGACAAGGTTTCCTCAGAAAAATCTCTCCGTTCGGTGGAATGAGACAGGTATCGAGCTACAACAATTCCTCCAGCCAGTTATCTAAGGAATCCCCTGCTGAAACAAACACTGGAGTGCCCGAAATTGCAATTGGAGAGCAAAAGCGTTCTGTTGAACAACCTGTTGTGTTACCAATTCAGACACCAGAAGAGACTACTCCTGCTGAGTCCACAATGAATGCTACCCAGCCATTAAATGGATTTGCTAAAAACGAGGCTGCTAATGAGTCTAGTGATGTCGTTCCTGTTTCCATAAGCAAATCTGAATCAACTCCAATCAAAGAGACCAAGCTCCCTAGATTCACCACCCAAGAACAGCCCCTGACTCAGAGATCACTCTCGAACACCATTCCGGAAGTTTCCCAAAAGCAACCTTCGCCATTGAGAAAAGCTGAATCGCCAAAGAGTAAGAATATCACTGCATTAGCCTCTAAGTTCGAGAATTCACCTACGAATGAATTCAAGAATGGACAATCAGCATCCACCTCGTCATCACCAAATGGAAAACGACCAGGAGTATTAAAAATCGCATCTAGACTCAACAGCTCCAGTGACATCTTGTCGAAGGCACCTGAAACCCAATCTCCTCCAGCCAGAAAGAAGAACATTTTGGATAAGGTGAGACAGTTCGAGGTTGCCGAAGAACAACCTTTGAACGTCAAGAGTAAATCCTCTCCAACGGCACTGAACCACAGCAGAAAGAGCTCTCTTGTGTTAGACCTGGACAACGATGATAGCGTAATCAGACATGAGGTTCCCAAAGAAATTGGAACCAAATTGAATGAACCTTTCGAGGCTGTTGCAGGATATTCTGGACAAGATATTTTGAAGAACACTGACAACATTAATGGTGAAGTCAGCGCTCAAAGAAGTAACTCGTTTGGATCGTCCGATCTGGCTTCAGGTAAAGGCAAGGGATTATTCCAAAGCATAAGAGACAGATTAATTTCTGACAGTGATAGTAAGGTCATTGATGAAACCACAAACTCGGAAGAGGGTAACTCTGATAACGATAAAGTTGAGCTCAGTACTGACAAAGTGTTGACATCCACAGCCGAAACCACACCCTCCAAGGAGAATGAGGAAGATGACCAAAGTGATTACTCGCCTGTAAAGTCCGATAGAGGTTTTTTCCAATCCATAAGAGACAGACTCGCCACCAATGCCTCCGTGAGTGAAGATGGTAAAAACCCAACGTCTTCATCTGGATCGGATGTTACTGTTCAATTAGACGGAGCTGAGACCAGGGCTACTGAGGTTGATTCAGACGAAGATGATGTTGTTGTTTCGAAGAAGCCAGTCACCAAAGAGGTCGTTCCAGGGGTGAAATCATTACCCTTTGATTTGAACCAACCTGGATTGACTAGCAGTTACCAACAACGCAATGCCGTGAATGCTCCATTGGCAGCTGAACCTGTCCCAGCTACATCAACAACATCCACTGCACCACTCCAATTCCAGTCGAAAGAAACCAAGCCTACTGCTATTGGACGCAGTGATTCAGGAAGCAGTGCTAGTTTGAAGTTGGGCAGTTTCGGTTCACATGGAAATGAAGACTTGAAATCAAGTTTGTCTACTTCGAAGCCCCAAGTTTCCAAGAAGGTCAACTACCTGAGTGACACCAAGACCACCAACATTGACGATAGTGCCATAGAGTCAGAGGAGGAGGAGGAATCAGAAGAAGAAGAATCGGAGGAAGAATCGGAGGCTGATGAAGAATCAGAGGCTAGACAAAGACAGGAGTACCGTAAATCGATGGCTGCTGCTACATTCAATGTTGACTTATTCGACATCGATGATCCTGATAACACCTTGACCCAAGTGTTGCTCTACTTGGAACATCAAACTGTCCAGGTCATTTCCACCATTCAATCTTTACTCTCTGCCATCAAGAAGCCAAACGCTACCAGAGGAGATTTGCGTGAAAAATCGCAAGCCATCACTGAGGTTATATCACAAATGACAGAAGCTACCAACACATCCATGAACCAAACCCGTAACGCTCAATTGAAGGAGCACGGTAGCTGGGTTGTGAAGAGCTTGGAGGATTGTTACCACCGTATGAACATTTTGTGCAAGCCAAACACTGACAAGAGTGACAGCGATTTCGCTGACAAGAACTTCAAACAAAGATTGGCTGGAATCTCGTTTGACATTGCCAAGTGTACCAAGGAATTGGTCAAGACTGTCGAAGAGGCTAGTCTTAAGGAAGACATTGCTAACCTCGACGCTAGATTGGGTCAGCATGACGACTTGACTTAGGGCTTCCTAAAAAGTCGGTAGGTGTTTAGCTTTTGGTTCTATACTTGTATTTTCTATTAATTTAGTTGTGTTATGATAGTGCTAGCTTGCTAGTGTGTAGTGCGTTGGTGGGCTACTTGCCCAGTTTCTGTTACTGTTGGGTTAGCTATTTACTTGTCCTGTTAGTTGGGTTATTCGCTGTTCCTGGACATATTCTGCTATCAACTGTAGACAAGGCTGTGACCAGAAACGAACGTTTCTAGGTAGGCTCAGGAAGTCTGGTGATGAACTAAGAAGAAAGAGCTAAGCAAGAGCTAAAAACAATCATGGTGCTTCTTTTCCAACCATCACTGACAAATTCATAATAAAAAGTAAATCATTGATAGTTTTTTTGGATTCTTCTTGCGTTCTTACTAGGAATATTTCAAGTCTGTTAAAGCCTTGACCTAGGTTGGAGAATTAGTATGAACGGGATGAAGATTATAATATGTCCGCTGCTAATTCACCTGATGTACTTGGACAAGAATTTCTTGTGGAATTCAGAGCGAAGGGTATCGTTGGTGAAGTTGTCGTTATTCTGCTCGCCCTTGGGCTTGGGCTTGGGCTTGTTATTGAAAGCAGTGCTGCTTCTCCAGCTCTTTTTAGCTGGAGGCTCTGATTCATCCAATGACACCAATGGATTGGAGCTCTTGGCCTTCTCGGCCCTTTCGGCCTTCTCCTTGTTCTCTTTTTCTTGTTGTCTCTCCTGCTTGATTTTGGCAAGTTCTGCAAGTAACAACTCCGTCTCATCATCACTTTCGTCGTTGCTGTCCTCACTGGCGTTACTGTCAGACTGCATATCTTCCTCTTCAGATGCCCTGTCCTTATCAGACACTCCAGCATTGTCATCAGCGATCTGCTGCTTGACCTTCTGGAGCTCCGCTAGCAAAGCTTCTTCGTCATCACTTTCATCACTTTCGTCATTTTCACCGCTTGAGTCATCTCCCGATCGTATTTTGGACCGTTTCAGGTCGTTCTCATCGATCTTGCCCTCCAGAATCAAGAGTTCTCTCTTCAACTCCTCCACTCCACGCTTGGCTCTCACAGGATCAACCTCGGTCAACACGTCCTGTCTGTACTTGAGGGCCGTCTGCAGCGGAAGAGAACGAGCATGGGCGATGGAGTCGGAGATGGCAAGGGCTTTCCCCCGTTTGCTTTCAAGAGTGGGTCTGTGGTTGGTAGTCATGGATGATGGTGATGGTGATGAGATGGACTGAGAAATTGTAGGGGTAGTGCGAATATGGGGAGGAAAGGGAGATGGTTAGAAGACGAGAATGGAGACGAGGATGGAGACGAGGATGGAGACGAGAATGGAGATGAGAATGGAGACGCGATGGGAATACCAGAAGGGGAGTGTGGTGCTCCTAGAGGTGAAGTGTCTGCATTGATAATGTTATGACTAGTAGATAATTATCGGTGACAGTGAGATGTACAGTAATCTTACCATAATTGTATAAATGAGTAATTATTAGTTATACAAGAGGTTCATCAATTGGAATGCTAATGCTGAAAGTGGAGATGCAGCTATTATTGTAATTAGGAATACTACTAACCTGAAACAATAAGAATCACTTTTTCTGCTAACTGGAGTTCAACTCTACTCTAAGGCCCCAGAACCAGCACTTGATACAGCACTACCAACACCACCAAAATTGTTCAGTGAATCCTAATTAATCATAATTATTATATTCATGCCGCAACAAACTCCTAAAACGATGCTATGAAATTGTATTGACCAAATTAGCAGCTGGGTAATCATTTCTATACCTAATACTAGAAAGGGCCACTTTCAATATCTGCTGTTAATATGATTATAAGGAATACAGAAATAGGTGTACACATTTTCAACTATCACATCACCCGAGATGCTTCCAACTTAAAACATTCCGTCACCTTTGGCCCAGTGAAACTATTCCAGGATATCAATGATGATTTTGATATTAATATTTGCTTTCTAACGAGTGCTCTAATCATGATTCTAGAATAAAACAACTATTCAATACTCATTGAATCACTCCAAGGTAACAAGCGGGATTTCCACACTGTTCTGGTCACAGTTTAAAATAGAAATATGGGCATTGTGCACAGACTTAGTAGCGAATAATTTATCATGGGATAAATTTTTTAAATGGAGATTAAATAAGTATATATGCTCTAGAGATATCCGTTATAGTTAAATTGACTTTCTGTCCTTCTTTCTCGGACGTGAAGGGCAAGATAACTCCAAACGTCCTCATAACCTCCCTCGCAGACTCCGGCCCACTATAAATTATTAGAGTTTCTTCATAATTATGTATTGTTGATACTTTCTATGCCAGTTTTACTTCTTGGATCGAACAGACCGAGATAATTTGCTTCGGAACTAGTAATTCATCTTGTTTGCACAAATTGCCGCAAAATCACAGAGATTGGGAAAACGCTAAAAACTAACTGAAATTACCTAAAAATTACACAACGCGATTGCAAACAATGTGAGAGATTGTATTAGCGAAGCTAACAATCCAACATCTTGTGACTGGTCACAATGGCTTGAAAGGGAGTGAAAGCTGAATCTTTCTCCAGAGAAAAGGATTCTGGCGATTTGAGTATTTCTTCTAAACCATTCATATCAAAACGAGTGATCTCTTCAAAATCCAAGAAGATGTTTAAGTTGGAGATTGGATAGTGAATCGAAAGGCGTCTTCTCCATTACTGATCTAGAAGATGAATATTAATGAACATTTTCAAAACGAGTCATCAAAACGAGTCATTCTCTTGAACAGAATGCATATTGGACGAATATTAGTCGAACGAGTACTTTCTCCATCTAGAGGATGAAGGTTCACAATTAGAGTGCTATACTAAACTACTTTTTGTAAAAGTCATTAATCATGACTAACTGTATCAATCAAATCCAAATACTATTTTCAGATTTTGTGAAGTTCGCCGTTAGTATAAATATCGAGTGTGGTCGATTCCAGGGTGCAATGTCCTGACTTTCCGATTCTGGTGGTTCCAAGCTCTTGTGTGCTTATTGGAGACTGGATAATAATTCAATACAAGGTATTTTCCCTTCAAGAGGATGCATTTTAGAATATGAACTCGAAACGAATTCTCTCAATATTTCCAGTGGATGCGATTTCAATTATTTGAATGGTACATTCACACTAACAAGTAAATCGAAACGAGTATTATCTCGCTACAAGAGGCCAAAGTGAGGGGCTGATTATTAAATAGAAATAAGTACTTCTTTCCATATTTGATCGCATATTGGAGACTGCCTATTGAATAGAATCTATTTTTCTCCATAATTCAAGAGGAAGTATTGGAACTATTGCTATTAATTAAAAAGAGGCTATGGCCAGACGGATTCGCGCTATTCTTATCGGCGGTATTCCTAAATGCCTCCAAGGCAGTGAAGTATGGACGTTTGTCGGGCTACTGCCCCTCTTCATCCTCGCTATCCCTGTCTTCCAGCTGGCGCTGCCACTCGCCTCGCACCAAGATCGTCGCCGGAAAAACTGCCGTTTTGGGACGTAGGGAGCCGTCAGTACCACTGAAGCCGTGCCAACGCCCGATCTTCCAGCCACGTCTGCCCCTCATGGTACCCCTTATGGTACCCCTTATGATCCCAGCCGTCCCCAGCACCACCCCCAGCACTATCCGATCACCATCCCCAGCACCTTCAGTACTTTTGCCTCCCCTTCCCCATCACTCCCCCCACGGTCTCCCGCCGCTCGCCTCGCCCTACCGCCCTGCGCCTGCACCGCCGATCCTCCCCACACCTCCCCAGACCCCACAACCACGCCGCACGTGACGGGATGCCTGCCAGCCGAATCACCAGGCGGTATCTGCCACCACTCGCTGGCGTCTTTGCAGCACCACTCCCGTCTCCATCAGCCACCACGCTGTCCCCTAGCGCCTCCACCAGCCTCCACCAGCCTCCACCAACCGTCCACTACCATCCACTACCATCCACTTCCGTCCATTACTGTCGATTTCCACCCACTTCCATACCTTCCATCCCCACCACCTCCGGCTGTCTGTGCTCCACAATCCATGTTCGTGTTTCCAGCCTTCGACTCCAACTACAAGACCCGTAAGCGGACGTTCAACTGCTGCCAGAACTGCCGCATCAAGCGGGTCAAGTGTGAAATCACCTCTACTGACTACGAACGAGTGGGATGCAAAACTTGCAACAGGCACAACTGGAAGTGCAGCCTCATAAAGCGCAAAGCCGGCCAGCCTGACGACGATGACGATGACGGCAAGACCCCTGGCCCAGCAGGTTTGACGGAAAACGACGACCCTGAGCTCGACGACATCAAGGAATCGTCAGACTCGTCGTTGGAAGGGTTCCCCAATCGTGAGCCAGGACCCACAGAGCCGTTGCGGATCACGCCGCTGTTCCTCAAACAGCGCTTCAACTTCAATATCCTGGGACCCGAGTCGTTGTCCACGTACCAACTCTACTACCACGGACACCCCAAGGCCATCATCGCCAACGCGTCGGAGGACCAGAGCATCTGGCACGAGTCAGGAGTCTACATCAAGGTCAAGAAGGAGGATGACGCCAAGTCCTACAAGGTGCGCAACTTCGGCAAGGCAGGCAAGGAGAAGGAGTTCTATATCCGCAATCCCCTGATCTACAATTTCCTCCTCACCATCAACGCATTCACGTTAACTTCGCAGGAGTACCCGTTCGACTACTTTGACACCAAGCAGTTGGTGGAGTTGTACTTCTACAAAATCAACTCGATTTTCCCGGTGGTCAACGAGAGCAAGTTCTGGGACGACTTCAAGGCCGACAAGGCCCAGAACGTGTTGGTGTACACCATGGTGTTGGTCATCGCCCGCGACAAGATGGCCGAATCCATCTTGCGGCGAGTGTTCTCCAAAAACTCGGCGTCCTCCGACGATCCCCGAAACTTCACCCAGAAATTGCAGACATTCATGACTGACTTGGAGTACAAAATAAGACAGATATTGTTGATATTGCCCCAGCTAGGCGACGACGACAAGTTTACCCGACTCGTAACCCTGGTGCTTCTTTCCCTCCACTTCAATTTTGACAAGCTCGGAAACGAGCAGAGTTCTCACGACTTGACCGATGCCATCAATCTCGGAGTAGCTCTTGGAATCCACATGAAAAGATTGTCGTCAAAAATAGATCCGCTTCGTGCCGAATATACCACCAATCTATGGTGGTGCTGCTACATTTTTGACCGCTTCAACGGGTTGTTCAACCAAAGAAATTTGTTTATCAGACAGGAAGATTTCAATGTGGATTTGCCCTACAACAACATCAATTTACTTAAATTAGTGCAGTTGGCCAGGGCATTGGAAAACATGTTCTTGGCTATCTATACACCCTTCAATGATACTAATGCGACTATTAGTGGGAAAGAGAATAGCCAAACGCCAAACAACCTCATGAACATCAACCCAAGGTACAATATGTTCAATATTGACGAGTTTCAAAAGCTAGAATTCGAGCTATGCGACCAGGAAAGAAATAACCCCAGAAAGATTTATGAATCGAACGGAAATGCTAGCGACTACGTGAGCAACACCATTCACTTTCTATCCAGAATAGTTAACAATGCCATCATCATGGGATCACAAAAGGCTAAGTATGATAATCCTCAGATTCCAATGAGCATACCAGATGACTGTGCAATAAGAGCCGCTTCTAACATCGTCAAATATGTCCGGGAGATGCAAGAGGACTACGTGATCAATATTCCAGTCGTTCCTTGGTGTATTTCCTTGGCGATGGCAATCTCACTCAAAAGGAGAACTAAAGCCTATTTTAAGGAACCATTGAATAGTGCCGATAACAACAAGCTTGAGTTTGAGTTAGAAGATTACTTGGCGGCTTTAAAGAAGTTCTCGAACACATGGTGGTTTGTCGATGAAATGTACAGACTCACCAAAGATTTCACAGATAAGTTGGCAACAAAGGCTATTCGCAGAACAACCAAAAGAAGAAAAAGCGCTTCCAACAATAGCATTCATAAAGCACAAAAATTGTCGCCACAATCAAAGCCCAAGTGGGGAGATTCTAGGGCACTGTCGGTACCGTCCAATAGTATGCATTCCGGGTACCAGTCAGTATCAAAGGCGGACTCCATTCCTTCAATTCAGAACATATTAAGACCAGAGCCAGTGGCACCGGAAACTGGAGAACACTACAACAGAAATTCGATCGAGAATGGATCACCCTTGACGACCGTCAGCTCCAACGACTTGGATTATGACCAGTATTTTGACTCGATGCAAATAGATATTTTCAACTACGACTTCTTCAAGGATGTGCCTAATGCCATAAACATGCTTAGTTGAGGATATTGGATTTTGAGTAACAGCTGAACTTAATGGATGCTCCTGGGATAACTGCCCAGGATTTTTGCATGGTTTTCAGTGCATATCTGTATATAATTTTATGTGGGATGTTGATCCGAAAAGGCTCTAGTATAATATAAGAATAATGGCCAGTGGTAGTAATGTTCAGTATGATATATAACCCTCTTCCCCTGCTCTCAGATAGTCTACGCAAATTGTCTATGCTTGTATATTTGTTTTACACTAGGGTAATTAATTAGGAAAGTCCCACATCCACCTCTTCTTCACCAGCTCCGCTGGTTTATTCGCCCTCACTCTCGATTTCATCTTCCCAGCCCTCTTCGTCAACTCTTTGGGGCATTAACTCGCTCATCACTGGACCTCCCAATTCTTCCAAGAGAATTTGAACTTGCTCCACCACCTCTGGGTCGTTTTCACCCTCGCTATTGATGATTTTGTAGGCCAGAGTCAAGGTGCTCTTGGCTTCGGCAAGCAGGGCCTTGATCTCGTCGTTAGTGGATTTCTTCAAAAGGGCAATTTCGAGGTCTCTGTAATCTTCCAATTGTTCTTTGGAGGTTTCGACGTACAACTTCTTAGCATTGAACAAGCCAGCCAAGGCTTCGTAGTAGTATGGTTCTAGAATGCTCTCGTTCACATCCTGGATGCTGGAAGCAATTTCTATGGTGGTGTCGTAGAGCTCCATTTCAATGGCAAATCTGGCCAAGGTCAACAAAGGCTGGATCAACTCGATATACTCCAAACCGACTTCAAACGAGTCGGATTCTTCGGAATCTCCACTGTCTCTGATCTTGTTGGCGGACTCTTCAAGCGTGATCTTCTTCTGCTTGAAAATAGCCCATGATTGTGATAATGCTTGTCTGGCCTCGTCAGGTCTTTGCTGGGAGATTCTAATGGATGCTAACAAACTCAATGCCTCGGGGTTCTGGGCATCCAAGCTCAACGAGTAGTTGATCAACTCGTCACACTTGGACTCGGCCTCTTCTTCCATACACAAATCGGTCATCCAGATCTCGATTTTGGCAAAGATACCCTGGTTCAACTTCTTGATCACGTATTTGGTCAATTCAGGCTTACTCTTGTAAAGCTGTGACAACTCCACCAAAACCACGTCGTTTTCGCCCGAGTCGTTTTGGATCAACTCGAGATGACTGTTCAATTTATTCAACCCAATATCGAGCAACGCCAACCCGTCCTGGCCACCTATGATCTGACCAAGGTAGAAGAACTTCTCCACACCAGCATCTGCCTTGGGATCGCTGGAACAGGCCTTGGTCAACACTTCGTAGGCATTTTCCACGTCGTTGTTCTCCAACAAAGTCTCTCCGAAGATCTGGAGGAACTGAACGTCTTCGGTATAGGGCTCAAAATTTGCCTGAAGAAGCGTCAACGCCGCCTCCGCTCGCGACGACTGCAACAACGCACGGGCCTTGGCCACTAGTTCGGTTATAGGCATAGACATGTCTGGTGAAAGAAGGAAATGTAAAAATTTTGGGATGAGATGATTACGTCATCGAGGCTCTGATACCAGAACTACTGTAGCGAGAGATAATCAACCTGAGGCAGTGGATTCAGCTAGATTCGACGATCTACAGGCATATTTGCAAAACCTACAGTCAGACGACTCTTTCAAGCAACGGAAGTGTGGCTTCAATCAGTCCATTCTGGCACAATCATCGATTTGGAATCAAATTCGAAGTTTCACAAATTGCCCTAAGAATTGCACCAAGTGGCCCAAGACTGGAACCAGTCGCCTATAGACCACCCGTTCGTCACACATAAGCACCATGATAAGTTCCACAACCGCAAGTGCCCTCACTGAAGAGTACTACATACTCCACCTCATTTATCACAGAAGCAAGAACCAGCACAGAGTACAGAAGTGGTGGCAGTACCTCAACATCTTCCATCGTAAGCTCCGGAAGATCGTCAAGCTATCCATCGACATCGAGAAACTCTCGTCAAAACCCAAGATTCAAGCGAAGAACGACCAGATTCTCGAGACAATTCGGTACCTCATCAAAAACCAGGTGTTCAAAAAGGCGTACTACGAGTACAACGGAATACTAGCGTTGGGCCAGTTTATCAACCTTGGATTTGCATTGCTCGGAAGTTTGAGTAAGATTTATGCCTTATTCATGGAGATAGATGGGGTCAAAGAACATATTTCAAAAGCGCAAGAAGTGCCGGAATTGGCCAAACCAGCAAAATATACACAGGTGGCACCCATAGACGACGACTACGGAGAGGTGATAGAGTATACAAGTCAAGAGCCAGTTGAACCAGTACGAAAAAAGCAGAAAATGGATATTCCCAGTGATACAGGACTCACCACAAAAGACCAGAACAAGACCATAGACGAAATATTTGGAAAGAAAAAGAAGGACAAGAAGCCCAAAAAGGAGAAGAAGAAAAAGAAGAAAAACGACATGGACGATATATTTGGATTCTAGCATCTCGAGGAGAAATGTGAAAGAAAACTGGGGTTTTATTTATGGAATCTGAATTGTTAAAACTAGCACGAATTTCCCCCAGTCTTAGTTCTATGGCGCAAGGCATACCTAGGAGACTACACATGTTATAGATTAGACAGGCTTTTCTCTGAAATAAACATAAACAAACTAAATAAGTTCTACCCAGTAAATAAATTGAAGAATAAAATATAACAAGTAACCGGTTACTAAAAGTAAACACAAATGGCGACAAGCATGAACACAAGACAGCACAAGAATGAAAGGAATTAAATACACAACTTTGGATATGGTTAGGTTAGTTATACATCACAGGATTTGGGTTACTGTACATTTGGTATTGTTGTTTGACAGGAAAGCATTGCTGGCTCTGCAATGGTTGGAAGTTGGATTGTTCGGAAAAATCCTGTTGATGCATTTCGGTCTGGTATTGGTTTTGATGGAGTTGCTCTTGTTGCTGAAACTCCTGTATTCTTGCTTGATGCTGTGCTTGTTGATCGAAACCGTAGTGTACAGTTGGTTGTTGAATTTGGTTTCCACGGTTGAGGTTGTTGACCGCATGTTGAGCCTTCATGAATTCGATGATTTCATTGAAGTTGTTGAAAGTAGCATTGTTCAATTGGTCGATATCCAAGCAGAATTGATCATCATCGAATGCTTCGAAGGATGGCATTGGTTCTCCACCCATTTGGTAATGATCTATATGTGTTGGTTGGAATGACTGTGAGTAAAAATGTTGACTGTAGTCAATAGGGTTGTGTTGAACAACAGGAACTTCTTGCTTCACCTCGGTGTAGGACGAACTTACTTTTGCATCTGGAGATGTATGAGCTTCATTGTTGATGGATGAACTGATCGAAACAGCTGGAGAATTGGAAATATGTTTGTAACCGTAGGTGTTGATACTTGATGGAATAGGGGTACTGTTATTGGCAGAAACTGGAGTGTCCATAGCTGGGGTTGAACATTCACCTGAAACTTGGCTTAAACCATTGGTTTTCTTTGAGGACACAGCTGAAGCAAGAGCAAAGTGCTTAGAGTATATACCTCCGCTCTTTTCAAATTCCTTTTGCTGTTGCTTAGTCAACTGTTTCTTTATTCTGTTCTTGATTCTAGACTTACCCTTGAAGCCAGAAGGCAAGAACTTACACTCAGCGCCTTCCACATGTAATTCACACCAAATTTCTGCGTTAGGAAAAGTCTCTCCACACATGGAACAAGAACCGGCCGACTTGGCTCTTTCTTTGGTCTTGGTGCCTTTTGGATACTTGAAATGTCTAGATTTCAAGTGGGTCTTGTAGGTGTCTCTTCTTGAGAAGCCACCGTTAGGGTGACATTTGTGAGTGACATCGTTCTCGTCGATGAAGACACTGAACTCGTGGAAGGGACACGAGTAGGCCTTTTTGGTGGCATGTTTTTTCAAATGACGAGTCAAGTATCCTCTGATCTTGAAGGTGGCGTCACAGTGAGGACACTGGTGAATCTTGCCATCTGGCACGCCGAACGAGGAGTCGCCAAGCGCAATATCTTCAGAGGACGAGCAGGAGGAAATGGAGCCCGAGTGGTGGTCGTGGTTGAGGTGTTGATCGTTGGGGGTGAATGGAGACGAGTGGTTAGTACCCGGGGTATTATTGTCCTCCTTCTTTACTGCGGCAGCCTTGTTGCTGGAGGAGATGATCGAGTCATTGTTGGATGAGTTAGAGATGGTGGGAGACAAGTTGGCATCATCCTCTTCTTCGTAGGCGGCCTCATCGTACTCGTTGTAGAACTGGGGTTCAGGGTTGAAGTGCTGGTGGGAGCCCTGCTTGAACACGTCGAGCTCGCTGGAAACGCCATCGTCGGTGAAGGCCCACTCAATCTCGCCGTTTTCGTTCTTGTAGGGCAAGAGCTTGGTGGTCAAGCCGGTGGAGCATGGCTGGGCGTACGAAACATTCTTATCGAGTGGGAGGGCGGCAGAGGCCGTGGGAACGATGGCAGGGCTTCTGATGGAAGGAAACAAGTCTGTTTTGTCGTCAAGCTCTACGATCCGCGAGCTCTTCTTGCGGGACTTCTTAGGCTGTCTGTTGATGTGGTGGAAGAACTGGGAGTCGGAAGGAATGCTGAGCGATTCCGGGAAAGGCACCAACAACGCAAGCACGTAGGAGATACCCACCTGGAGGAGGCGCAAGGCGATGGCCACAAGGGTGAAGTTGACGAAGGTGGACGATTTGGAGGGCGTTTTGGACGACGTTTTGGACGTCATTTTGGACGTCCTGCGGACGCTTTCGCTGGAAAAAACGGACATGGTGGTTCAGGCCGTGGGTGCAGTGACGAGACGACCAGAAGACCAGACGAAGGCTAGGCGGACAGGGACAACAACTAGTGGTGGATTTGTTGGAGGCAGCGGCAAGGAAAAGTTGCTGACTGATTAGGGGATATTTTGGGGCGGAAACGACCAGTGCGACCAGAAAATTTTTCGTAGGCGGAACGGAGCAAACGGAGCAGCTGGTGGAAGTTGATGGTGGTGGAGGATATCCAGAGGTTAAGTAAGCTGGAGTGGTGAGTATGGAGAGAAACTGGGACGAGGGGGGAGGTGAATGCTATTGTGGTGTTGTAGAAGTGGTGGGCGGACGACAGCGCCAGACAGGGCTGCGTTCGCAGCACAAGAACAAAGAAACAATAGTGGGCGTGTCACGTGGTCTGCCGTCGTCTAGGATCAGCCACTGGCAGGGCGAGGCAGTGCAGCGGGCCGGGAGTCAGGGTTCGGAGGTGCGGGGATTGCAGGTAGTGTTGGTGATAGGGCAGGTATGACTGGTGATGGAGGTATTGCGCTTTGGCCACTGGACTCTGCCTGTTGCACTTTGCCTATAGCACTAGAGGCACTGCCGGACCCGGTGCGTCGCACACATCCGGTTCTCCGCATCTCTATTGTGTCTGCATGTGCGCACTTCCTGGCCGACACTGGCAAAGGCCGTTGCCGTGGCTATTATGCCGATGTTGACACCTCGTAAGTCTTATCAGTGCGCCTCGTTGATGCCGTGGCTTGGCCCAATGCGTGTAATTGGGGCAGCTGCAACCACCACTATCATCGCGCTATCATTGTTGGACCAGCTCGCCAACCATTTCCTATATCTATTGTGAGTGCTACCCCAGTGGTCCCACCATCAGTGTCTGTCTGAGGATGTGATAGGTGGGGGG